TGAAGAATATTTATTGGTCTGTAATGACGAGCAACCAGACGCTGCACTTTTATGAAATTGCTTATCCCAGTTACTAACATATTTCTAAATATTTTTATTTAACCTTTATTTAACTAGGCAAGTCAGTTAAGGACAAATTCTTATTTAAAATGACGGCCTACCCCGGCCAAACCCTACCCTAACCCGGACGACGCTGGGCCAATTGTGGGACTCCCGATCACGGCCGGTTGTTATACAGCCCAGGATCGAACCAGGGTCTGTAGTGACGCCTCTAGCACTGAGATGTAGTGCCTTAGACCGCTACGCTACTCGGGTGCCCCTCTTATAAGCATTCACCCATTAAGAAAATGACAGTAAAAACGGTTAAATTCCCATGGATTGATGAGGAATTGAAAAATTGTATGGTTAAGAGGGTTGAGGCAAAAGAGCTGGCAAATTGAGAAATCATGTGACTAAACTGAATAATAAAAAGAAGAAGAAACTTCACTATGAAACAAAGATAAATGACATAAAGAATGATAGTAAAAAGCTTTGGAGTACCTTAAATGAAATTTTGGGCAAAAAGGCAAACTCCATTCCATCATTCATTGAATCAGATGGCTCATTCATCACAAAACCCACTGATATTGCCAACTACTTTAATGATTTTTTTCATATGCATGACATGCCAGCAACAAACACTGACACTACACATTCAAGTATATCTGACCAAATTATGAAAGACAAGCATTGTAATTTTGAATTCGGTAAAGTAAGTGTGGAAGAGGTGAAAAAATATTATTTTCGATCAACAATGACAAGCCACCGGGGTCTGACAACTTGGATGGAAAATTACTGAGGATAATAGCGGACAATATTGCCACTCCTATTTGCCATCTTCAATTTAAGCCTACTAGAAAGTGTGTGCCCTCGGGCCTGGAGGGAAGCAAAAGTTATTCCCCTACCTAAGAATAGTAAAGCCCCCTTAACTGGCTCAAATAGCCGACCAATCAGCCTGTTACCAACCCTTACTAAACTTTTGGAAAAAATTGTGTTTGACCAGATAAAATGCTATTTCACAGTAAACAAAATGACAACAGACTTTCAGCACGCTTATAGGGAAAGATATTCAACAAGCACAGCACTTATACAAATGACTAATGATTGGCTGAGAGAAATTGATGCTAAAAAGATTGTGGGGGCTGTTTTGTTAGACTTCAGTGCGGCTTTTGATATTATCGATCATAGTCTGTTACTAGAAGAACTTATGTGTTATGGCATTACACCCCCTGCTATATTGTGGATAAAGAGTTACCTGTCTAACAGAACACAGAGGGTGTTCTTTAATGGAAGCCTCTCCAACTAAATCTGGGTAGAATCAGGAATTCCCCAGGGCAGCTGTCTAGGCCCCTTACTTTTTTCAATCTTTACTAATGACATGCCACTGGCTTTGAGTAAAGCCAGTGTGTCTATGTATGCGGATGACTCAACACTATACACGTCAGCTACCACAGCGACTGAAATGACAGCCACACTTAACAAAGAGCTGCAGTTAGTTTCAGAATGGGTGGCAAGGAATAAGTTAGTCCTAAATATTTCGAAAACTAAAAGCATTGTATTTGGGACAAATCATTTACTAAACCCTAAACCTCAACTAAATCTTGTAATGAATAATGTGGAAATTGAGCAAGTTGAGGAGACTAAATTGCTTGGAGTAACCCTGGATTGTAAACTGTCATGGTCAAAACATATTGATACAACAGTAGCTAGGATGGGGAGAAGTCTGTCTATAATAAAGTGCTGCTCTACATTCTTAACAACACTATAAACAAGGCAGGTCCTACAGGCCCTAGTTTTGTCGCACCTAGACTACTGTTCAGTCGTGTGGTCAGGTAAGAGGGACTCAGAACAGGGCAGCACGGCTGGCCCTTGTATGTACATAGAGCGCTAACATTAATAATATGCATGTCAATCTCTCCTGGCTCAAAGTGGAGGAGAGATTGACTTCATCACCACTTGTATTTGTGAGAGGTATTGACATGTTGAATGAACCGATCTGTCTGTTTGAACTACTGGCACACAGCTCAGACACCCATGCATACCCCACAAGACATGCCACCAGAGGTCTCTTCACAGTCCCCAAGTCAAGAACAGACTATGGAAGGTGCACAGTACTACATAGAGCCATGACTACATGGAACTCTATTCCACATCAAGTAACTCATGCCAGCAGTAAAATCAGATTTAAAAAACGGATAAAAATACACCTTATGGAACAGCGAAGACTGTGAAGCAACACAAACATAGACACATACATACAAACACACTATAACATACGCACTATACACACGTAGACATGGATTTTGTGTTGTAGATATGTGGTAGTAGAGTAGAGGCCTGAGAGCACACACTTAAAATGTTGTGAAATCTGTTCTGAATGTATTGTAATGTTTTAAAATGTATGAACTGCCTTCATTTTGCTGGACCCCAGTAAGAGTAGCTGCTGGCTTGGCAGCAGCTAATGGGGATCCATAATAAATACAAATACAAATAGAGCCAAATACAGGCAAATCCTTGATGAGAACCTGCTTCAGAGTGCAAACGACAGACTGGGGGAAGATTTACATTCCAACAGGACATTGACTACAAGCATACAGCCAAAGCAATGCTGGAATGGCTTCAGAACAAGAATGTGAAAGTCCTTGAGTGGCCCAGCCAAAGCCCAGGCTTGAATCCTATTGAAATCTGTGGAAAGACTTGAAGATTGCTGTTCACCTCCGCTCCCCATCTAACTTAACAGAGCTTGAGAAAGTCTGCAAGGAAGAATGGGAGAAAATCCCCAAATCCAGATGAGCAAAGCTGATACAGACATACCCAAGACGACTCAAAGCTGTAAACGCCGCCAAAGGTGCTTCTACAAAGTATTGACTCAGGGATGTGAATCCTTATGTAAATGAGATATTTCTCGATTTCATTTTCAATAAATGTGCAAACATTTCTAAAAACATGTTTTCGCTGTCATTATGGGGTATTGTGTGTAGATGGGTGAGAAAAGACAAGGGGTATGAATACATTCTGAAGGCACTGGAGCTACCTTAAGATTAATGCACTAACTGCAAATTGCTGTGGATTAGAACTTCTGCTAAAATGTAAATGCAGATTACTAGAAGTTAAAACTAGGGCCCATAGTTTTTCCTCGTCAGGGGGGCACATGATGGCCCCAGTTATGACAGACATTATAAAGGCGCTTCACAATGAGAACCCATGTAGAAAGAGTTTACAGAATTTATTTCAGCATGTGGATTTGTATAACAGTATCAAAGTGATTGTTGATTACAAGATATAAAAACAGACAGTAACCACGTTTCCATCCACAGTTTTTATGCGAGTAAAGTCATACCGTATAAAAAAAATCACGACAGCTGTGATGGAAACAGGTCGTTTCGGTACAGTTGTATAAATGGCGACAGATCATTGGTGGGATCTTTTTGTGGCTGTATAATTAATTATGCGAGAAATGATGGTGGAAATGCCTTTATGCACAAATATTGATATAATAACCATCATATTGAAGTAAACTTGGGAGTCACGCGATGATATGGAGTGTGGTCCTCCCACTATGTCTCAGGAAACCATGCAGTTTATTAGGCCACAGATTAAAGAAGTTATGAACTTCACAGGGTGGTGAAAGTGCACGGTGATGAGCTTGATGCTCCTTTCCAATAAATATCAAGGGTCTTATTCTGGTGACTTGATGATCGATGCTTGACTGCCGTTTGACAAATACAAATATTCTCTGTCTTATCCATAATAATCTGATGATGTAGACGACCAACTCAGCCTACCTGCACTGTGTCTGCGAGCTGTTGGATAGAGTACACGTGCCCAGACCAGAGGAGGCACATTTGCTATTCAACGCAACAGTTTTTGTGACAAAACTATCGGTAGAGTTGAAAATGCGATGGAAACACATTGAACTTTAGATTTTTATTAGTTACATGAAAACTTAAGCGGAAAAAGTACATTTTGTGTGCACTACGTCATCACACACTTATTTTGATCTGCAACAAGTCCATTGGGTGAAAACACACCACTGATGGGAAAATGTGCATATTTTCTTTATGCGTTTTTTAAAAAAATATTCACATGAAAATGTATCGCCAATTGGATGGAAACCTAGCTAATAATACAAAAAAAGGCATTGACGGCTCATCAGTTTAGGAGTGCTGACCTAGGATCAGTTTAGCCTTTTGGATCAGAATGAATAAGACTGTATGGACAGCGGGGACCTGATCCTAGATCAGCATGAATAAGACTGTATGGACAGCGGGGACCGGATCCTAGATCAGCATGAATAAGACTGTATGGACAGCGGGGACCGGATCCTAGATCAGCATGAATAAGACTGTATGGACAGCGGGGACCGGATCCCAGATCAGCACTCTGACTCTGAGACTCTTTATGGATACGGGCCCAGGCGCGCAGTCCAAGTGGTCTTCACTCTCACAGAGTAATTCACTCCCGACTCCACTATAATCTGCAACAGCTAGACCTTCTCCATTATCTTCTGACTTCTCTTAAATTACGTTTATTAGAGATATCTTTCAGGATTCATTCCTTTCACCAGGACTCATTTCAGGTCATCAACTGAAGACAATTGTAGATATTCAGTCATTGCTGTATGATTCTATTCTAAGTTATATTTTTCAGTAAGGCACAGAACACTGATTGGTAAAATCACATTAACACATCTCAACGGTTCAAAATGTCAGAATTACATATTTACACTTCTTCAAACCGTACAAAAGCCTACGACGCCCACTTGGCACAATTTCCTCCAACACCCATAACCTCTTTAGCCTGTGTGCCAGTCTGTTTGTGCTATCACAGCAACTCCTTGTCACTCATTGTCATGTTTTGCTTGACAATGAGCATTGGATAAGAGCACAAACAGATCGGGGTCCAGGCTATAACCTCTCCCCTCCTCTCACTAACTTCATACCAAGATGGCGGTTTGGCGGTTACTTATTTCTTGGTTCCGAGATGTTCACCCTGTTTGTCTTGTACTGTGACATACTACTGAAGATCTGGTCTGGTGAGAGGTTGATGCGTCGTACGTTGAGATCGGAGGCAAACGCTCGTGCTTTCTGGTAGAAGAAGAGGGACAGCTCCCGGTCGACCAGGAAGTTGTGGTAGATGGTAGCCAATCGCGTGCAGAGCTGGAGTTGGGACTTCTTGTTGCCGATGTCCATGGCTGCAGCAAGTGCTAGGTGGTAGTACCCCGCAGCGTCGTAGGGGTCCTAAGGGTCAAAGGTGAAAAGTTAGGGGTTAGAGGTGAGGTTGGGGTCAGTGGAGGAATCGTTAAAAGCCGTTTTGGTTTGGTCCATGTAAATCAAGCGTTATATCGCCACAATGAAATGCAAATTCATGCACATGTTTTCTGTATGTTTTCAAGGGTTGGGGTCAACTCCATCTTGACACGGAATTTCTCCAAAGGAGTGCAATTCAAAGTTTAACTTTTGGGATCAAATTTCTATTTCTTATAGATATGTATTTAAAACCTGAAAATACAACAAACTGCCCAGTCATGAATTCCATTGATTGATTGATTGATTGATTGATTGATTACCTTCAGGTCATAGAATATAATGTCCCCCAGTGTCTGATAGACCCTGACGTAGTACAGGGTTTCCTCATCAAACTCCAGGGGTGTGGGGCAGAGGGAGAGGGTCTTCAGGTAGTGGTGTTCAGCCAGCTCAAACTGTCCCAGACAGTGGTACAGGGTAGCCAGGCGGTGGAACGCCACACGCTCGTTCAGACGGTTTCCTATATGAAGTACAATAATGGTTTCATTAGTTAGTACATTTCACAAAAAGAGCTATAACCAGGGTGCACCTGTTTTTTCTTCCTGGCACGGATTCTGCTGATGGCGACTTTTTGTTGTTGTTGCAATAACTGTGATGTGGTTGTTTTTTCCTGCCAAACCTTACTGGAATTCACTGACTGTAAGTCACTCTGGATAAGAGCATCTGCTAAATGTAAATGCATATTTCTATTGGAAAATACAAGTAAGGACAAGGTCTGGGCTAAGCGAGGTCTGACCTCTAGTGGCCATAGCTGTTGTGTGTCCTACCCAGTTGAACACTGATGTCCAGGGCGGTTAGGGCGTACTCCACAGCTTCTCCATACAGCTTCATCTGCAGCAGCAGCTCCACCAGCTTGTTAGACAGCCTCAGTCTGACCTCTGTATTGCTGGTTCTCACCGCGATGGGCAGGGCACGGTCCTGACACACACACACACACACACACACACAGGTGGGTTCACATACTAACACACACACAGGTGGAGTCACACACATGCACAACCTCCGTCCTACCCCATAGAAGCAGTGTGTGCGTCTGCGTCCTACCCCATAGAAGCAGACAGCCTTCTCTCTCTCCGTTGAGCTGTTGAAGAAGACGTCCCCTGCTGCCTCCAGCAGCTGTAGGATGAAGTGTGTGTCTCCAGTACTCAGACCCACATCTTGGGCCACCTGGGAGGAATACAATGTAACTCTGAGTCAATGCTGTCTGCACTGTGCAATATAATAGAATAGAATAGGTTCTGACCTGTACATAAAGGTCCACCAGTTCAGTCTGGCCCAGCATGTGGTATATCTTCCCAGCCTGTAACCAGGCGTTAGCCTCCTTCTCCCTCCGGCCCAGGTCTATGAAGATACCCAGGCTACGCTTGGTGTAGTCCAGAGCAGACCGCCTAGCCCTGGACACAGAGATAGAAAGGAAGGGAAATGTTATCACTTGCTGCCAACTAGAGACGGGCACTTAGACAGACAGACACACCTCTCTGTCCCCAGACTAAGGTATAGCTGGCTGATGGTCTCCAGCACCTCCCCCTCCTGTCTCCTGTCTCCCCGGGTCGCCAGCAGGGCCAGCTGATGTTCGTTGTAGATGATGCACTGGGCCTCATCCGGACACACTGCACTGTACAGGTGGCACAACCGCCGCGTCACACTCAACTGATCTGGGAGAGGGGAATACACCATATGGAGAGTCGGATTAACATAGCATCTTTCTGTTAGCCCACTGAGCTAAAGCCTCGACATTAGCCAGAGGAGCTACTTGACTAACATATTTGGGGCAGAAGTGATGAAACAGGTATTCTGCTAATGAAATTCATTCCATATGTTCAGTATATAGTAACTGAGTATTTAAACAATCAAATCCTAAATAAAATACATTATAGAACTGTAGAATGCATAACCGACATTCTATCCTGTGCATATTTTTTCATGTCATTTTAGCAGGCAAATATACACGTATGAAAGATTATGCATCTCGGTTTCTCCAACAAAAACTAACCACAGGCATGATAATATTTAATTTCCTTGGATCCAATACCAACGTTCTCAGAGGGTCCCCATACCTCAGAATGTTGATTCAGCTTATGGGTGGTGTGTGGACCTCTATGTAAACCATGTGTTCTGTAGCATTGTGGAAATGATGGTTTCAACAACAATAACAAAATAAACGTACTGTCTGAGTGGTTTGACTTGATAGCCATGAGTAGAGCCCATTCATAGTAGATCTTTCCTCTGTCCAGGAGTCTCTGGTTCACATAGTACTGTCCCAGCTCCAGCAGCACTGTGGTAAAGTTCACCTAGAACAACAAAAGATGACGACTTATGACAAATGTTATAATGTATATTATATAGCTGTTATAAAGGCATTATAAAAGCCTTCATAATGACATCTACTGTAAATTGTAACCATAACAAGTATTACATAGAAAATAATAAAGAAATAACATATAAAAAAATAAAAATAAATAAAGTTGTCCTCCGAATAGGGAGGTGTAAATAGAAAAATACAAGAATAAATAAAGTTCACCTCATGTTCCTGTCCCTCCAGCGCTGACAACATCTCCACAGCTTCTGTTAGATGCTGCTCCGCTAACCGCTGAGGATGAAGTGAAAGGACTGCTAATCTATCTGTAATCCTAATTAGCAACATTTCACTAATTTTTCCCCAAATTTCCTGGTTTTCCGGAAATCCCTGTTGGAATATTCCCAGATTCCTTCCAACCAGGATTTCTGGAAAACCTGGGAATTTTGTAATCATAATTTATATATCAAATAAAAATGTATTTGTCACATGCGCCGAATATAACAGGTGTAGACTTTACCATGAAATGCTTACTTACAAGCCCTTTCCCAACAACGCAGAGTTAAAAAGTAAGAAAAATTTGCTAAATAAAAAAAGGAAATAGTAACACAATAAAAGAACTATATATATCTGATCATATACCTTAGCCCCAGCCTCCAGACACAATAACCCCAGGTTAGCTTCTGCTACTGCCCAGTTAGCCCTGTCCCCAGACTCCTCACACACATCCACGGCCATCTGGTAGCTCTCTGCTGCCCTCCTCAGGTCCCCCGTGCTTCGCAGGGCCACACCCCTCATGTTGTGGACCAGTCCTTGAGATGAGATTGTACTTCATTAATCTCTAAGTGGTAATTAGTTGGTCATACTTACAGCCGTAGTAAAAATACTCACAAACGAGCGTTACAAGACAGCTACAAAAAAAAAGACATATGTAGAGGTAAGTTCAACAGTACAGTATGTGCAAAAGAACAACTTAAGTGTACCTTCCTGTGGGGTAGTGCAGTGTTCTGGCATGGAGGCCAGCACCGAGTCGAGGATGTCTAGAGATACCTCTGGTTGGCTGTTACAGATGTGCAGCCATGCTAGCCACACAAGGGCGATGTTTCGTTCAGGAATGCTAGTGGCGCCCGATGATGATGATGACGGCGCGCGATGATGGTCTATGAGAGTGTGCATGGAGCGTACCGCGTGACCTAGCATCCCATGTTTCTGAAACAGCTGGGATAGGCAGAGTGTTAGAGCCTGGCTTAGAGTGAGGTCACCAGTGCCACCGACTCCATCGAATCGCCCAGTGAAGGAGAGCGACCGGCTGAGATATGGAGCCACTTGAGCCGGAATGGCGACGTCCTGCTTCCGGATCCCATAGAGTCTGGCTGTGTTCTCCAGAACCAGCCCCATTCCATTCAGACAATCGGCTAGCCTAGCGGACGGATGCATCGTGGCTTTCCTGGCTGAGCTGACACAGAGGTGGGGGAGGGAGAGCTGGCTGTACAGCCTCCCCAGGCTGAGGTAGCCGTGGCTGGGCGCGACGCTCCGGACACCTGGGGGCTCTGCCAAGAGAACCAGAAGCCTCTCCAGGAAGGGAACGGCATCTGCCCCCTCACCTCGCCTCCAGTGGAGCTTGGCCAAGAGGAAGCATGCTCTGGCTTCTGCCATCTTGTTGTGACTAAGCACCGCCTTCTTCAGGATAAACTTCAGAACTTCTGAGTCTTTCTCCACTGTCGAGACGCAGTCAGGAATGCCCATGAGCAACGCAGCGATCCGCTCTGACAGAGAAAAGTATTTTTCGGTATTTTTCTGCATGAGATAGATCACCGCTAGGTTAGCGTAGATGCTAGCTAGCATTAGCATGTCCGTGAAGCCGTCTCGAGGGACGCTAAGGGCCTCCTCGAAGTAGACTCGAGCCTGGGAGAATTTTGATCGTCCTGCGCAGAGTTTCCCCAAAAGGAAACAGAGGCGGCTCTGGGACCAATGGAGACGCTTCTTCCTGGCAGTTTCCCTGGCAACACCTAGATACGCCACCAATTTGTCAACGTCGTCCGAGTGGCCAGTGAAAGTGGCGAGGAGCCGTTCTGGAGTTTGGCCATAGAGGGCGCCAAACTCTGGCTTGTAGTTGCTGCCACCCAGGAAGGATAGAAGAGGAAGGAATTTTTCCTGGTTGGTGGTGGTGCCTTCCTCAACTGGGTGGACGGTGAAGTGAGGCCCGCTGGCTAATGTAGTCTTAGAGGTCTCACTGTGGTCCTCCAGAGTTCCATTTGTAGTCACAGTTGCATTAGGCACCTTCGATTTCATCTTCCCTTTTAGTAGAATCTCTTCAATCTTCCTCTTCAGTTCTGCTTGTTGGTGAGCATCCATGTTGCCTTGGGAACCATCTGTAAGATAGATGAAGATCATTATTTATGATGTTGTTGACATGTGGGAGGAGCCAGAAAATGCTTTCCATGTTGAGAAAAAATACTATAAAATACAATAGTCCATTTGTGCATAAAAGTACAAAGCAAACAATAAATACCCCTACTTTGAGTTGGTTCCTTTGGAGAATCCTGTTGATCAATCAGATCTGGAATGAAAGGGATAATTAATGAATCAATTTCAAAACAGACCATCTTTACACAGTAAGGCATTCTTAGAGACCAATGCACAAATAAAAAACAAGCTGTACTTGCTGGCAGCTGTTCATCACCAAGAAAATGCCCCTGAGCATTTCTCAAATTCTGTCTCACCAAGTTTGTAGACGTGTCCAACATCATTCTGGTTGATTTTTTTCAGCAAGGCGATTGTCTCCTCTTTAATCCGATCTTCTTTCAGGTTGAAAAACAACCTCTCTTCTTTCTCTAGGAAAATGTCAGACGCCCTAGAATGGAGTTAATAAAACAAAATGGCTACTAATTTCAGACAATGTAGAATAATAACACTTTCTAAAAGGAATGTGAGGAGCTACCATGTGTGTTTGAACATCTAATTCAACATGGCTCTGAAAGCATTGTCCAGTGTGCCTTTGTACATTTACTGTAATACACCCGTAGAGATAAACCGAGTGTACAAAACATTAAGAACATCCTCCTAATATTGAGTTGCGCACCCCCCCCTTTTCCCTCAGAACAGCCTCAATTTGTTGGGGCATGGACTCTATAAGGTGTCGAAAGCGTTCCACACATGTTGACTCCAATGCTTCCCACAGTTGTGTTTAGTTGGCTGTATGTCTTTTGGGTGGTGGACCATTCTTGATACACACAGGAAACTGTTGAGCGTGAAAAACCCAGCAGCGTTGCAGTTCTTAACACAAACCGGTGCGCCTGGCAACTACTACCATAGCCCGTTCAAAGGCACTTAAATCTTTTGTCCTTCCCATTCAACCTCTGAATGGCACACATCCATGTCTCAATTGACTCAAGGCCTAAAAATCCTTATTTAACCCGTCATTTTCCCTTCATCTGCACTGATTGAAGTGGAATTAACAAGTGACATCAATAAGGGATCATAGCTTTCACCTGGATTCACCTGGTCAGTCTGTCATAAAAATAGTGTTTTGTATACTCAGTGTATATCATACACTTGAGTAGCTGATACCATTGAGCTGCATAGTTGCCGGGATACCAATTACCATTTTAATGTTCTATTTAATTCTATGAATATATCACTACTGTATACATGATGACGCAGTTAATCTGACACAGTTAACCTGACGCAGTTAATCAATATATAACTGAAGGACACACTTACTCACAAAGGCTATCGGCCGGTCTGACCAGGGTAGTCATCACCAATCCCACTTCTCCTGTCCTCTCCAGTCTGCCAGTGAACCACTCGAAGCACGACACCAACAGGCCCACAATGATGATGCGATCACCCTGCTCCAGGCTCAGCTCGTCTGGCCCACCGGCGTCATACTCAACACTGGCCACACAGGAGCCAGTGGCTAGCATGGGAAAAGAGACAGGTGGACAGGAGAGATGAATTGGAATTTTTAAGTTAGTTCAGACTCTAGAATTCCTCCACATACCGTAATTATAATTCTATGAGAAAGAGAAGGAACAATGAAGCCCTTAGAATTAGGATTGTCAAGTGGAATTCAAACAGGGTTCTTCTTACCAAACTGGCAGGGGAAATCACATGCTGGCTTGCCACTGCCAACTAAGATGTTCTCCGCACATGATTTGAGGAACCATCTATAGGGTGAAGCAGGAATGAAATATGTGAATAAAAAGGTGAAACTTGGAAAATTAGCAGTGTGCATCAATTGCTTCATTTTCTGTATTGACTAAGAATTAAATAACTAAGTATACACTAGGAAGAGTACTGACTGGTGGAAGGGGATGACGGGCTCCAGGGCTGGTTTGGGTTTGGTCCCCCGGGCTCCATCCCCCAGGGAGAGTACGGTCCACCCCGACCCCAGGAACGGGGGCTCAAACAGGGCTATGTCCCCCTGCTCCATGTAGAGGTCTCTACCAGGGGTGGAGCTGTCAAACATCTGGGTAGAGCTGCAGCTGGCGAATAAGGAACCTGACAGAGGGGGAGATTTGGTCATACTTTATTTGATGGGTAGAACTAAATAACTAATCATTTGTAGCATTGTAATTAAGAGTATAACATGTATAACATCTCATAAAAGCATAACATGGATGCTCAATGTTCATTTGATCTGTATGTGCTGACTTATCAAATTAAGTGCTTCTGTATATTCTGAATACACCAAACAGTGAATGTGGCTACAAAAAGCTGTCGAAGTCAGACATTTTAATCTGTGAGTCACTGGGAGACTTACCCTCTTGCATGAGGATGCCTTTGTAGATGAGGTTGAGAGTCTCCTCTTGGATAGAGATCTCTATGGCAACGTACTCCTGGTCCAGAGAGCTCAACCAGAAGTCCTGGTCCAACAGCAGGTTCTCCATGCACTGACCCAGAAAGCCTGGAGAACAGAGGTCAATAGAGGTCAGAGGTCAATACGTCAGGGGTCAGTCAGAAGTCCTGGTCTAGAAGTAGGTTATCTATTGATTTCAATCGGAGATATACATTTACATTTACGTCATTTAGCAGACGCTCTTATCCAGAGCGACTTACAGTTAGTGAATACATATTTTTTTATACTGGCCCCCCGTGGGAATTGAACCCACAACCCTGGCGTTGCAAACGCCATGCTCTATCAACTGAGCTACATCCCTGCCGGCCATTCCCTCCCCTACCCTGGACGACGCTGGGCCAATTGTGCGCCTCCCATGAGTCTCCCGGTCAGTGGAAGACCAGGTTCCCAGAACGCTAAGGCAGACGCCCTGTCCCGACTGTATGACACAGAGGAGAGGTCCATTGAGCCCACTCCCATACTTCCGGCGTCGTGTCTGGTTGACGCGGACATCGAGCGGGCGTTACGTACCGAGCCCACTCAGAGGGTCGTATATACGTGCCGCTCGAGGTTTGCGTTCGATTGATCTATTGGGCTCACACGTCACCCTCCTCTGGTCATCCTGGCATCGGTCGGCCAGTGCACTGTCTTAGTGGGAAGTACTCGTGGCCCACTTTAGCCAAGGACGTGAGGGTTTATGTTTCCTCCTGCTTGGTGTGCGCCCAGTGTAAGGCACCTAGACACCTGCCCAGAGAGAAGTTACAACCCCTACCCGTTCCAAGTCCTGCCGTCTCATTCCTATGCCAGGTCTCCCTACACCCCTACAAACTACTGTTTACACACGTCTTCCGGCACTACTGGGTACCTGAGTATATTGTGTCGGATCGGGGTCCCCAGTTCACCTCAAGGGTCTGGAGGGCGTTCATGGAACGTCTGGGGGTCTCGATCAGCCTGACCTCAGGTTTTCACCCCGAGAGTAATGGGCAGGTGGAAAGAGTCAACCAGGATGTGGGTAGGTTTCTGCGGTCATATTGCCAGGACCGGCAGGGGGAGTGGTCGGGTTATATCCCCTGGGCAGAGATGGCCCAAAACTTACTCCGCCACTCCGCCACTCCTCTACTAACCTTACTCCTTTCCAGTGTGTGTTAGGTTATCAGCCGGTCCTGGCACCTTGGCATCAGAGCCAGGCTCCTACGGTGGATGAGTGGTTTCGGCGCTCGGAAGAGACCTGGAACGCTGCTCATGTACACCTGCAGCGGGCCATCAGGCGACAAAAGGCGAGCGCCGATCGCCACCACAGTGAGGCCCCGGTGTATGCACCGGGGGACCGGGTCTGGCTCTCGACCCGAAACCTGCCCCTTCGCCTGCCCTGCCGGAAGCTGGGTCGGCGGTTTGTGGAGCCATTTAAAGTCCTGAGGAGATTGAACGAGGTTTGTTATAGGTTACAGCTTCCTCTTAATTACTGTATTAACCCCTCGTTCCATGTGTCTCTCCTCAGGCCGGTAGTAGCTGGTCCACTCCAGGAGTCTGAGGTATGGGAGGTTCCTCCGCCCCTACTGGACATCGAGGGGGCACCGGCGTACTCGGTCCGGTCCATCTTGGATTCGAGGCGTCGGGTGGGGGGCCTGCAGTATCTCGTGGAGTGGGAGGGGTACGGTCCAGAGGAACGGTACTGGGTCCCTAGGAGGGACATCCTCGATCCCTCCATGTTGAGGGATTTCCACTGTAGTCATCCGACTCGCCCTGCTCCGCGTCCTCCTGGCCGTCCCCGAGGCCGGGGTCGGCGCACGGCTGGAGCCGCACGTCAAGGGGGGGGTACTGTCACGAATTCAGCCGAGGCTGCCCCTCCTCCTTGCTCGGGCAGGCTTCGGCGTTCGTCGTCACCGGAGTACTAGCTACTACCAAACCATGTGTCTATGTTCGACTTGTTTTGTCTTTATTGGTCACACCTGTTTCCCATCATGTAGTTATGTCTTCCCTATTTAACCCTCTGTCTCACACTGTGTGTTGTGCGTGTTTGTTCATGTTTTGGTTGTCGTTAGTGTGCGGGTTTGTTTCCTCCCTGCGTGGAGGTTTTGTTCATACATTTACCTACGAGTAAAGTACGCTTTTGATTAGCTCTGTGTCCTGCGCCTGACTTCGCCTACCGCATTACCCTGATGACTTGACAAGTTCCATAAATGCTTCAAGTGCTGCATTTGGATGTTCCTCATTACACACATCAGACCAACAAATATTTTTCACATCTTCGACATAGGAATCATTGCAAAACCTCTTGTATGATCGTTTATACACAATTTTAGGTCCAGCCTTTGGAACTTTGTTTTTTGTAGATATGGCTATTATTTTATGATCACTACATCTGATGGGTGTGGATACTGCTTTAGAGCATATTTCTGCAACATCAGTAGATATGTGATCAATACACATGCATGATTAAGTTCATGTTCCATTTGTAAATACCCTGGTAGGTTGACTGATGACTTGAACCAGATTGCAGGCACTGGTTACAGCTTGGAGCTTCTTTTTGAGTGGGCAGCTTGATGACAACCAGTCAATATTTAGGTCACCCAGAAAATATACCTCTATGTTGATATCACATACATTATCCAACATTTCACACATATAGTCCAAATACTGACTTTTAGCACTTGGTGGTCTATAGCAACTTCCTACGAGAATAGGCTATAGGTGAGGCAGATGAACCTGTAGCGATATTACTTCCACATCATCTGACATAAGATCCTCTCTCAGCCTAACAGGAATGTGACTCTGGACATACAGTGGATTTTTGGAAAGTATTCAGACCCCTTTACTTTTTCCACATTTTGTTACGTTACAGCCTTATTCTAAAATGTATGTAATTGTTTTTCTACACACAATACCCCATGATGAAGTAGCAAAAACTGGTTTTTATACATTTTTGCAAATGTATACAAAAAATACAACTGAAACATAACATTCAGACCCTTTACTAAGTACTTTGTTGAAGCAACTGGCAGCGATTACAGCCTTGAGTCTTCTTGGGTATGACGCTACAAGCTTGGCAAACCTGTGCCAAGTTTCTTCCATTCTTCTCTGCAGATCCTCTCAAGCTCTGTCAGGTTGGATGGGGAGTGTCGCTGCACAGCTATTTTCAGGTCTCTCCAGAGATGTTCGATCGGGATCAAGTCCGGGCTCTGGCTGGGCCACTCAAGGACTTTCAAAGACTCATCCTGAAGCCAATCCTGCGTTGTCTTGGCTGTGTGCTTAGGGTCGTTGTCCTGTTGGAAGGTGAACCTTCAACCCAGCCTGAGGTCCGGAGCGCTCTGGAGCAGGTTTTCATCAAGGATCTCTCTGTATTTTGCTCCGTTCATCTTTCCCTCGATCCTGACTAGTCTCCCAGTCCCTGCCGCTGAAAAACATCCCCACTGCATGATGCTGCCACCACCTTGCTTCACCGTAGTGATGGTGCCAGGTTTCCTCAAGACGTAACGCTTGGCATTTATGCCAAAGCGTTCAATCTTGGTTTCATCAGACCAGAGAATCTTGTTTATCATGGTCAGAGAGTCTTTAGGTGCCTTTTGGCAAACTCCAATGGGCTGTCATGTGCCTTTTACTGAGTAGTGGCTTCCTTCTGGCCACTCTACCATAAAGGCCTGATTGGTGGAGTGCTGCAGAGATGGTTGTCCTTCTGGAAGGTTCTCCCATCTCCACAGAGGAACTATGGAGCTCTGTCAGAGTGACCATCAGGTTCTTGGTCACCTCCCTGACCAAGGCCCTTCTCCCCCGATTGCTCAGTTTGGCGAGGCGGCCAGCTCTAGGAAGAATCTTGGTGGTTCCAAACTTCTTCCATTTAAGAATGATGGAGGCCACTGTGTTCTTGGGGACTTTCAATGCTGCAGAACTTTTTTGGTACCCTTCCCCAGATCTGTGCCTCGACACAATCCTGTCTCGGAGCTCATAGCTTGGTTTTTGCTCTGACATGCACTGTCAACTGTGGGACCTTATATAGACAGGTGTGTGCCTTTACAAATCATGTCCAATCAATTGAATTTACCACAGGTGGACTCCAATCAAGTTGTAGAAACATCTCAAGGATGATCAATGGAAACAGGATGCACCTGAGCTCAATTTCGAGTCTCATAGCAAAGGGTCTGAATACTTATGTAAATGTATTATTTCCGTTTTTATTTTTAATACATTTGCAAACATTTCTATAAACCTGTTTTTCTTTTGTCATTATGGGGTATGGTGTGTAGATTGATGAGGATTTTTAAATATTTTTTTATCCATTTTAGAATAAGGCTGTAACGTAACAAAATGTGGGAAAAGTCAAGGGGTCTGAATACTTTCCGAAGGCACTGTACTTGTTAACACCTCTCCCATTTGCATTTCTATCTTTCCTATATATTCTATAACCATGTATGTTAAGTTAAGATTCAGAACTTGTGTATCATTCATGTAAATACAAACCCCACAGAGAGTTTCTATTCTATATCTATAACTTCTTATGCTAGACGACATTACCCATTGTGTAATACGTGGTGAACCTCCATATCTCTTCAAATGTTTTGAATGTGACAAATATGGTGTTCTCTTCACAGTTGACGGAAACAAGTCGAGCTGATAGTTCCTATAGTGCAGGAGAGGAGCACAGAGAAGAGGTCTAAATGTACATGATTTCTCACAAACTACTGTATAAAGCAATGCAATCTGTTAATAAGGTACTACCTCAATAAGAACAAATACAAACTGATAACACAACCACTTCAAATGCAAAACTGGTGATACGACCATACATAATGCATTCATTCTATTCACTCTAACTTTACACACTTGCGATAAAACCTGTGACAAAGCGTGTTGACAAAGTGAGGTGTGACTGTGCTGAGTACAGTATCATAGCAAATGCATTTTAGCAGTATATATAGATTACAGCTGTACATAAAGATTACATTAAAATTACGTAGGTTGACATTTATTATCATGAATCTTGCCCTGGAGGCAGAACTGAGCAATTTACACTAAATGGGCCAACTGCAAAGTCAGAATTGTCTATCTCGTAAAGGTTCATGAAAACAAAAATGATATTTAGTACTTAATTTAAGGTTAGGGTTAGGCATTAGGGTTAGCAGTGTGGTTAAGGTTAGGGTTAAAATCAGATTTTATGACTTTGTGGCTGTGCTAGCTAGTGACCACTGCAGAGCTGCCTCAAGATTTATGACAATAAATGACCAACCTGCGACAAGACTAACCTGGATACATAAAGGTTAATAAAGAGTGTTATACCATGAAGAGAGCGTTGACCTCTATGTTGTCGGCCTCCAGGAGGCGGAGTTTCCCCCGCAGCACTTCCTGTGACCCCTCGTCTGCAGGAAGCTTGTCCGGCCCCTCCACCATGGCCAACAGCATGGGCAGCACTGGAAACATGCACCCAGGCAAGGACACATTAAATCACCATTACAGTCTATGACATGCTGAGTATGGGCAATCCTTCTCTAGTTAATGTTTTGTAAGAGAGAAGAGGTGACAGAGATACTCCGGTGACTTCGTAATAAAACAATAATGTTGTTTCTCAAAACACCATGTAGAAGTAACTAACTTCCACATTCCACAGATATAGTGCATGATGTCCAAAGGCAATTCAAAAGTGTAGTTTAAGGTTTGTCATAGTTAAAGAAAACGAATCACAACAACAATGATGTCAATATCCTGACAGGTACAGTACTAATACTGTATCCTCAACTTTGCTTTACTTCCTGTTTCTTTATTAACTGACGGCCATTTTGGACACAATCATCTCACCCCTTACCGAAAAACCACATGATTTCACATGTGGGAAATCACACGATTTCACATGTGAAATGTAATGTGAAATCATGTGTTTTTGGAACACTTGATCACGTTTTCACATGTGTAGTTCCATGTTATCACATGTTGCTTTACATGTTGTCTCGTGTTATCACATTAACTTCACATAAGATCACGTGATCACATGAAAACGTGTGTTTTTGGAACACTTAACATGTGTCCACGTGAAATTCATGTTGTTTTTCTGTAAGGCACTGGTCTAGTAACACTGTGATTCACAGTGAATGACCCACAGAGATTAATCAATGACTTCAAAGAGACTTTCTCAGGCTCTCTCAGGTCCAAGGTACAATAATGATAGTTAAAATTCACTGTCAACTACATGATTTTCCATAATGAGAAGTGAATTTCTAACCTGGTCCTAGATCTGTTTGTGCTGTCTTGCCATCTCCTATGGTCATTGTCATGCCAAATGTAACAATAACCATAGGAGTTAGCAAGACAGCACAAACAGATCTAGGACCAGGCTAGTGAATCCCAGTTTAATAGCATACAGACTACTGCATTTGTGAGACAAGAGAAGAAAGAATGCAGAATAACTGCAGTACGTTGTCCACGGGTGCACTAAAAATCACAGTAGGAATATACAAAATATAAAAACAGTTTCCTACTGAACCAACATGAAACTCATAACTTATATGATTTAATGGTTGACTTTGAGTCCGCAGTCATAGTGTTGTTTTTATCGCACTGCTTTGCTTTATCTTGGCCAGGTCGCAGTTGTAAATGAGAACTTGTTCTCAACTGGTTTACCTGGTTAAATAAAGGTGAAATAAATAAATAAAAACCACTACAACAGTGTTCAGTATGTTGCTCTCAACCAAGCCTGGTCCCAGATCTCTCTCCATTGCTGTCATTGTAAAACCAATGACATTGAGTGACAGGGAGTTGGCATGATAGCACAAACAGGCTGGCACTCAGGCTACTCTCGACCACTATGTTGATATTGGAAGCATGTGGCTGTATGAAATAGCATGATGGTTGGTAGCAGAATGAGTCATTCAAAACCCACAGTTGCATCTCAGAGCTCCTCACATGGCAAGAGAGAGAGTTAGACCCATAATCCATAACTTTACTCTTAACTGCCACAGCCAAACCCCAAACTCTCTCCCCTCCTTTTTGGAATACTGTGGTTGGAAACTTCATGAAAATCCATTCCGTTAAATTCTGAGGTTCCACAATGAGAATGAAGTGTCTGATATACATGCATTGGAAGATTGAAAATGGAAATCCCCCTTTCATGGAAAGGTGTCATATTCCTGGTTCCCTATTAATAAAGTGTCTCAGGGTATGATCTAGCATCAGTTTAGCCTTTTAGATAATGATGAATAAGATGACATGGACAGGTGGGACTTAATCCTAGATCAGCCTCGTAGAGTAGACACAGTTCTTGGTTAGTCACCTGTTGGGAAGCTGTCTTCGGATGTGCCTGCTCCTCTGGAGCTAGAGCGCTCTGCAATATATAGAAATGTTCCTTTAATACTGAACACAGCATGTATGCTACTTTGATAGATTGTAAGAAGTAGGTAAACAAAATAACCTAAAAATTAAAAGGTGACATGCCCAATAGTTATTTATGGGCCTTTTGGCCGGCGGTTGACATTTCTTTTATGTGTTTATTATGACAAGAGCAGGAAAACATATGATCCCAAGTCCTCTATCCATGTTTCCTGTGTGTTCTATCGCTTACACACACACACCACACACACACACACACACACACACACACACACACACTCACACACTCACACCTTCCGTGTGTTAGCGGAGGATAATGCATTACTCACACATGCACGTTAAGTGTGTGTGTGTGTGTGTGTGTGTGTGTGTGTGTTGCGTGAGCGTGAGTAATGCATTATCCCCAACAGGAACAGTGTCCCCGACAGGAACAGTGTCCCCAACTAAACAGTGAGGAAGAATAGAGACAAAGGTGTCAGGTTCACAAAACAGACCACCATAGACAGACCTTTAACAATTACCAAGTTGTCAAATAACACTCAAACTGAGCTTGTATGACTTTTCATAGCACTAGGCAATCAACATCAACAAAATATTCCAAAAGATTATCATTAGCTACAGGTGTGTAATTGAGCAAAAACAGATAATCGAATGATTACATGTATATAAGCCTTGGCCTGTAGGCTAATATATATATATATATATAAATATATATATCAGTGGAGGCTGCTGAGGGGAGGACGGCTCATAATAATGGCTGGAACAGAGCAAATGGAATGGAAACCATGTGTTTGATGTAATTGATACCATTCCACTTATCCCGCTCCAGCCATTACCATGAGCCCGTCCTCCCCAATTAAGGTGCCACCAGCCTCCTGTGATATATATATATATACAGTTGAAGTCGGAAGTTTACATACACATACAGGTTGGAGTCATTAAAACTTGTTTTTAAACTATTCCACAAATAAAAGTTTTGGCAAGTCGGTTAGGACATCTGCTTTGTGCATGACACAAGTCATTTTTCCAACAATTGTTTACAGACAGATTATTTCACTTATAATTCACTGTAACACAATTCCAGTGGGTCAGAAGTTTACATACACTAAGTTGACTGTGCCTTTAAACAGCTTGGAAAATTCCAGAAAATGATGTCATGGCTTTAGAAGCTTCTGATAGGCTAATTGACATCATTTGAGTCAATTGGAGGTGTACCTGTGGATGTATTTCAAGGCCTACCTTCAAAAACTCAGTGCCTCTTTGTTTGACATCATGGTAAAATCAAAAGAAATCAGCCAAGACCTCAGCAAAAAAATGTGTAGACCTCCACAAGTCTGGTTCATCCTTGGGAGCAATTTCCAAACGCCTGAAGGTACCACGTTCATCTGTACAAACACAATGGGACCACGCAGCCGTCATACCGCTCAGGAAGGAGACGCATTCTGTCTCCTAGAGATGAACGTACTTTGGTGCGAAAAGTGCAAATCAATCCCAGAACAACAGCAAAGGACCTTGTGAAGATGCTGGAGGGAACGAGTACAAAAGTATCTATATCCACAGTAAAACTAGTCCTATATCAACATAACCTGAAAGGCCGCTCAGCAAGGAAGAAGTCACTGCTCCAAAACCGCCATAAAAAAGCCAGACTATGGTTTGCAACTGCACATGGGGACAAAGATCGTACTTTTTGGAGAAATGTCCTCTGGTCTGATGAAACAAAAAGAATAATAATAATGACCATCGTTATGTTTGCAGGAAAAAGGGGAACGCTTGCAAGCCGAAGAACACCATCCCAACCATGAAGCACGGGGGTGGCAGCATCATGCTGTGGGGGTGCTTTGCTGCAGGAGGGACTGGTGCACTTCACAAAATAGATGGCATCATGAGGATGGAAGATTATGTGGATATATTGAAGCAACATCTCAAGACATCAGGCTTGGTCGCAAATGGGTCTTCCAAATGGACAATGACCCCAAGCATACTTCCAAAGTTGTGGCAAAATGGCTTAAGGACAACAAAGTCAAGGTATTTGAGTGGCCATCACAAAGCCCTGACCTCAATCCTATAGAACATTTGTGGGCAGAACTGAAAAAGCGTGTGCGAGCAAGGAGGCCTACAAACCTGACTCAGTTACACCAGCTCTGTCAGGAGGAATGGGCCAAAATTCACCCAACTTATTGTGGGAAGCTTGTGGAAGGCTATCCGAAACGTTTGACCCAAGTTAAACAATTTACAGCCAATGCTACCAAATACTAATTGTATGTAAACTTCTGACCCACTGGGAATGTGATGAAATAAATAAAAGCTGAAATAAATCATTCGCTCTACTATTATTCTGACATTTCACATTCTTAAAATAAAGTGGTGATCCTAACTGACTTAAAACAGGGAATTTGTACTAGGATTAAATGTCAGGAATTGTGAAAAACTGAGTTTAAATGTATTTGGCTAAGGTGTATATAAACTTCCGACTTCAACTGTGTGTGTGTGTGTGTGTGTATATATATATATATATACAGTCCTAAAAACAATATCACTTTATGCTACTACTGCAGAGGCGGGTTGTGGATCTGAGTGTCATTTTAATGTCACTTTATGGATCACTGACTTACCCATTTTTCTACTTCTGGTCCCCTTTTTTACCGGATCATGGTTGTGGTCTTCTGCTGAGAGCTCTCGCCGGTAACGGCGACTGTTATTGTCCACTCCGTTAACCACCGGGACCGGTTCCATCTCCTGTTCCGCGGTTGACATAATGAATCGAATTATTTCCTACTTCTTCATGTAGTAGCCCTACCGTAAACTCCGCGAGCGACGCAGGATATCATGCGCATCCGCACCCTCCTCGCGCCCTGCGCACACTATCCATGGAGAACGTCGTCAACGTTTACTATCACGGTCGAAGAGGGCATGAAACGTTTAAACCGCCAACTTGGAGATGCCTTGTCGTAGAATAATATGAATATCGTGTTGTCAATTAATGGTCCATAGAAGCGTTCCTTATTCCAAAGTCTGATCTTTGGTGAAAAATCGGTGATTGTCATCCGTTGTTTTGCTTACAGAGGATTTCCCAACTCCATCAGAATTGTCATGTCCTGTCCTGTGACGTTCGGCACACGAGCCACTACAGTGTGCCAACGGTGCGAAGAAAGTGCAGCTGACTGCAGGGAACAGGTTAATAATCACTGACTGAACAAATAGTGTTTTTCTTTTCCAAAATCCACCGAGTTCGCTGTTAAAAATATAGGCCACTGACTTTGGGAAGGATTTCACTGTTTTCTCAATCCTCAGATAGATTTTTGCAGAAGTTTGAGTGCTAGGTGTCGTATGTTAAACTTTTCCACTTCTTTAACCGTATCGTGGCATTCATAATTCCTTGCTATCTCAGCTATTTCCTATTGAGAAATTGATCATGCTACGCAGAAGCGCAAGCACGCACGTAGCCCACGTATACATGCACGCACGCACACACACACACACACACACACACACACACACACACACACACACACAATTGCATGTCTTTTGATTAATGTAGTCCTATGTGTAGCCTATTGCATCATTTGACCATTTCCACAGAGTCAGCTGCTGCTTACACTAAAATAAGTGTCCTTTGCCCAAGCTAACCTCTGTCACATCCCAGGAAGAGAGTCAGCGTTTCCCTTTCCTCCTCCTCTCTATCAGCCTGGCCTGGAGTTAACGCTTACTCTCGGAGACTAGAGCACTCTCTATCGTGTTCAACTGAATGGAAAGAACGGCCCACTATTTCCATCAGAATCTGTTAGAATAAATAAATAAACGTGGTTCCAAACCCTTTTCGCACTATGAACCACCTAAAATGTGTTTGAACCTAGATTAAACAATAAGCAAACATAAAAGTACACAATAATAGCTATTGAATAATATTTATTCAACGTCACACATTATTTTTAAAAATGCACTTAAACATACGTTTTTAAAAGGGCATTTGTAAGCACGTTTCTTTGGTGAAAAAGTCTAAGGTTCTGTTTTCCCGGGAAATAAGCTACTGTCCAAATCGAATAGATGATAGATATCAGTTATGATGTCAGGGTTCCTTGACAATGGAATTCTATTAAGTGTCTGAATTTCACGTTATTTCCCGGGAAACAGAACCAATCCATGAGGTAAATTGGAATTGGAATTGAATTTCCATTTATTTCCTGAATTGACTGAATTGAAAAAGAGTTGACTCCAACCCTGTATCTATACTAGGTAAATACCAACTGAAATAGGACTGTTAAATAAAGGGTTATCACACATCCTCATGTGAATCCTATCTTACTTTTTTATTTATAAATGAATTTGCTCTGCATTTGATGAATTGAAATACAATTTCAATTAAACATCATTCATTTTTCTTCCTTTGAATTTGTGCACTGCTTCACTAAATAAATGAGTTGTATCTGTCACGCACGTGCACACATACACACACACACACACACGGTGTGACTGACAGTCAGTGCATGCGTGCGTGTGTGTATGACAGATCCACAGTGAATCACACTCTGTCATGCGTGCTGTTTGGTTTCTGACCTAGACACATTTAGCCAGGTAATCACATGGTAATACTCTCTGACGAAGGGAGGGAGGGAAGGAAAGAGGGAGGGAGGGAAGGAGGGAGGGAAGGGAAGAGGGAGGGAGAGAAGGAGGGAGAGGAGAGGAGGAGGAACCAGTCCTGTCATTCACATTACTGAAGGAGAAAGACGGCAGCTCTCTCTCTCTCCATCTCCTTTCCTTTCCTTTCCTGCCTTTGTTTTTTAAGGACCAGCTGAAGGTAAGGACAACGTAGATCAGTTATCTGTATGGAATCTTTGCACAAAATAGAGGGTGAGATTGGTTAATGACCTATGCCTTGACTGTGTATGTGTGTATGTCCCTAAAGTAGGTCACACCTCTTTGTCCTCCGTGTGATTGGGTATGCTTTATATAGAACTCATCATTTTTGTGAGTGTGTGACACCTGCCAATATCAATTCTGAGAATGTATCAACACACACCACACACACACACAATCACACATGCACGCACACACACTCATTTGAGTATTCATTTTTCTCCAGGATGTCTAAGACCCCGTCCACCACGTCTGCAGCCTCTGTAACCTCGGCAACGTCTGCAGCCTCTACAGACAGGTAAGATCAACGTCTACATCTGAGACAGGATAATTCACAGCAAGCTGTTGATAGACACGGAGAGGTTACCTGAGGTTGACACCGTGGTTGTGATACACCTGATGTTTTTGGTGATGCCTAAAAGTGGCGTCTTCACCACGATACTTGGATCGTTTTTGGTTTTGTTGTTGTTGCAGAAAAATATCTCTGTTGTACATCAGTTGTAAAACTTGAATGTGTATGCAGGACCATTGAGTGATTTCCTTATTTTTATGGATTCTCCCCATGGTTATTATGTTAAGTCAAGGTGGCAAGATGGTAAGTAAGTAGCCTTGCACCAGTGTTGGCATGTGTGAGCCAGAACGGCTCATAGGATGGCCATCTCCTGTTTCTGTAGCATGAGGCAGTTTGATGAACAAGTACACCGCCTGGCGTGGACATGACGCTAGTCTGTCGCAGAGCATTACCCCCAATCTATCTCCGTAATTCTGAGTGCCAAGCAGAAACGCATTGGCTCCCATTTTTACAGTCTTTGGTATTACTCCCAACCTTCCAATCTCATGGCGGACACTCTAACCACTGAGTTGGTAAGATAGCGCTTGTCAATGTCTCTAATGTGAACCCCTGGTGTCTCTTGGCTCCTAGCAAAGGTGGTAAATCCTCCCAGAAGTCCTCGTCCTCGGGTTCGGAGTCGGCCCCCAAGAAGGTGTCCAAGAAAGAACAGAAGAGACAGGACATGGAGAAGATACACACCACCCTGCTCTGCAGCGTGTTTGGAGCGGTATACACACACACACACACACACACACTCATACACACACACCATAACAGCTACTTTACCCTTTGACCCCTAACCCCTAATCCTGACCTATAACCCCACACCACTTAGTGAGCGACATGCTAGGCTAACAGCAGTCTGGTGTTTGGTGGGGAGTGAAAAGTCAGGGATTCTGCTATGTTAGCGGAGCTTCTGATCTTTGCATGCCGATGTGTGTGTGTGTGTGTGTGTGTGTGTGTGTGTGTGTGTGTGTGTGTGTGTGTGCGTGCCTGCTTGTCTGCCAGCAAGCTACAAATGCGTTTCTGCCTGAATGTGTGTGTGTGTGTGTGTGGGTAATGACCCTGTCAGTTACACACACAGAGTGGTTATCCTCTCACCACTCATTAGGATTAAGGCTAGAAGATGCTGGAAGAGCATCGAACAAAAGGGGAAAGTTGTACAGTTGTTTTAATACTGTTTTTGTTTGTTTGTGATATGTGTAAAGGTTAAGACCAATTGATGTGTGCTGTTTTATGAACAATTGCTGTTGTCTTACTTAGAAATGTTTCTTGACATTGTGAAACTTAACCTGGGGACATCGATTATGGATAGAATAATTCCAATTGGCATTTAAACTAGAAGCTATTGAGCATGCAGTGTGAACGTAGGCTTTGAATAACAACACGCTACATTGAATGGTGTCCCAGACAAACAGGATGGAACTCTTAACGATTTAATCCACCATGAGAAGGAAACGTCCTTAACTGTTCCTGTCCCCAATCCCTCACTAATTTACCTCACTACCGTAACAGAATGACCTAACCCTAAAACCTTTAACCTCCTCTTACACAACAGTATACATCTCAAATTTCCTGTCCTAAACTTCCAGCGATAAGCACCTTTTTTTTGTCCCAATGTCTTCAAGGTTGACCCTATCCAGATTGTAGTACATGAGGATATTCTGCAAGTCATGCACTATAATATTCCACAAAATGTGAGCCAGGCTTGAGTATTGTCACACAGTGTTGTCTCTCCCTCACAAAAACACCTCTCCCCTGTTGTCTTCCTTTAGGAGAGAGAGTTGGCTCAAGCAGAGTTGGATGGTGAGTCTTCTTAGCACAGTGATATTGCATATACAGTAGAATGCTTTATTTACAGTAGGTTGACCATTTGCACGACTCATTACATTGAGCTCATATTACTCAAGTTAGTATTCAGCCAGACATTAGACTTGTAAAAGAGGGGTAGCTTTGAGTCGTCCATAGAAATAGCATGACTAGAATGGGCAAAACGCCCCTCAGACCACGGAACTTCGACAGTACTACAGTCATGGGTAGACTCAATATAAACGTCTGCCTACCCATCACAGAATGTCGACCTGAATGGGAAAGTTCCTTTTAGTAATTCTACTTCCATGGTGTCAGCATCACCTTCTGACCTCTAACCTCTAACATTTGACCTTTGGCGCAGAGCTGGACTTTGCCTTCAAGGAGTTTGACTACGACTGCGATGGCTACCTGAACTACAAGGACGTGGCAGAGTGCATGAGGACCATGGGCTACATGCCCACTGAGATGGAGCTGCTGGAGATAGTACAACAGATTAAGATGAGGAGTGAGTGTCTTATAACTGTTATATAGCTGTTATGGACCTGTTATAACCTGTTACAGACCTGTTTAACCTGTTACAGACCTGTTATAGACCTGTTATAACCTGTTACAGACCTGATATAGACCTGTTATAACCTGTTACAGACCTGTTGAACCTGTTACAGACCTGATATAGACCTGTTACAGACCTGATATAGACCTGCTATAACCTGTTACAGACCTGTTATAGACCTGCTATAACGTGTTAAAGACCTGATATAGACCTGTTACAGACCTGATATAGACCTGCTATAAACTGTTACAGACCTGTTATAGACCTGCTATAACCTGATATAGACCTGTTACAGACCTGTTACAGACCTGTTACAGACCTGTTATAGACCTGTTACAGACCTGTTATAACCTGTTACAGACCTGTTATAGACCTGTTATAGACCTGTTACAGACCTGTTACAGACCTGTTACAGACCTGTTATAACATGTTACAGACCTGATATAGACCTGTTATAACCTGTTACAGACCTGTTACAGACCTGTTAAAACATGTTATAACATGTTATAGACCTGTTACAGACCTGATAAAGACCTGCTATAACCTGTTACAGACCTGTTATAACCTGTTACAGACCTGTTATAGACCTGCTATAACCTGATATAGACCTGTTACAGACCTGTTACAGACCTGTTACAGACCTGTTGTAGACCTGCTATAACGTGTTAAAGACCTGATATAGACCTATTACAGACCTGATATAGACCTGATATAACCTGTTACAGACCTGTTATAGACCTGCTATAACCTGTTAAAGACCTGATATAGACATGTTATAACCTGTTACAGACCTGTTATAACTGGTTACAGACTTGATATAGATCTGTTACAGACCTGTTACAGACCTGTTATAGACCTGTTACAGACCTGTTATAACCTGTTACAGACCTGATATAGACCTGTTACAGACATGTTATAGACTTGTTATAACCTGTTACAGACCTGTTAAAACATGTTATAACCTGTTACAGACCTGCTATAACCTGTTACAGACCTGCTATAACCTGTTAAAGACCTGATATAGACCTGTTACAGACCTGATATAGACCTGCTATAACCTGTTACAGACCTGTTATAGACCTGCTATAACCTGTTAAAGACCTGTTACAGACCTGTTATAACCTATTACAGACCTGATATAGACCTGTTATAGACCTGTTACAGACCTGTTAAAACATGTTACAGACCTGTTATAAAACTGTTACAGACCTGTTAAAGACCTGTCATAACCTGTTACAGACCTGTTATAACCGGTTACAGACTTGATATAGATCTGTTATAGACCTGTTACAGACCTGTTATATACCTGTTACAGACCTGTTACAGACCTGCTATAACCTGTTACAGACCAGTTATAGAACTGTTACAGACCTGTTACAGACCTGTTATATTTTTTTACAGACCTGTTATAGACCTGTTATAGAACTGTTACAGACCTGTTATAGACCTGTTACAGACCTGTTATAACCGGTTACAGACTTGATATAGATCTGTTATAACCTGTTATAGACCTGTTACAGACCTGTTACAGACATGTTACATACCTTTTACGGACCTGTTACAGACCTGTTATAACCTGTTACAGACCTGCTATAGATCTGTTACAGACCTGCTATAGATCTGTTACAGACCTGTCACAGTGCTGTTACAGACCTGTTACAGACCTGTTACAGACCTGTTATAACCGGTTACAGACTTGATATAGATCTGTTATAACCTGTTACAGACCTGATATAGACCTGTTACAGACCTGTTATAACCTGTTACAGACCTGTTATAGACCTGTTACAGTGCTGTTACAGACCTGTCACAGTGCTGTTACAGACCTGTTACATACCTGTTATAACCTGTTAAAGACCTGTTAAAGACCTGTTATAGCATTTTACAGACCTGTTCTGACCTGTTATAGACCTGTTATAGTCCTGCTGGAGATCAAGTTGAGGAGTGAGTGTGATAATATGACTGCGAGAGAGAGAGAGAGAGAGAGAGAGAGAGAGAGAGAGAGAGAGAGAGAACGAGAGAGAGATGGGAGAAAGAGAGAGAACGAGCGAGAGAGCGAGGAACAGAAACAGTGCGTTTCCTTAACTCTGCATTGAGAACCTCATTGACTGAGGTTATTGACACCACTGAACCCTCCTGTCCTGGTTTTTGACTGGTGTGTTCATCTAGTCACCTACCTATCTCCTGACTGTTCATTGGTGTGTTGGACCAGTCCCTACCTGTGTCCTGATTGTTGATTGGTATGTTTCTCTGCAGTGGGCGGTCTTATGGACTTTGATGACTTCTGTGAGCTAATGGGTCCCAGGATAATGGGGGAGACTGTTGACATGCTGGGGCTGAAGGAGCTCAGATCAGCCTTCTCTCAAGTAAGAGACTGAGATTGGAACCAAAATAAACTACAAACAGAAAACACAGGCATTATAACTCAAACTTTAATCTCCCAGCTTTTACATCCTTGCATGATTGACCTTACCTACTCTTCCTCAAGTTCAGATTCAGCCCTCAACCAATATTAAGTCACCTGTTTACTTAATCACCCCCATCCTCTCATCCTCAACATCCTCTCCTCACCTCTCCTCCTCTACTCCTCAACTCTCCTCTCTCCTCACCTCACCCCTCCTCACCCCTCCCCTCATCTCTCCTCAACCCTCCTCTCATCAACTCTCCTCCCCTCTCCCCTTCTCACCGCTCCTCACCTCTCCTCACCCCTCCCTTCACCTCTCCTCCCCTCTCCTCTCTCCTCTCAGTTTGACCAGGACTGTGATGGGAAGATCAGTCAGGATGAGATGAAGGAGGCGGTGAAGTGTTTTCTGGGGGAGAAACTGAAGAAAGGAGAGCTGGAGGAGATCCTCAAGGAGATTGACATCAACGGAGACGGAAGCGTCGACTTTGACGGTGAAGAGATAATTTTGCACACACACACACAGATGTAGGTGAGGTCACATACACACACACACGTGGAGGAAATACTCACATTCAGGACACACACAAAGAAGTATGATCACACATGTACGCATTAACGCACAGTCACACACACACACACACAATTCTCTAATGCAGTGGTGGCCCAAAATGTTGTGGCCTTTCTAATTTCCCTCTCTTGCCTTCCAGAGTTCGTCATGATTCTGTCCATTCGATAAGCACTGGAAGACTTGAGGGGACGCTATCGTTTCAATGAATCTTGGGAGACAAAGACGGATTTAACCTTGTGTGTGTGTGCATCTGTATGTACTACATATACACTACATATATACTACATAAATACAACAAATGTACTACATATATGTGTTTGTGTCTGTAGGTATGCTACAAGATCATATCCATGCCTAACTATGTACTGTGTATATCATCAGCTCTAAGGATGAGATGCACTCCTCCTCTCCTGTTCTCTCCTCCTCTTCTCTACTCTACTCTTCTCCTCTCATCTCCTGTTTTCTCCTCCCCTCCTCTCTTCTTCTCTCCTCTCCTCACCATCCTCTCCTATTCTCCTCTCATCTCCTGTTTTCTCCTCCCCTCCTCTCTTCTTCTCTCCTCTCCTCACCATCCTCTCCTCACCATCCTCTCCTATTCTGCTCTCATCTCCTGTTTTCTCCTCCTCACCCCTCCTCCTCTCCTCTCCTCACCCCTCCTCTTCTCTTCTCCTCTCCTCACCCCTCCTCTTCTCCTCTCCTCACCCCTCCTCTCCTCTCCTCCTCTGCTCCCCATCCTCTCTCCTCTCTTGTTCTCTCCTCTATACTTTGTGACTGAGAAAATACATAAAGGTGTGCACGTTGGGAAAGAGTATGAACTTTCATGTATTTTAAATGTATTTGGATTATGAATCAATTTGTTGACACTGATGTGATACGACATGTATATAAGATACCATATTGCTATTTTAATAAAGAAGTTGAATTCCAATCTGAGTTTCTGAGAGACTGAGTTACTACAGACAAAAAAAATCTCTGTATTAACTTTACTTCTGCAAACAACTTGACAAAGTTGACCCTTTAATTAACTTTATTCCTAAAACATTTGACATACTGTATGCAGTCAACCTCAAGTCTAAATCTTAACACAATGAAAATAAAAGAAAAAACCTTAAAGGGATAGTTCAGCAATTGTACATATTTTTGTTTCCTCACCATGAAAGCAGTCTATATTAACAAAACTAAAGTTTGCAGTCATTACTTGTCTATAGACTGCTTTCAAAGTTAGGAAAAAAATATCTAAATATGTAAAATAGCAATAACAACTACCCCTTAAAGCAGAGTTGATATTCTGTTCTCAGCAAAACTCCAGCCTTACCATCACTCCAACGGTGAGACACAGAGTATCATCAGTTAAACACTACTACCTGTTAGCATATATTATATTATCAAACTATGTGCCGTATCATGCAGCGTATCTAGAGTCAGGAGTTTTTCCAGATCATGGAACAGTCTATAATACAGTACTAGCCTAATACTCTTAACAAACTAGTGCTTTTATCAGTCAGTTCACATGGCCAGAAAAAACGCTTGGCCCCTAAGGATATCTGCAGAAAGTCTTGTCGTCCAACACAAATTAAACAAATGAAAAAATAAAATAAAAAAACAACGTACATTTTTTACAAAAAATAGCTAAGTCACATGAGCGGAAAATAGAAATAAGAAATAAGAAATAAGAATGGCTTCTTTGTATCATTAACTGACTAGAGGGAATGTCTTCTTAAAGAGACAGTTCAGTGATTTTACCTTGAAAGCAGTCTATGGACCATAAAAATGGCTGAACTATCCTTTTAACTAAGTTTTGTAACCCTTCATGATGTCAGATTGAAATGAACGGGTCTGGGTAAAGGTCTTCATACTGTAACTATGTGTCTGAATTAACAACAACCGTTGACAGGTTGAGTTAAACACTTTTTGTGCGTTGATCGATAATGCAGCTTATGTATCACATACAGTGGGGAAAAAAAGTATTTAGTCAGCCACCAATTGTGCAAGTTCTCCCACTTAAAAAGATGAGAGAGGCCTGTAATTTTCATCATAGGTACACGTCAACTATGACAGACAAATTGAGAAAAGAAAATACAGAAAATCACATTGTAGGATTTTTAATGAATTTATTTGCAAATTATGGTGGAAAATAAGTATTTGGTCACCTACAAACAAGCAATATTTCTGGCTCTCACAGACCTGTACCTTCTTCTTTAAGAGGCTCCTCTGTCCTCCACTCGTTACCTGTATTAATGGCACCTGTTTGAACTTGTTATCAGTATAAAAAAACACATGTCCACAACCTCAAACAGTCACACTCCAAACTCAACTATGGCCAAGACCAAAGAGCTGTCAAAGGACACCAGAAACAAAATTGTAGACCTGCACCAGGCTGGGAAGACTGGATCTGCAATAGGTAAGCAGCTTGGTTTGAAGAAATCAACTGTGGGAGCAATTATTAGGAAATGGAAGACATACAAGACCACTGATAATCTTCCTCGATCTGGGGCTCCACGCAAGATCTCACCCCGTGGGGTCAAAATGATCACAAGAACGGTGAGCAAAAATCCCAGAACCACACGGGGGGACCTAGTGAATGACCTGCAGAGAGCTGGGACCAAAGTAACAAAGCCTACCATCAGTAACACACTACGCCGCCAGGGACTCAAATCCTGCAGTGCCAGACGTGTCCCCCTGCTTAAGCCAGTACATGTCCAGGCCCTTCTGAAGTTTGCTAGAGTGCATTTGGATGATCCAGAAGAGGATTGGGAGAATGTCATATGGTCAGATGAAACCAAAATATAACTTTTTGGTAAAAACTCAACTCGTCGTGTTTGGAGGACAAAGAATGCTGAGTTGCATCCAAAGAACACCATACCTACTGTGAAGCATGGGGGTGGAAACATCATGCTTTGGGGCTGTTTTTCTGCAAAGGGACCAGGACGACTGATCCGTGTAAAGGAAAGAATGAATGGGGCCATGTATCGTGAGATTTTGAGTGAAAACCTCCTTCCATCAGCAAGGGCATTGAAGATGAAACGTGGCTGGGTCTTTCAGCATGACAATGATCCCAAACACACCGCCCGGGCAACGAAGGAGTGGCTTCGTAAGAAGCATTTCAAGGTCCTGGAGTGGCCTAGCCAGTCTCCAGATCTCAACCCCATAGAAAATCTTTGGAGGGAGTTGAAAGTCTGTGTTGCCCAGCGACAGCCCCAAAACATCACTGCTCTAGAGGAGATCTGCATGGAGGAATGGGCCAAAATACCAGCAACAGTGTGTGAAAACCTTGTGAAGACTTACAGAAAACATTTGACCTGTGTCATTGCCAACAAAGGGTATATAACAAAGTATTGAGAAACTTTTGTTATTGACCAAATACTTATTTTCCACCATAATTTGCAAATAAATTCATTAAAAATCCTACAATGTGATTTTCTGGATTTTCTTTTCTCATTTTGACTGTCATAGTTGACGTGTACCTATGATGAAAATTACAGGCCTCTCTCATCTTTTTAAGTGGGAGAACTTGCACAATTGGTGGCTGACTAAATACTTGTTTTCCCCACTGTACACATTGATTTCCCTAATTTGTATAGAACTAGAGATTCAATATGTAAACACTGTAATGTGTTTCCCAAATCCTTTGTAGCTAATGTTGTACATTATCTCTCTCTACAACCCAGTAAAGGAGCGACATTTTTGACCGTCAAGGAGCGATATTTGTCAAATGTAGGACTTTGCTGTTCTACGAGTGGCTTGAGTCGAGGAAAAAAAAAGTACCATATGAGCGAAGGCTTTGGTAAACCCATCCCATATCACAACGCCTCTGTGTGGCAAAGCTTTTAGGGAAGTCAGCACGATGGTGATATTATTGAGCTTTGATCAAAACGCCATGCCATACTGCGAGCAAGTGTTCTTCACTGTCACTGTGTCACCCCACTCTCAAGCACAACACGACAAGTCCAAGTCACAAGTCTCCCTCCTTCCAACAGTCTCCCATTGTAATGGCAACAAGCGTTCTGGTTTCTCATAGCAACGTCCGTAGCAACGTCCGTCATTCAACTACACTTAGGTATCCAAAACAAATGTTTTTTTTACATTTGTTTTGGATATACCTACCTAGTTGTTCCTGCCATACCCAGCACTCTAGATGCAGGGTTTATCCAACTACCCTTCTTTGGTGAGTTCGTCAGCGAACTCGGCCATGATGTCATGAACCCAGATGTCCCTCTCCTCCTGCGAGGTGTCGACCAGGAAGACAGTCAATTTCCTGTCCCAGGGGTGATCCGCTTCCTGTACCGCCTCCAGCTGGGCCACCAGCGGCTTCTTCTCCACATGGTTCCGGAACACGATGGAAGCCTCCTCCGACCACTGCCTCGGCTTCACTCCTATTGGTGGAGAGGAAATGTTAGCCAATCAACAAGCTTCATATGAAAAAAATCTATCCTAGGAATTATGTATGAGAAATAGGCAAGTTAAAAGGGATTTTAATTTCAGGAAAAGGAAACACAAAATGTAAAGTAAAACATTTATATCAAATATCCTCTAAACCAAGGGTGTCAAACTCATTTTGCCCGGGGGGCAGAATTCGGTCTTCAACAAGGTCCGGAGGGCTGCATTGAAAATTGGTTATATTTCCTGGCGTCAAAATTTGCAAAAGATAGTCCTCTATCAATCATTGTTGGAATTTCCGATGCTCCCTGACTGTCTAGCTTTAATTTCTGTGATTATTAGTGAGGTATAAAAACAGTATACATTTATGTCCATTATCATTTCTACACAGTATAAATTTGGTTTGAGTAATTTTAAAGTATATTGAATTAGTTCCCTCGCCCCCCAAAAACAACAAAACACTTTTTCTTTTTTTTTACCACCTGTGGGCCGGATTGGACCCCCTCGCGGGCCCGTATGTTTGACACCCCTTCTCTAAACTAATGACTGCAATGCTGAAGTAATTTCTCAGTTCAGTTGCTATCCTGGCCACCACAGGACTTCCTACTCAAACGTTCTGTATGTTCAGAATGAATTGACTTATCTAGACATTAACGAGCTCAAGGACCATGTGACACATGTAGAGATGCTTCCAGAGGTCCTTGTTCACATCAACAATAACAATAAAAGCAACACAGCCATATAAGGGACATAACTCTTTTTCCAAAATGTGCAAATAAGAAGAACCAGTTGTTGCTGATTCTTTTGCAGTCTGGGTGCATTCTGAAGTCTACGGTATATGGTTGTCTGGGGCAATGCTCCTTAGTTACCTGCGAGTTGTGCGGTGATGCCCTGGAATGGTAGCTGTCGGAATTCCTGTATGAGGGGGCGGAGCTGTGTGCTGCTGACCAGCTCATGTTTACCATAGTCCAGTTCATAGACCGACACCTGACCGTTGGTCAACACCCCCTTCACCAGCACACGGTGCCAACTGGGAGGGCACAGAGAGGTCAATTAATCAAGTTAATTCAATCAAGAGGTTTGTTAATTCAAGTTCATCCTTAGTCTGGGTGCCCAAATAAACTAGGTGACTAATTTAATACACTGTTAATGAATGCAGTCAGACTATCTTACAAGAAGCCCTACACAAATCTCTCATACACACTCCTGAATCATCTGGTGTGCCCAACACACTCGGTGCTAATTTAAGTAACACTGTTACAGTGCCTCAACTATCTTTACAAGAGCCCTAACACAATCTGTTATGCAACACTCCTGGGTTACAGTGCCTAACACCTCCTGGGTTACAGTGCCCTAACACACTCCTGGGTTACAGTGCCCTAACACACTCCTGGGTTACAGTGCCCTAACACACTCCTGGGTTACAGTGCCCTAACACACTCCTGGGTTACAGTGCCCTAACACTCTCCTGGGTTACAGTGCCCTAACACACTCCTGGGTTACAGTGCCCTAACACACTCCTGGGTTACAGTGCCCTAACACACTCCTGGGTTACAGTGCCCTAACACACTCTCCTGGGTTACAGTGCCCTAACACACTCCTGGGTTACAGTGCCCTAACACACTCCTGGGTTACAGTGCCCTAACACTTCCTGGGTTACAGTGCCCTAACACACTCCTGGGTTACAGTGCCCTAACACACTCCTGGGTTACAGTGCCCTAACACACTCCTGGGTTACAGTGCCCTAACACACTCCTGGGTTACAGTGCCCTAACACACTCCTGGGTTACAGTGCCCTAACACTCTCCTGGGTTACAGTGCCCTAACACACTCCTGGGTTACAGTGCCCTAACACACTCCTGGGTTACAGTGCCCTAACACACTCCTGGGTTACAGTGCCCTAACACACTCCTGGGTTACAGTGCCCTAACACACTCCTGGGTTACAGTGCCCTAACACTCTCCCAAGACACATTTCCACCCTCCCCCCCCCCCCCATATGCCCCCGGCTCCCATCCACTACCAACAAACGTACTTGTTCTCCACTTTGGCAGCATATATCTGGTTCTTCTCCCCTTTGAGAGGCTTCGCCTCTGTTTTGTTATAGTGCAGGATCATCTCTCCCATCAGAACCACCAGCTTGTACATATCTCTCCAAGGTTGCAGTACGAAGTGGCCCGGATGACACGCCACCGACACATAGATATCCATGTTATGACCTGCAGCAGAGACAGATTTAGAGAGAGTTTGGACCATAGAATTACATATAGAACACTAGAATGGACTTTGGCATCCTAGCAACATGACTAAATATCGGCCATCTTGGTCAGGAAAACTCGGTCAGGAAACGGATAAAATTTTAAAATATTGTATAAAACAATGCATTTGTAGATACAGTCAGTTCCCAAATTATTGGCAACCTTGATAAAGATTAGCAAAAAAAGTCTGGCTAAAAATGTTTACAGTCTTTTTAGCTCATCTTTATCAAGGGTGCCAATAATTTGGGATCTGACTGTATCTGTGGACAGTAGGGAATGCTCAAAGGTGCTAACATGGTGTCCGTTCTAAAATAACCCTACATAGTTCACTATTTAAATGGTGCTCTGGTCAAAAGTAGTGCACTAAATAGGGAATAGGGTGTCATTTAGGACACATCCTAAATATATGGTACTGACCTGCAGGGGGGAGTTCCAGCAGCAGGGGCAGCTTGTGTGGTGTGGTGGATGAGGGAGGTGGGGGAGTCCCAGGAGGGGTGCTTGTACTCCCCGTCGGCCTCGGTGCCGAGCCCGAGTGGGCGTGTCTCAGCTGGGGCTTGGTCCCGTTGGAGCTGGGCGTGGGGGTGGTTGTGCAGGTCTTGGGGGTGGAGGTGAGGGTGGCAGTGGAGGTACAGGTGGAGGTCTTGGAAGGGCTGTGATAAGAGAAGATGAAATATATTTTATTGTCATTTGTCACAGAGCCACTCAAATGTGTATTTTTCCTTTACCCCAACCCCACGAGAAAGCGGAGTTCGCACAACGGCAGGAGATTCCACACTGTGTAGGAATCAGGAACTGACTTGTTGGAATAGACTCCCAGCCCTACCTGTGGCTCCTGAGGAAGACATCGCCTCTGTGTTTGAAGAGATCCGAGGCGACCATTTGACGGTTGAGACTCCTCGCGGGGTCTTGGAAGTTCTTGTCGGTGAACAGGTAGACATGGACTACACTGTGTTTGGTCTTGTCCAGCTTGGCGATCTGTGGAAGGATGGAGGGATGGAGGGAGGGATGGAGGGAGGGAGGGAGGGATGGAGGGAGGGAGGGAGGGAGGGATGGAGGCAGGGAAGGAGGGAGGGAGGGGGTTGATAATAAGCCCAATATCTCAATATACAATAAACATATTTATCATACAAAATAGCCCAAACTCAGAGTGACGTTTCCAATGTTTACTCAGCGAAGAGGTACCAGCTGAATAAACACATTCAATTCAGTGTCCATTTATACCCTGAGCTCTCACCCCCTCCCTTCCACAAAAATGTATTTCAGTACTTTTCCATCATCCAGGATTTCTCCATGCTCCTCCATACACATCACAGGACTTCTTATGAGTCAGCACCTTGAGTTATTGGGAGTACACATTCCTACCGTCTACCACTAAATATTTACACTTCTCATACACAAAGCGCTTAAACCTAACACTACTTTTCAATCTCTAAAGATTTATAAAAACGGTATATTCATACTAACAGGATATAATGATATAAAACATAAAACAGTAATATAAAACAGTAAAGATATAAAACAGTAAAGATATAAAACAGTAATTTACGATCTATCAGTGTTAAGAAGAATTCCGCTGTAAGTTTACAATGGTCACTTGTCAGGGAGACTGACAGGAGTATGTGTGTGCATTTGTATCTCAGTGTGAGTATACAGTGTGTGTGCATGGTGTGTGTGTGTGTGTGTGTGTGTTGATACATTCTCAGAATTGATATTGGCAGGTGTCACACACTCACAAAAAAGATGAGTTCTATATAAAGCATACCCAATCACACGGAGGAAAATGAGGTGTAATACATCACCTTCATGCTGCAGTCTGTAGAGCTGAGCACGGCGTCTCGGAGCCACTGAACAGCGTCTGGAGTCCAGGAACCCACACCACTCACAGTCAGCTCAGCCAGACAACACTTCACCGCCTAGAGAGAGACTACTGTACGTCAGACTACATTACCCAGACAACACTTCACTGCCTAGAGAGACTACTGCACGTCAGACTACGTTACCCAGACAACACTTCACCGCCTAAAGAAACTACTGCACGTTAGACTACATTACCCAGACAACACTTCACCGCCTAAAGAGAGACTCCTGTACGTCAGACTATGTTACCCAGACAACACTTCACCATCTCTAGAGAGACAACTGCACGTCAGAATTCATTACCCAGACAACACTTCACCATCTCTAGAGAGACTACTGCACGTCAGACTACATTACCCAGACAACACTTCACTGCCTAGAGAGACTACTGCACGTCAGACTACATTACCCAGACAACACTTCACCGCCTAAAGAGAGAGACTATTGCACGTCAGTCTACATTACCCAGACAACACTTCACCGCCTAAAGAGAGAGACTACTGCACGTCAGACTACATTACCCAGACAACAGTTCACTGCCAAGAGAGAGGCTACTGCACATCAGACTACGTTACCCAGACAACACTTCACCATCTCTAGAGAGACTACTGCACGTCAGACTACATTACCCAGAAAACACTTCACTACCTAGAGAGAGACTACTGCACGTCAGACTACATTACCCAGACAACACTTCACCATCTCTAGAGAGACTACTGCACGTCAGACTACCCCCCCATCCATGTTCTGACCTGTGGAGGGATGGCAATCAGGTCCCGTAGGAAAGGAGGTGGGACTTCCCTCAGCTCAAACACCTCCACCGAGGCCTGCACCCCCAGGTCTATGAAGAGGATGTCCAACACACAACTACCATGGAGGTTAGTGATCTATAGGAGAAACAGGGGAATGAGGGAGGGTGAAAGATAGGCCGCTGTGAAGAATACAGGGAAAGAGTGTGGAGAAAGTGTGGGAACATATGACCTGGTTGTCTAGGATGTGCTAGCATTGTGTGCTACAGATGTAGGATCTTAATTTGATCACTCTTCTGTTGCTGAGAATTTTCCTGCACCGCAAATGCAGATGAGCTTGATGATTTACATAAATTCACTGAAACCCCCACACACACGGTTATAATAAAAGTATTTTTCATGTAGCTTAATTTTGGCCAGCTAATAGCCTAACCACCGATCAAGCAACATTATGGACTAAATGTTAAAATCCTGTTGCTGCAGGATTCTTTTGCTGTGACAATACTGGTCAAATTAAGATCCTCCATCTGTATACATTTTGTACAATATTTGGTGTAACATTTAGCTAATTAACTATCACAATTAACTTCCTTCCAGGTAAGTCATCTTCTGCTCCACATCTTTCATTGTGGGTTAAACTGAAGCTAGATGGTATGACCTTTAGGCAGAACTGTAGCTGAGACATGCAGTATCTATCATTGCCACATCAGCTATTGACTGTATTGGTAATAGAATCCATCTCACCTCCACACGAGACCATTTGCCTTTGTAGCGTGCCAAACAGACTTTCCCACAGAACGGTCTGGACACCAGGAACTCTGATGTCACCTGCCACACAGAAGAGATTATGTCATCAGTATAGGACAGGATTATGTCATCAACATGAGACAGACACGGGCAAAAAAAACAAACATGAGATCTACGTTGACTCAGACTGTTGAAGCAGAACATTTCAGGTCAAGGTCAATATATTGTGTGTAGATTGATGAGGAAAAAAACAATTTAATCAATTTTAGAACAAGGCTGTAACGTAACAAAATGTGGAAAAAGTCAAGGGGTCTGAATACTTTCCGTCTTAGTGAATGATAACTGGAGACTAGGGTAGGTACTATGTTACCACTGGGTCATTGACAGTCAGTCAGTTCCAGTGTCATGTGATGAGATCAACTAAGTAGCGTGTGTCTTAACCCCAGATTATGTTCCTTAATCTCAACTGTGTCTGGCTCTCAGCATCCTCCTCAGAAGACGACACACACACACACACACACACACACACACACACACACACCTGTGAGTGGAAGTATGCCTCAGCCTTCTCCAGGATCTCAGTGAGTTTGGCCAGACCTAGAGACGGGAGCTGACAGTAGATTGTCCCGTCTGAACACACACTTCTCACAGCCACGTTCATATAGGCACTGTTCACCTACAGTGGGAGAGAGATCCATGGCTGGGTTAGACATGATCCCATTCCACTCATTTAAACATTTTTAAAAGGTGCATCTGGAGTCTGGGAATCTGTTGGAGAACTACTATTTAGATATTACCCCAGAGTAAAATAATATGGACTGAAAAACAGGGATTAATACAGTACTGATGAAAGATGCTCAAGAATGTATTCAACCCACTGACAGTGGTACAGGTACTCTCCTCTCCTCCTCTCCTCCTCCCTCTCCTCTCCTCCCCTCCCCTCCCCTCCCCTCCCCTCCCCTCCTCTCCTCCTCCCCTCTCCTCTCCTCCCCTCCCCTCCCGTCCCCTCTCCTCTACTCTGACAGTAACCCACCTGTAGGGGGCTGGCCAGAGTCTTGTCCTGCAGGGCTTTGATACATGCAGCGTTGATGTTAACATCATCATCCTGCGACGTGTCGTACAGGACCACCAATGGGGTCTGCTCTCTCTCTAGGATCTCAGCCAACAGGATCTTGCCGCTGGCCATGGACTCAAACTTTTTCAGGACAGCAGGCTCCTGGCAGAAAGGCTCCAGACCTGCATAGGAAAACAGACAGACAGACGGACGGACAGACAGACAGACACTTCATTAAGAAGAAGAAACTGAATCCAAACATCTGACTGCAACGCTGTTGATTTTATAATTCACTGTCGAAGATTTTGATCAAAACTCACCAGCCAATTGACACTTAGTGGCCTGGAAAGGCAGTTTGAAAAACGTATCATGCAGCTCAAACACTTTGGCCTTGCTGATGACTTCCGAAAACCCGTGATCCACGTAGTAAACCTACAGATTCAACAACAGACACGCAAAAAACACAGTGAAAAAGAAGTGGAGAGAAGTGATTCATTTTCTAAAATGTCAAACCCTAAACTTTCTTCCTATCCTTAAACCATTAACATGGCACCATATATCCATAATATAACATATACCCTACGATATAGAAATCATTGTATCTTTATTAATTTAGACGTTTCAACCAATTGACCTTTGAACTCACCTTGACCTTGTCGGCCATGACCTCTGTGACTTGTGCTCGTAGTATCTCCTCGTCCTCCGCCCTGACGGCAGCCAGCTGACCCGAGGTTAGGGAGGTCAGGGGTGTACGACTGTTGTTGTCACCAGTACGGGTGTTGTTGTCCTGGCAACAGTAGAATTCTCTCATCTTGTCCTCCAGAGCCTCCTGCGCCTGGGAGTAGCCCTCTCCTATGTACCTGGATGGAGGATACACAGGGAGAGAGGGGAGGGGGGTAAGAAGAGAGAGAGAGAGGAGAGAATCTTTCATTTCTTTCTATTCATCCAGGTAAGGCATTGTCATGCCCTATTCTTACTGCACCACAACCAAACGATTCCCATGCCTATCACACTGGTTCTTACCTGAGTATGACTCCATTGGTATTAGTAGCCTCCCCCACCAAAACAGAGGGGTACTCCTTTGGGGGTATGAGAAGAGGAGGTACAGTCTGGGTGCTGAGCCTCCTCCCCACCTCCTCTCTGGCCCTGCGCTCCTCCACTGACTCCCTCCTGTTGCGGTTTTCGTCCTCCCTGGTCCTCTTGTACAGAATGGCACGTTTGGGGTTGTCCGGCATGGGGTAGTCGATGGTGCAGAAGTCGGAGAGCAGCGAGAGATTCTCCAGGACGTGTTCGGGGAATTTGGTCTTGTACGTGTCCAAGTAGAGTTTGGGTAAGGCGTGGACCCATAGACCGTTGCTGTATTTGACTAGAAGCTCTCCCAGTTTTTGTTTGAGGTCGGGAGAGAGGTTGGAGGGGGAGGCCGGAGGACTGGGGGAGGAGGAGGGGGGAGTGAGTGGGAGGGGGCTCATGGTGGTGGTAGTGGGGGTGATAGGGGACTTTGACTGGGGCTTGATGTCCATGGATGGGGTGAAGGGGGTGGAGGTGTGGGATAGGACTCTGGTAGGGATAGGGGATGGGGTCTGCGTTTGTGTTGGTTCCTTAGCTGGGTAGAGGAGTAACTCATTGGGGTTGCTACTGCATGGTTTCTCTACCTGGAACAGGAGGACATATTCTTCAGATAAACAGAGTCTACAACCACCAGTGGCCATTTGTATCAAGCATCTCAGAATAGGAGTGCTGATCAAGGATCAGGTCTTTCCTGTTCATGTAACCTTATTCATTGTGATCTAATAGTCAAAACAGATCCTAAATCAGCACGAGACTTTGATACATATGTGCCCAGATCTAAAACTAAGGATAATACTGCCATTATAAATCACACCATATGCTACGCAGTTGTGGTGACTTACAGGCTATTTGACTTAGAGAGTATCAACTGTTATTTTACCTTTATTTAACTAGGCAAGTCAGTTAAGAACAAATTCTTATTTACAATGGCGGCCTACACCGGCCAAACCCGGACGACGCTGGGCCAATTGTGCGCCGCCCTATGGGACTCCCAATCACGGCCGGTTGTGATACAGCCTGGAATCGAGCCAGGGGGTCTGTAGTGACGCCTTAAGCACTGAGATGCAGTGCCTTAGACCGCTGCGCCACTCGGGACCCCAAAGGTGCAAATATTTTTGCTATTGCGAACCAGATGAGGGATGCTTATCATGATGTTATTGTTGAATTCCATGTAAACATAGAACATGTTTGGCTAGAAAATAAAACGCTATGTACAATATCAGTATTACACTCAAACCATGTTTATTTAGCTATAAATTATTCATATTTTATTTTCAGTTTATTTTTTAAAAGCTGTATCTAATATATACAGGATCTTAATTTGAGCTAGTTTGCTACAGCAGGAAAATAATCCTGCAGCAACAGGAAATGTGGATTATAATTAATGGGCATTTTTTTAGGGGTTGATACATTTTTCGTAAAGATATATCAAGTCTGAAATTTCAAAGTAGAAATTACAAACTTCAGAAGCCTTCTTTAAACCTCAAATACACTACAAGTACATACGGTGCAGATGTGTCTCCAGTGCTCCAAGTCTTTGATTGCTTCACTAGGCAGGTCCTGTTTGTACAGTTCTCTGTAGAGCTGAGGCAGCTTGGACAACCAGAAACCATTACTGTACTTGTTCAGCACCTCTCTGATACGCCCCTGCACCTGCTGGGGGTTGTAGTTCCCACCGGATGAGGGGTTGTAGTCCTTGGGGTAGTGATGTGGCTTGGGCTTCCCAGAGCCGGCATTTCCGTTGAGGTTTGTGGGAGCTGGAGGAGGAAAGAAGAGGAGGGCGTTTTAGGTGAAGTTGGTTAGGCACGATTTGTATGAAATAATACAGGTATAGACTTGTTGTTGCACAGTTTTTGGGACGATATGGAATATATAAGTCCAGGAGTCTGTCCTGACCAGGCGGCTATAGTCTAGGGCCCTGAGAAAAACACTGTGTGTTACATTGCAAGAGACTTTTGGTGCCTCAGGGTAACACTAAAAACGTCTGCTTTCCTAGACCTGTCTCTTATTCCTAAGAAGAAAGTAATGAGTTAGCAGCCTAAAGCTAAACTCTAGCCTGTAATGTCATTTTTGCTTTGAGACGTGCTGTGCTCAAAGGACAGTAATGTGAAGGAACCAGAGGGGTCAGCGATAGCTGTGTAAATTACTGTTTCAAGAGGTTTTACTTTCGATGTAAAGACTGAACTCTCTGTGAGGAACTACACCCCAGATGAAAACAGCAATGCTGTGGACCTATAAAACCCCTGATCTGGGACATACAGTACAGTCTGTTGTAGTCCTTCAACTGTCCTACACACTGTTGCTCTGCTGGGCATTTCACTGTTGCTCTGCTGGGCATTTCACTGTTGCTCTGCTGGGCATTTCACTGTTGCTCTGCTGGGCATTTCACTGTTGCTCTGCTGGGCATTTCACTGTTGCTCTGCTGGGCATATCTAGAGGTGTGTGTGTGTGTGTGTGTGTGTGTGTGTGTGTGTGTGTGTGTGTGTGTGTGTGTGTGTGTGTGTGTGTGTGTGTGTGTGTGTGTGTGTGTGTGTGTGTGTGTGTCAGTGTCCCACGTACGGTTGCTCTGGGTGTTCCTGGAGAGGTGAGCGTGCACTTCGTTCTGGAACCGTGACGGCAGGGTCATCCTTTTGTCTGACCTAAACACACAAAAAGAAAAGAGTGAAAAATAACAATTTCTACTGTATCCTCCAAATGACAGGGAGTCCAAACAGACACTTATCAATCAATGGAGGACAATGGAGGAATAACAAACATACTTGTGTTTCATTTCCTTTTTGTTTAGTTTCCTGTTTGGATACATAATGCAGTTTGTGTCCCCATTCCTGAACCAAACAGAAACTCGGGTGGAAGAAGCCAGCAATAATCAGTCAACCCAGTCAGTGCTAGACAAGACTACTGTATTTTACATTTACATTTTAGTCATTTAGCAGACGCTCTTATCCAGAGTGACTTACAGTTAGTGAGTGCATACATTTTTCATACTGTACTCTACTGTACTCTGCTTTACTCTATTGTATTCTGCTATACTCTGCTGTACTCTGCTGTACTCTACTGTACTCTGCTGTATTCTGCTGTATTCTGCTGTACTCTATTGTACTCTACTGTATTCTACTGTATTCTGCTGTACTATACTGTATTCTACTGTATTCTGCTGTACTCTACTGTATTCTACTGTATTCTGCTGTACTCTACTGTACTCTACTGTACTCTACTTTACTCTACTGTACTCTACTGTACTCTGCTGTATTTTACTGTACTCTGCTGTATTCTACTGTACTCTGCTGTATTCTACTGTATTCTACTGTATTCTGCTGTACTCTACTGTATTCTGCTGTATTATACTGTACTCTACTGTACTCTGTTCATACTCCATAAACATTAGGCCTGTGTTAGAGTGTAGAGGCCTGAGATATCCTCATAGAAATATAATAATTCCTAGAACAGTCATCCCCATTCAATTCAATGGGTGAGCCCCTCTACCTTCTATGTCACTGATTACACCCTACAACCCATAATGCTCTCTGATGGGAACCTCTCCATCCCAGAATTACCTTAGACAATAGGAGCATAACATTCTGAATACATCATCCTTATACAACTGAGTCGCCGGGCAGAACAGCAACCATAACAGGCCATTCATTGCTTGAAATCCCCAGATAGAGATAATTGTGGGCCCCGGGCCTCATTTATCAATATTGCGTAGAAATTATTCGAAAATACTACTTACGAACGGAACTTAGGAATGTTCGTACGCATAATAAAAGTGTGATTTATCAAACAATCCTACGAGCATCATACACACACCGGTAGGAGATAACCATTGATAAATACCAATTGATCTTAGCCTCAGTGATCGTGCACGACCTTGGCTGTTTGCACTTTAAAACGCCCCTAATTAACCATATAGGGTCAAAATCCTATCTTTAAAGCCCGTGGGGAATATACAACGCCGTACCATAAAATACAAAGCACAACCAAAAAAAGGTACAAATAAATACTTTTCAATGACTGAAATAGAGGCGCTTGCGTCAGAGACTGAGTACAACCAAAAGCTTTTTATTTGGCTCGCTCAGTTGTGGCTTGACCAGTAAACATAAAAACATAGCTACAAAGAGAGGACCATTAGGACAGTTCAAGTTGCTTTAGCAACGGCAAATATACTTTAAATTAATAGTCAACACTCACCAATAAGCTATCCATCCTCAACAGCTCCCTCCTGTAGGCGTATAGGCTAACATTACTGTTCTGCAGAATGAACGAGTTGTGCGTTCCACCTGGCCACCACATTCAGCAGCGTATGTTGCGCATCACATAACCTATCACCTGTACATTATGAGTGGAAGCCTTTTCAGTTCACATAGTTGAACTAGTTTTGGGATGGTGATTTAATGGCGATGTGGGTGCCGTCTATTTCTATAATGGAAAATAAACCTGTTGCACGGTGGTGTATGGAAACTGTATGTAACTGTTCGTTTTGCTGATGATTGCATCCAAAACGTTGGTTCATCGAGGGCTGTGAGATGCCGATCAGCAGGCTCCTGCTGAAAAGTGTCCGTTGCCAAAAACCAGAGGGTGGATATCACTTGGATGGAACTTAACTTTTGGATTACCAAACTCAGTAATCTGATTACTTTCAGTGACTTTTGGATTACCAAACTCAGTAATCTGATTACTTTCAGTTAATTTTGGATGACCAAACTCAGTAATCTGATTACTTTCAGTTACTTTTGGATTACCAAACTCAGTAATCCCATTACTTTCAGTTACTTTTGGATTACTTTCTCCTTAAGAGGCATTAGAAGAAGACAAAAAGGATCCATCAAACGCATTTGGTGTGTCATCATAGTGGTCTCTGATTGGTGGTCATCATTTGGTGTGTCATCATAGTGGTCTCTGATTGGTAGTCATCATAGTGGTCTCTGATTGGTGGTCATCATTTGGTGTGTCATCATAGTGGTCTCTGATTAGTGGTCATCATTTGGTGTGTCATCATAGTGGTCTCTGATTGGTGGTCATCATTTGGTGTGTCATCATAATGGTCTCTGATTGGTGGTCATCATTTGGTGTGTCATTTTGGTGGAACAAACTTAAAACTTGCACCTTTTTTTCCATGCTGAATTGAATGTCATTGAGAAAACAGAAAGGTGTCATAATGTATTTGTATTCGCAAACATCCTTTCTGAATTTAAAAGTAATCCAAGAAGTGATCATCTCGTTTTTCAAAAGATATCTGTAATCTAATCACAATATTTTAGCTGGTAACGTAACGGATTACAGGTAGTTTTTTAAAAATATAATCAGATTCCATGTAATCCGTTGCTCTCCAACCCAGGCTGTAATGTGAGTGACCTAACATATACTCAAATACCATCAGTGACTCGACAATGGCTGAGTGATCAGTGGCAGCATGCGACAGGCTGCACACCACCCAGAGTTCTAATAATAATAATAATATAATATGCCATTTAGCAGACGCTTTTATCCAAAGCGACTTACAGTCATGCGTGCATACATTTTTGTGTATGGGTGGTCCCGGGGATCGACCCCACTACTTTGGCGTTACAAGCGCCGTGCTCTACCAGCTGAGCTACAGATAAAAGTGTGTGTATATGTGTGTATATCTATTTGTATGTGTGTGTTTATATCTGTGTGTGTGTGTATGTGTGTGTATATCTATGTGTGTGTGTGTGTTTGTGTGTGTGTGTGTGTGTGTATATCTATGTGTGTGTGTGTATGTGTGTGTGTATATCTGTGTGTGTGTGTATATCTCTGTGTGTGTGTGTGTGTGGGTATGTGTGTGTGTGTATATCCATGTGTGTGTGTATATCTGTGTGTATATGTGTGTGTATATCTATGTGTGTGTGTGTGTGTATATTGATGTGTGTGTGTGTGTATATCTGTGTGTATATGTGTGTGTATATATCTATGTGTGTGTGTATCTCTGTGTGTGTGTATATATATCAATGTGTGTGTGCTGCACTGCCAGTGTGCTCCCATGCGCGTCTCTCTGCCTTTGATTTGAGGCTGATGAAAGTAACTGTCCTACTCCAGACATGCTGAATCATTGGGCTGTTCATCTGTAGTAGGACAGGAGAGGGATTAGTCTGCCTTGTCCCTATGGTTTCAGTCATGCCACCCCGGTCTCTGCTGTGGTCCCTTGTCTGGTGAGAGAGTGCCACTGATACACATCAGTTGTTTTCATTAGCTAGCTGCCGGTGCCCAGATTGTGCCGGAAAAAATGGGAGCGGAGGGAGATAGAGGGAGGGAGCGGAGGGAGACAGAAGGGGTAAGAGAGAGAGAGAGAGAGAGAGAGAGAGAGAGAGAGAGAGGCTGTTGCAGCTCTGGTGCTACTCCTGAATAAGCACACAGGGCGGAAAGAGAGTGAGCGGGAGGGAGAGAGGGATGGCTTTCCCCACTTAACCAACCAGTGGGTTCCAGCGCCATTCATTCACCATGCTATTCTCCTTCAGGTCACTAAGGAAGACAGAGAGAAAAAAAGGAGGACCGAAGAGGACAGAGGAAAGAAAGAGAGAAAGAAACACATAGAGTGGAGAGTGAGTGACTGACCGAGAGCAAGAAAACAGAGTGGAGAGTGACTGACTGACTGAGAGAAAGAAACATGGAGGGGAGAGTGAGTGACTGACAGAGAAAGAAACAGAGTGGAGAGTGACTGACTGACTGAGAGAAAGAAACACAGAGTGGAGAGTGAGTGACTGACTGAGAGAAAGAAACACAGAGTGGAGAGTGAGTGACTGACTGAGAGAAAGAAACAGAGTGGAGAGTGAGTGACTGACTGACAGATAAATAAACATGGAGGGGAGAGTGACTGACTGACTGAAAGAAAGAAACATGGAGGGGAGAGTGACTGACTGACTGAGAGAAAGAAACATGGAGGGAAGAGTGACTGACTGACTGAAAGAAAGAAACATGGAGGGGAGAGTGACTGACTGACTGAAAGAAAGAAACATGGAGGGGAGAGTGACTGACTGACTGAGAGAAAGAAACACAGAGTGGAGAGTGAGTGACTGACTGAGAGAAAGAAACACAGAGTGGAGAGTGACTGACTGACTGAGAGAAAGAAACACAGAGTGGAGAGTGACTGACTGAGAGAAAGAAACACAGAGTGGAGAGTTAGTGACTGAGAGAAAGAAACAGAGTGGAGAGTGAGTGACTGACTGAGAGAAAGAAACACAGAGTGGAGAGTGACTAACAAAGAAAGAAACACAGAGTGGAGAGTGAGTGACTGAGAGAAAGAAACCTTGTCTTCATTCTTTTCATCCTTTCATTTCCTGATTCGTAGTTCCTGATTCTGATTCGTAGTTCCTGATTCTGATTCGTAGTTCCTGACTTTGATTCATAGTTCCTGATTCTGATTCATAGTTCCTGATTCTGATTTGTAGTTCCTGATTCTGATTCGTAGTTCCTGATTCTGATTCATAGTTCCAGATTCTGATTCGTAGTTCCTGATTCTGATTCATAGTTCCTGATTCTGATTTGTAGTTCCTGATTCAGATTCATAGTTCCTGATTCTGATTCATAGTTCCTGATTCTGATTCGTAGTTCCTGATTCTGGTTCGTAGCTCCTGACTTTGATTCGTAGTTCCTGATTCTGATTCATAGTTCCTGATTCTGATTCGTAGTTCCTGATTCTAATTCGTAGTTCCTGACTTTGATTAATAGTTCCTGACTTTGATTCATAGTTCCTGATTCTGATTTGTAGTTCCTTAAAGCTGGAATCCTTAACGGTATTACAACAACAAAGAAGATACATCATTGTACGCACAGTAGACAAGCAAAATATGTACTCCAATGTTTTTCACCAAGCTGCGCGACACTCCTCAGCTCCGCAACAGAAACAATAACAACCGTGCTGGGGTGGCCAGTGGCACTATTCCCCCTGCTGCAGATTCTACCTTTAACAGAGTAAGTAACTCTAACGATTTAGATAACAGGGACAAGGGAATACAGGCCATCGTTTTTAGTTTCTAGAGCGTCGTTCTACAGCGACAGCATTTCAAACGGCCCCAACAGAGGATAGCTATTCACACTACTAGGTCATCAGGGTGAGAGAAAAAAAACGTCAGTCTGTCTTTCTTTTTGCCAAGTTCTTCCTCCATTTAACTCCCTTCAGTCATAAGGGAATGATTAGTGCAGTCTAGCCAGTCTGTTTATGGTTTCCGAACAATCACCACTCACCTCTCAGAGGGCACAGAGAACTTCCTGGTAGTAGGGGTGTTCTGATTGGTTGGTTTGTTCTGGTTGGAGCTCTGATTGCTCTTTCCCTCTGATTGGGTGGCCCTCATGTCCCTCCGCTGTCTGAAGTCTCCATGCTGGCCTCCCGACCCTCGGCCGCCCCCACCTCCTCCTCCTCCTCCTCCTCCTCCTCCTTCTCCTCGCCCCACACCACGGACCCTGTGGTCTGGCTGTCTCAGAGAGGTTCTGGGCTTGGCTGGGGAGGAGAGGAGAGAAGGTAGTGTCAGAATGAAAGAAATACATAGTGGTATATATACATGCAAACATGTACAGTACTTACACACACGAATAGGCAAAACATTCCATGTCATGCCATGTCAAACTCACGAACGCACGCACTTCACATTCATCATCTACAAAAGGTCAGTTGACAAGGGGAGAAAATAAAACAGTTTGACAAGACACTGACGTAAGGCTTCCTGTGCTTTAGTCAATCAGAAAAAACAGACAAGTCACTATAACTGTCACTGTGGATTACATCATCATCATGTTTTGCTGTGCAGCTCAGTTTTGAGATGACATCATACCTTCCAGTCCATTCCAGTAATGACATCAATCATCCCGAAAAGCCAGGCTGACAAGTCATCATTACCAGTGGGAACAAACTGATGACATTGTAGCTTTCTAATATGTTCAATCATCATACTCTTTTTTTCCCAAGCTCTGATTGGAGGCCAGATATTCTAGAATCTCTCTGCATCACTTACATGACATCGTACACAACATGATCAAAGGTATGTGGACACCTGCTTGTCAAAAATCTACTTTCAATATTATGGGCATTAATATGGAGTTGGTCCCCCCTTTGCTGCTATAACAGCCTCCACTCTTCTGGGAAGGCTTTCCACTAGATGTTGGAACATTGCTGCAGGGACTTGCTTCCATTCAGCCACAAGAGCATTAGTGAGGTCGGGCACTGAGGTTGGGCGATTAGGCCTGACTTGCAGTTGGCGTTCCAATTCATCCCAAAGGTGTTCGATGAGGTTGAGGTCAGGGCTCTGTGCAGGCCAGTCAAGTTCTTCCACACTGATCTCGACAAACCATTTCTTTATGGATCTTGCTTTGTGCATGGGGGTATTGTCATGCTGAAACAGTAAAGGGCCTTCCCCAAACTTTTGCGACAAAGTTGGAAGCACAGAATCATCTAGAATGCCACTGTATGCTGTAGCGTTAATATTTCCCTTCACTGGAACTAAGGGGCCTAGCCCGAACCATGAAAAACATCCCCAGACCATTATTCCTCCCCCACCAAACTTTACAGTTGGCACTATGCATTGGGGCAGGAGGCGTTTTCCTGGCATCCGCCAAACCTAGATTAGTCCGTCGGACCGCCAGATGGTGAAGCGTGATTCATCACTCCAGAGAACGCGTTTCCACTGCTCCAGAGTCCAATAGCGGCGAGCTTTACACCACTCCAGCCGAAGCTTGGCATTGCACATGGTGATCTTAGGCTTGTGTGCGGCTGCTCGGCCATGGAAACCCATTTCATGAAGCTCCCGACGAACAGTTCTTGAGCTGACGTTGCTTCCAGAGGCATTTTGGAACTCGGTAGTGCCTGCTGAAACCGAGGATAGATGATTTGTACACGCTACGTGCTTCAGCACTCGGCAGTCCAGTTCTTGTGTGGCCTACCTCTTCGTGGCTGAGCTGTTGTTGCTCTTAGACATTTCCACTTCACAATAACAGCACTTACAGTTGACTGGGGCAGCTCTAGCAGGGCAGAAATTTGATGAACTAACTTGTTGGAAAGGTGGCATCCTATGACAGTGCCACGTTGAAAGTCACTGAGCTCTTCTGTAAGGCCATTCTACTGCCAATGTTTGTCTATGGAGATTGCATGGCTGTGTGCTTGATTGTATACACCTGTCAGCAACGGGTGAGGCTGAAATCACCAAATCCACTAATTTGAAGGGGTGTACACATACTGTTGTATACAGTGGCTTGCGAAAGTATTCACCCCACTTGGCATTTTTCCTATTTAGTTGCCTTACAACCTGGAATTAAAATTGGTTTTGGGGGGGTTTGTATCATATGATTTACACAACATGCCTACCACTTTGAAGATGCAAAATATGTTTTATTGTGAAACAAACAAGAAATAAGACAAAAAAACAGAAAACTTGAGCGTGCATAACTATTCACCCCCCCAAAGTCAATACTTTGTAGAGCCACCTTTTGCAGCAATTACAGCTGCAAGTCTCTTGGGGTATGTCTCTATAAGCTTGGTACATCTAGCCTCTGGGATTTTTGCCCATTCTTCAAGGCAAAACTGCTCCAGCTCCTTCAAGTTGGATGGGTTCCACTGGTGTACAGCAATCTTTAAGTCATACCACAGATTCTCAATTGGATTGAGGTCTGGGCTTTGACTAGGCCATTCCAAGACATTTAAATGTTTCCCCTAAAACCACTCAAGTGTTGCTTTAGCAGTATGCTTATGGTCATTGTCCTGCTGGAAGGTGAACCTCCGTCCCAGTCTCAAATCTCTGGAAGACTGAAACAGGTTTCCCTCAAGAATTTCCCTGTATTTAACGCCATCCATCATTCCTTCAATTCTGACCAGTTTTCCCAGTCCCTGCCGATGAATAACATCCCCACAGCATGATGCTGCCACCACCATGCTTCACTGTGGGAATGGTGTTTCGGGGTGATGAGAGGTGTTGGGATTGCACAAGACAAAGGGTTTTTTCGTGATGCCCAAAAACCAAATTGCCAATATTTTTATTTTTTAAAACTTTTTTTTATTTCCCTTTTACCAAGGGGGTTTTTATTTTGGGGCTTTCTTAAAGGGGGGAAAATAAACCATTTTGAAATAAATTTTTTAATTTTTTAAAAACTTTTTTAAAAACCAAATTTGGTATTTTTTTTCCAAAAGAAATAAAAAAAATCTTAAAATTACGGTTTGAAAAAAAAATTAGGAAAAACCCAAAGTTTTGGAAAATTTTCCCGCCACATAATATCAAACCACAAACCCATTCCTTTTCCGAATAAACCCCCCCAAAACCCATCAGCTTTACATATTTTTAAAACACTCCCCACAAAAACCTATACACATAACCCATTCCCCCACCCACACTATTTCCACTCAAAAAAAAAAAAAAAAAAAAAAAAAAAAAAAAAAAGGGAAAAAAAAAAAAAAAAAAAAAAAAAAAAAAAAAAAAAAAAAAAAAAGAAAAAAAAAAAGAAAAAAAAAAAAAAATTAAAAAAAAAAAAAAAGAAAAAGAAAAAAAAGAAAAACAAAAAATAAAAAAACAAAAAAAAAAAAAAAAAAAGAAAAAAAAAACAAAAAACAAAAAACCAAAAAAAAGAAACAAAAAAAAACCCCACACAACACAAAAAACAAAAAAACAAAAAAAAATGCAAAAAAAGAAAAAAACCCAAAAACCCCCCACCCCCCCAAACCCAAAAAAAAGAACCAAGAAACCCCGGAAACCAAAAACCCCCACCCAACCACCCCCACAACAACCCAAACACCCACCACACAACACCCCCAAACCCCCCAAAACACTAAAATCCCAACCCAAAACACCACCCCCCCCCCAAAAAAAAAACTACTTAACAACCCAAAAACCCCACTCCACCAAAACTCCACCCATCCAACCCACCCACTCATTATTCCACACAACCAACTATTAATCCACACACCCCACACTACTCCACCTTAAGCCTTCCACAGCAGCCGGAGCCCCCTATCCCACTCCTTTTACAGAACTTTAGTCCAGCTATTACCGAATGTGGCAGTTGTCTCACAACGAAAAAATCAGTGATAGTTAGGACAAGGTTGAGGGGCGAGGCCGACACCGGCGGTGGCAAGACAGGACAGAACAGTGAATAGAAAAACCCAGAGCCCATTTTTTTGGATTTCGGGAAAGGATAAATATTTCTAGCGTGTAAAACCCGTTCAGTAGATGGAAGGGGGAGATTTAAACAGAGGCTCTGCTTGGGGATGCGAAAACAGCAACCCCGCCCGTTGTTCCAAAAGCCGGTTCGCCGGGGGGAAGGGGAAAGGGAAAAACGGGAGAGAGCCGACAAGGAAAAAAGAAGGCCACGCGAGGGGAGAGCGGGGAAAAAAAAGAAGGCAGAGGAAGGGAGAAGGAAAAAGGAGGGAAGGGGGAAAAAAGAAAAAAGAGGAGGAGGGGGAAAAGAGAGAAAGGGGGGAAAGAAGAGGAGGGAGGAAAAGAGAGAGAAGGGAAGGAGAGAGGGGGGAGGAGGAAAGGGGGAGGAAAGAAAGAGAAGAGAGGAGGGGAGGAAAGGAGGAGGAAGGAAAGGAAAAGGAGAGGGAAGAAGAGAAGAGAGAAAAAGAGAGGAGAGAAGAGAGGAAAAGGAGAGAGACGGAGGAGAGGGAGGAGAGAGGAAGAGAGAAAGAAAAACCCAAAAGAAGGTTTCCAAAAGGAAAAAGGGGAAAAAAAAAAACCCCCAAAAAAGGGGGAAAAACAAAAAAAAGAGGAGGAAGGGGGAAGAGAAAGAAAAAAAAAAAAAAAGGAGGAAAAGGAGAGGGAAAAAGGGAAGAAAGGGCAGGGAAAAAGGGGGGGGGGGAAAAAAAAAGGAAAAAAAAGAGAAAAGGGGGGGGAAAAAACAAAAAAAAAAGGGGTTTTAAGCTCATTGAAGGGAAATAGAAAAAAAAAAGTTTGAGAATTACGAAATAAAATTTCCCCCCCAAAAAAAAACCCTCCCCTTGCTTATCTTTCTTACCCCCCCGCCCGCGGGGGGGAATTTAGTCGGGGGGGGAAAAAAAAAAAAAACAAAAAAAAAAAAAAAAAGATAAAAAAGGGGGAAAAAAAAAAGGGAAAAAAAAGGGGAAAAAAAAGGGAAAAGAAGGGGGAAAAGAGAAAAAAAAAGCAAAGCATCTTTTCCCCTTTAAAAACCCCCCCCTTTTCCTCCTTGCTTCAGTTATAACCCTTTCTTCCCCCGCTTACTCCTTCCCCCCCCCCCATCTTACTTTCCCCCCTCCCCCGTTTTCCCCTAAAATCCCCCAAACCCCCCTTTTCTCTTCCTTTCCCCCTTCCCCCCCTCCCCCTTTGCTTTAAAACCTTCTTTTAAATAAACCCCCTTTTACCTCCCCCCCCTCCCCTTCTTCCCCCCTTTTTTCCAAATTTTTGGTTGTTCCCTTTCCCTTTCCCCTTTTTTCTTCCCCTCTCCCCTTTTCGACAAAAACCCACCCCTTTGCCCTGTTAGCAACCCTCTTTTTTCCCGAACTTACCCTGGAAGGACTTGGGGTTGTCCGACAAATTTTGGTGTGGAAACTACTTGTACAATTTTATTCTTACAATGGGACCATTCGTTCGAAAAAAACCCAAAAAACCCCAAGACCTGTTAGAGTAAAAAACTACACGTTCAAAAGGAAGATAATCAATTACAAATTTCAGGGGAAAATTTAACTCTTCTTTCATTTCCTTAACCTCTTCTTAAAAAACTTTCCCCCGTAACACTTGTTAAAAAACCATGTCCCAAAACGCTTTTCCCACTGGGGGAAGAGTCATCAATTACCACGTTGGTTAAAAAATTTATTCTTTCCCCCCCCCCCTCTCTCTCTCCGCTTCATCTCTCTCTCTCCCTCCCACTCTCTCTCCCTTCCTTGTGGAAACAACATTGATTCAACCAGTGTGTGCCCAGTGCGGTCCCATTGCAAACGTGGGTAGGGAATTGAGTTCAGACTCATTCTACAATCAAGCTCAAGTGTAATTTGATAAGAGTTAATTGCATGTTCACCGGTTTCGTTCCAAAAGGGGGCATTCCATGGGATCAGTATGAGGTGAAATCTCAGTTTCAAAAGGATTGGATCTCTGCTAATACAATAGCAGGTACATACAGAGACAAAGAAAGGCAGCCCTGCTCAGATAAGACCCAATATGCCTTTCTATAGGTTTGGTGGTTATGGAAAAGGCTGAGGCTGCGGTTCCATAGGTAACCACCCCGTCCCACCCCCGTCCTGAATCACGTTCTGCACATGCGTTCATTTCCCTCTACTTTACGCACAATTTGTTGTGGTCGCCTTCCCTTTACATTTCTCCCTGTCAATAGTGAATGATACGTCATCTGCATACCAACCATTTGATCTCAATCAGTTTCATTGGGATTTGCATTTAGATCTTCTTGAGTTATACAGTGTTGTTTCGAAGTAGCCTACAGTGTTGTTTCGAAGTAGCCTACAGTGTTGTTTTGAATGATGTACAGTGAGCGGATTAGAGCAGATGCTGTTAACAGACTGTAGGATAGCCTACCTGTGTTTAGTTTCAATCAAAGCACATTTTTTGCCTAGTGGCGCGAACTGTTCAGTTTTGGCCACATGAGAGAAAAATGCGACGCACAATCATCCTAAATTCTCATCAGAAATTAGGTGGTCTTTTTTGTCTTACAGTAATGTTACACTGCTATTATATTCAGTTCTGTTATGTAGAATACTATCATGATGTGATCTTGCATCATTGACTCAGCTTTGATCTAACTTTATTAAACGAGCACCATTCGCCAGAGTAGCCTGTTCTCTACGCGTAGAGCAGAGACTGTGCGTAAAGTAGAGAATCCCGCACATGCGCAGAAGCTTTGGGACCTTTAGCTGTGGGGAAGAGGGGTCCAGGAAAGTCTGATCCACAGCCACTCGATATGGAAAAATTATATGGATTAGGCAGTCAGACAAATACCTCGCCCAAACAGACACACACACACATTCAGACACACACACACATACAGACACACACACCCTACCGTTGAGGACGACAGGGGCCGTCGGTTTGACCCTCATCTGACAGCTGACAATTTGGGGTCGTCCAGTCTTCTTGGAGGTACGCTGTTTGGCCACCAGTTTGGCAACGTGGGCCGTCTCACCGGAGACCGAGGCGAAACACACCATCTGGAGAGGATCAAGAGGAGACACGCAGACGTGCACACACCACAGGGCACACTCATTATCTCACACCAGCAGGATGCTAATCATTCAGCATCATTGCTTTAATTACTTTGATGTCTCATAGAGATAACTTTTGATACATTCATTATCTTTAGCCAGCCACTGGAGTGTATGTGTGTGTATGTGCGTGTTTGTGTGTGTTTGTGTGTGTGTGTTAGTATGTGTGTGTGTCCATCCGTCCGTCTATGTGTTTGTGTCTCAGTGTGTATGTTTTCTCCTCATGCTGTTTGTCTCCCTGTCCGTCTGTCCATCCATCCATCCATCCATCCATCCATCCATCCATCCATCCATCCATCCATCCATCCATCCATCCACCCATCCGCCCGCCCGCCCGCCCGTCCGTCCGTCCATCCATCCACCTGTCCATCCATCCATCCACCCATCCATCCATCCATCCATCCATCCATCCATCCACCCGTCCGTCCGTCCATCCATCCATCCATCCATCCATCCATCCATCCATCCATCCATTCATGAGTTTGTATGTGTGTGAGTGTGAGTGTGAGTGTGAGTGTGAGTGTGAGTGTGAGTGTGAGTGTGAGTGTGAGTGTGTGAGTGTGTGAGTGTGTGAGTGTGTGTGTGTGTGTGTGTGTGTGTGTGTGTGTGAGTGTGTGTGTGTGTATGTACACTCTCTCCTCACCTCCCCAGAGCGGTTGCGTTCCATACGGACCACGCTGGGCATGCTGTGCAGCAGGGCGTCCAGACTGGCATGACCCATCTGTTTATGAGGGATCTGTTCACCGGTCAGAGCCTTGTACTCAGACTGGAGGCGAGACAAAGACACCCCGGGCCCGTTCTTATTGGCTGTCAGCACCGCCCGTAACATCCTCTTCATCAGCTCCACGTCTGTCATCTATAAGGACATAAATACAGGAAGTAGAAAGTCTTGATAACAGTTTTATTAGGATAAAGACAGCTGTTTTATATCATAGTTTGATCTATTGACCTATTCTAATAAAGGGTGACCAAAATATTACGTAACTACGATTATTTTATTTGACGAGGTTGTCCTGATAAAGGTGAGGTCAAAATACCTATTTTTCAAGGGAACCCTGGCCAAAATGCCTGGTCTCACTAGACATAACATAGTAAACGTAAATCCGGAACACCTGGCCAAGAGGGCAGAGAACTGGCACTGTCGTAGCACTTTACATTATAGCACCAGAAGTGGTAAAAACATGGTAATAGCATGGTAGGAAGTTATAGGCCACTGAAAAAGGTATGTTGCTGTGCTTGTTCTGTAATTAATGGAAACTAATTATGTCTTTGGGCACAATAAAGATGTGTTGTATTAAAAGGGATTGGTACAAGGCACAGACCCTTTAGGACATTATAAAATATACGTTGAACAGGGGTGCCTTGTCAGACAGGCTTCCTATCACTGATCTGAGAACAAATTGTCAGGGCAGGATCGATTGTGACTTATGTCTTTGACAGGTCAGAGACCCCAAGACACTGCTGGTGATGCCAGGAGTGAGGGTAGGTGATATGGGGGAAAAACTGGTCCAGAACGGACTGGACAATGGGAAGGTTCAATACTATTTGTTTTTATAGAAAATAAAACAATGCCTAGTAGTCCCCTGTAGCTCAGTTGGTAGACCATGGCGCTTGCTATGCCAGGGTTGTGGGTTCGTTTCCCACGGGGGGCCAGTATGAAAACTAACTGTACGTCGCTCTGGATAAGAGCGTCTGCTAAATGACTAAAATGTAAATGTAAATGGTGTAAGGGGCCCTCCTAGCCTGGGTACCATTCTGTTTCTGGTATCTTGCCAACTCCTTATGGAACTATGAATGACATGGATTTGGCAAGGTAGCAGAAACAGAGTGGCACCCAGGCTAGGGCCCTCCAGTTTAGTTCTACCTCAAGATCAATCTCACCAGAAAGGTTTAATCAGCGACACTGACAAATGTTAAAATGATGTTGATGACACAATTATCTTAACAATTATCTTATGCTACTAGGCCTTACAATCGTAAAACAAAAATCACTTTACATCATCTGGATTTCAAAGATTGTAAATATTGAAGGCAGTTTTAATTGGAAGTTTTCAGACTAGTTACTGCAGTCAACATGTTGAATTTATCTCATGATGAGCAAATGTAATTTCACTCTAATAGAGGGCTTTCAGTTTCGTTTATAACTTCAACACATCGCACAACGACCTGATTTGGAATTAGCAGTGCATGCAGTTTGTTTTAGCTTCAAATAGACAATGGTGCAGTCATTTTATTGTAAGAGGATTTTTTCCGCGTTTATGTAATTTATTCTATTTCATATCAACTACAGACAGTTCTCGAATTTGCCCCACAAAGACACGCCCTAAACTGTCTCCAGCAACTTTTATTTTACACATAGGCCTAACACTCTCTCAACGTCTTATAAAAAAACTGTAAGCCTACTAAATGAATAAGCCAAAAAAAGTAGTCTAAAAACAAAATAAAAGTACGATGAAAACCAAACATGTCAACATGATAAATTGTTTATATTAAGTCGCGAACGCGTCTCTCCCCAGGAATTCCTCTCCATTGACAATAGAGAACAAGTGATGACGTAATATGTCACCTCCACACCCTCCATGCCAAAGGAGCATTGGATAAAGTTGCAGTCTTTGCGCGGACAGTTAAAGCCGAAAAAGGCAAATAAATTATTTGGATCAATTAGGCTATAAAATAAAATCTAAACGTGCATTTGCAACTGTCACCAACAAGCCCCAAGTGTCCTGTCAAGCTACGTTGTGTCGCTCTATCTAGCTCCGTACTCTTGTCACTTCATGGGACACTCAGAGCGCTTTAAGCATTCACCAAATAGCATCAAAACGAAGACGTACTATCACATCAACTATTTAATCTCAGTAATAAGATCATTCATTCAAGTAATGCCAGCCAATATAACTCTTACCTTGCTGGGAAGGAACAGAGAGGACTGTGACCCGGTTAACTTGCTGCACGTCACACTCCCTGACTGTCTGTCTGTAGCCCTTGCTGTCTTGATCTGTCCCGGCTCACCCAAAGCTACGCTCGAGCCAAGCGTCTCCCAGCAGGCCCGGTTGGTGTGTTACAGTAGCCTACCTAGTCTGTGATGTGATTGGTCTTCTTCGCACAGCGCTATAGCCCCATTGTAATTCCATCATAGCGCAGGCGCCACAGCAAATACAAGCGCACTCAGGAAACAGTTCTCCAATCTACAATGATTTATTATAAGCGACACGTATTCCGTGTATAGGTCTTTTTGGTTTTCTGCATCGGTGTGCTATTGTCTTTGAGTGAGAAAAACATCAGTAGGCAAAACATTAATCACTGCCACTGTGTGCCACAAAGTAAGCTATTTATCTCAGTCTCTGTCTCTGTCTCTCTCTCTCTAGTTCTTATAAAGAGCTGAGAGCTCAACGTTTTGTATGTGCAGTGGAATGCTTCAGATGGTACTTCAGATGGAAGGTTGGCTAGACTGTTGCATAAAGTGAAGTTGCACCACAGCTGATCTTCAGACACCCAGTCAATCTCTCTTTTTTTCTCCCTCACATTTCTCCCATAGATCTGCTGCTGCCTTCCTTCCCTCCTTCCTGACTACAGTCTCCACAACCAGATGGTTATATAACTGTCGGACTGGAAGGCATGTTAAAACCCTCATGCTATGTGGGTTTTGGGATGGGATAAGTACACATTTTTATTTTATTCCTTTAGAGTCTTATCCTGAGGTTGAAGCTCTAAACATAGGCTACGTCCAAATAGTATTTTGTCAGCCCTTTACAAAGTATTTATTTTTGTATTTGTCTTTTTTGTTGTTGTATTTGTTAGGGATCCCCATTAGTTGCTGCCAAGGAAGCAGCTACTCTTCCTGGGGTCCAAACACATTAAGATGCTTACATCACACATAAAACAAAATATAAAAACAGTACATCATATAACATTATTACGCCACTATATATCTACAATACAAAATGTATAATACCACCATACAACAATATTACAATGTACGTGTGTGTAGAGTGCGTATGCTAGCGTGTGTGTGCGTATGCGTGTGTCTGTTCCTGTGTGTGTGTATCTCTTCACAGTCCCCACTGTTCCATAAGATGTGTTTGTATCTGTGCAGGCAATCTCTAACATTCATAGTTCTCTTTTCATCATAGAGAGCCTTTTAACAGCCAACAATCTGAGATAGCCTACCAAGCCATTGAATAAAAGGCTCTGAATATCTTTTCCATCTGAATAATCTATGTTGACCCCCACAACTACCACAACTATGCTTCGAGGCAAGCAACACTGAACCATGCATGAGAGCACCAACTGTTCTGGACGACTGTGTGATCTCGCTATCTGTAGCCGATATGAGTAATCCCTTTAAACAGGTTAACATTCACAAGGCCGCAGGGCCAGACGGATTACCGGGACACATGCTCAGAGCATGCGCTGACCAGCTGGCAAGTGTCTGACATTTTCAACCTCTTCCTGACCAGTCTGTAATACCTACATGTTTCAAGCAGAACACCATAGTCCCTGTGCCCAAGAACGCCAAGGTAAGTAAGTAGCCTTGCACGAGCCCTGGCATGTGTGAGCTGGAATGGATCATAGGAGCAGGAGCCTATCTCCTGTTTCTGTAGCGTAAGGCAGCTTGATGTACAAGTAAACCCCCTGAACAGGACGCTAATGTAACCTGTCTGAATGACTATCGCCCCGTAGCACTCACATATGTAGCCATGAAATGCTTTGAAAGGCTGGTCATTGCTCACATCAACATCATCATCCCAGACACCCTGGACCCACTCCAATTCGCATTCCGCCCCAACAGATCCACAGATGACGCAATCTCTATTGCACTCCACACTGCCCTTTCCCACCTGAACAATAGGAACACCTAAGTGAGAATGCTGTCCGTTGACTACAGCTCAGCGTTTAACACCATTGTCCCCTCCAAGCTCATCACTAAGTTCAGGATCCTGGAACTGAACACCTCCCTCTGCAACTGGATCCTGGACTTCCTGACGGGCCACCCCCAGGTGGTGAGGGTAGGAAACAACACATCTACCACGCTGACCCTCAACACAGGGGCCCTCAGGGGTGCGTGCTTATTCCCTTCTTGTACTCCCTGTTCACCCATGACTTTGTGGTCACGCACGACTCCAACATCATTACGTTTGCTGACAACACAACGTGGTTGGCCTGATCACCGACAACGATGAGACAGCCTACAGGGAGGTCAGAGACCTGGCAGTGTGATGTCAGGACAACAACCTCTCCCTCAACGTCAGCAAGACAAAGAAGCTGATCGTGGATTACAGGAAATGGAGGGCCGAGCACGCCCCTATCAACATTGATGGGGCTGTAGTGGAGCGGGTTGAGAGCTTCAAGTTCCTCGGTGTCCACATCACTAAGGAATTATTATGGTCCACACACAGTCGTGAAGAAGGCACGAGTAATGTCTCTTCCCCCTCAGGAGGCAAAAAATATTCTGCATGGGCCCTCAGATCCTCAAAAAGTTCTACAGCTGCACCATTGCGAGCATCTTGGCAACTGGCAACTGCTTGGCATCGGACCGCAAGGTGCTACAGAGGGTATTGCGTACAGCCCAGTACATCACTGGGGCTGAGCTCCCCGCCATCCAGGTCCTATATACCAGGCAGTGTCAGCAGAAGATCTTAAAAATGGTCAAAGACTCCAGCCACCCAATTCATAGACTGTTCTCTCTGCTACTGCACGGCAAGCGGTACCGATGCACCAAGTCTGGAACCAACAGGACCCTGAAAAGCTTCTACCCCCAAGCCATAAGACTGCTAAATTGTTTGTTAAACAGTTATCCAAATAGCTACCCGGACTATCTGCATTGAGCCTTTTTGAACTAACTCTTTTACATACGTTGCTGCTACTGTTTAATATCTATCCTGTTGCTTAGTCACTTTATCCCTACCTATATGTACATATCTACCTCAATTACCTCCTACCCCTGCACATCGACTCGGTACTGGTACCCCGTGTATATAGCCAAGTTATCATTACTCATTGTGTATTTATTCCTCGTGTTATTATTTTTATATTATATCTCTATTTTTCTCTCTGCATTGTTGGGAAGGTTCCGTAAGTAACCATTTCACTGTTAGTCTACACCTGTTATTTACGAAGCATGTGACAAATAAAATTGTATTAGAATTTTGATACCCGTAAACCAAAAGATCCAAAAATGTCCCCATAGGAGAGCCATTTGAAGAACCCTTTTTGGTTCCATGTAGAACCCTTTTAGGTTCCATGTAGAGCCCTTTCTACAGATGGTTGTACATGTAACCCAAAAGGGTTCTGCCTGGAACCAAAAAGTTGAAGACCCTTTTGGAACCCTTTTTTCTAAGAGTGTATTGAGCTCATCTGAGTGGGAAAAACAGTACAAGCATTTTAATCAGTTTTGTTTCTGAAAATGAGTTTTATTCATTAATCACCCGTTTCTAGACAAACATGTTTTGGGCATTGCACATTGCTAGTTCAGCGCATCACTATAGGTCATCACTAGTTACCACAGCCACAAAGTAATAAACCCCGCCTATTTCTACAATTGATCTTCTTAAAATGTTTTTTTTTTTTTTTGTATTTTTTAATTTAACCTTTATTTAACCAGGTAGGCCAGTTGAGAACAAGTTCTCATTTACAACTGCGACCGAGATAAAGCAAAGCAGTGCGATAAAAACAACAACAACACAGAATTACAAACATGGTCCTCTGTAGCTCAGCTGGTAGAGCACGGCGCTTGTAACGCCAAGGTAGTGGGTTCGATCCCCGGGACCACCCATACACAAAAATGTATGCACACATGACTGTAAGTTGCTAGTCAGTTTTACGAGGGCATGTTTGGCAGCATGAGTGAAGGAGGCTTTGTTGCGAAATAGGAAGCCGATTCTAGATTTAACTTTGGATTGGAGATGCTTAATGTGAGTCTGGAAGGAGAGTTTACGGTCTAACCAGACACCTAGGTATTTGTAGTTGTCCACATATTCAGTAGTGATTCTAGTCGGGCAGGCGGATGCAAGCAGTGTTCGATTGAAGAGCATGTATTTAGTTTTACTAGCGTTTAAGAGCAGTTGGAGGCTACGGAAGGAGTGTTGTATGGCATTGAAGGTCGTTTGGAGGTTTGTTAACACAGTGTCCAATGAAGGGCCAGATGTATACAAAATGGTGTCGTCTGTGTAGAGGTGGATCTGAGAGTCACCAGCAGCAAGAGCGACATCATTGATATACACAGAGAATAGAGTCGGCCCGAGAATTGAACCCTGTGGCACCCCCATAGAGACTGCCATAGGTCCAGACAACAGGCCCTCCGATTTGACACATTGAACTCTATCTGAGAAGTAGTTGGTGAACCAGGCGAGGCAGTCATTTGAGAAACCAAGGCTATTTAGTCTGCCAATAAGAATGCGGTGATTGACAGAGTCGAAAGTCTTGGCCAGGTCGATGAACACGGCTGCACAGTACTGTCTTTTATCGATTATAATATTGTTTAGGACCTTGAGCGTGGCTGAGGTGCACCCATGACCAGCTCGGAAACCAGATTGCATAGCGGAGAAGGTACGGTGGGATTCGAAATGGTCGGTGATCTGTTAACTTGGCTTTCAAATATTTTCGAAAGGCAGGGCAGGATGGATATAGGTCTGTAACAGTTTGGATCTAGAGTGTCACCCCCTTTGAAGAGGGGGATGACCGCAGCAGCTTTCTCTGGGGATCTCAGATGATACGAAAGAGAGGTTGAACAGGCTAGTAATAGGGGATTGCTACACATTTGGAGGCTAATGTTAGAAAGAAAGGGGGGGGGGGGGGGGGGGGGGGGGGCATGGGCAATTTGCAGCGGAGGGTGCAGAGCTGGTGGCTTAAAATCTTACTTTAAACCTAACCATAACCCTAACCTTAACCACACTGCTAACCTTATGCCTAACCCTAACCTTAAATTAAGACCAAAAGCAAATGTTTTTTTCATGAATTTATAGGATTTAGCCTATTTTGACTTTGTGGCTGTGTAATGTGGTCCTCTGTAGCTCAGCTGGTAGAGCATGGCGCTTGTAACGCCAATGTAGTGGGTTTGATCGCCGGGACCACCCATACACAACAATTTATGCACGCATGACTGTAAGTCACTTTGGATAAAAGCGTTTGCTAAATGGCATATTATTATTATAACTAGTGACAACCGTCACTCACCTTATTTCGCGCCAAACACTGATCACAAATGTTTTTGATGTTTGTTCACGTTGCTAGCGATTGCAGACACTTATTTCTACTTCTAGACATGTCTCACATTTGTATATAAAATATCACACGCGAAAAGTAATTTTAACAACATTTATTTAGAAGTTTGAGTTACTTTCTATTCTATAGCTGACCTGTGTAGGCCAACTCACCACCGTTGATTGTCAGCGCACATAGTTATCCATCCAGCAGGTGTCGGCGCTTAGAATGTATTCGTTTTTTTATGTTTATGTGATATCGTGTCCTGATTTTGAAATGTATTATGTACAGTCCCTTGTTATTGGAACTAATATAATGTAATTCCAATTAATACACATTTCACTTTTGTCATACAGACTTTTATTCTTAATTCCAAAGAAGCGGAAGTAGACGATAAATAATGAAAAAACAAACACCGGAAGTTGGTGTGGGTGGACCGTTCTTATTATATGGTGGACATGGGATTTTGCTAACTGACCCTTATCTGTATCTTTTTCTTGCGTTTAACCAACAAGTTCTTTGGGAACATCATACCATACCAAATCTAACTCTGTCAATTTGCAGGTAGGTGGCAGAAGTTAGCTAACGTTATCTAGCTTCTCAAGATTATTGACTGTTAGCCTAACACTTCGCATCTAGTATAGCTAACGTTAGCCAGAAATCTAACGTTCGCTAGCTAGGTAGCTAGCGTTACTAGCTACAATGAGATGTATTGTTGATTTAACGTTAGCTAGCAAAGGATTTTAGTTAACGTAAGCTCGCCACCGTCACTGCTTCTTTCTGTGGGAAAGCTATGGATATACATTTTGCAGAGTTGTCGGGTACCAGCAATTTAGCTAGCTAATTTGTTTGCTCGAGCTACCTAGCTAACACTACAATCAGATTTTTGACTGACGCGAACACACCCTAGTTAGCTAGCTTAGTAACCAACTAGCGTTAGCTAACTAGCTGACTAACGTTAACCACTGAACCTGGCTGGCTAGCTATTTTAGCTTGCCAACTGTCATAATGTTTGCGCAAGGTTATTTTCTGATTATTTTCACCTGATCTTACAGGGCAATATGACACTGACAACCTCTGAAATAGATACTCCTAAAAAGGAGGATGATCATTTCTATTGGTGACAGCCAAGTGATGGCATGAGCATAATCAGAAACACATCCTTTCTCACTGACTGAGTGATGATCTTTTTTCACTACAGAGGTCCATATCAGTCCCTACTAGTGTCTTATCAGGTATTGTTATGGCAAGATTATTTTCTGTTTTCCCATACTGATCTAGCTGCTACAGCTGGAGACTACAATGTTATTGCGTACTTGCTGGGATTGGGGAGAAATACACAAGCTCACTTCAAAGAGTTGTGACGATTGCTGAATGCTGAAGGTGAAGCATCAATAATAGTGTCCCCTGCCAGAGACCCTCCTCTTTTTCACTCCTCTCCTGTCTGTCGCAAACACTTCCTCTAAGAAGGAGAGGGAGAGATGGAGAAGCTTGCACTATTTGTTTGATACTGTTGTTAACTTGGTAATAAATAAGCAACAAGTGGATATGGCTGGAATGCGCAGGCGGCATTCGGTGGCTGTCCCGGCGATTGGCCTGGGTATGGACCGGGGCAGCTTGGTGAGACCTATCTGATATTCAGTCTAAGACTAGACTACTTCCTACATATGAGTTGATTTGATTGAACAAATGAGCAGCAACAGTCAGTTATTTTACCTAAGGCTAGTGATTGTCTATAGGCTACATTTGATTTGACACTTGCCTCAACCATTTTTTGTACATTCGAGAACAGAACTGTATCAAGAGGAGTTTTCTTGTTGCTACTGCTGGCAAATAAATTAAGATAAAATATTAGTTTTACTCACAATGCAGGCTATACAGCACGGTGCTGAAGATGATGATGAAATAACATGTTGTGGCTCCATGATCTGTTCACTGCTTCAGCTGAAGAAGTCACTGTTAGGAAGGAAGGGTAGACTATTCCAGTGTTAATGGCATTTCCTGGTTGTTCATTTAATTCCGGTTTTATGACATAAGAGCTCAGTTTCTAGTTATCTTGTTTCTAGTTTCTGACTAACACCATTCCTACCATGATCCTGGCTACTCCTCCCAGTTGTCTGCCATTCGGACGATATCTATTAGGCTAGCTACAATGAATTTGGTCTCATCTCACATGGCATTGCCTCCCTGAAGACCCAGATATAATATTTGCCATGTTCCTCCATGGCCCGTTTTGACCATTTTATGAAAGATTTCCTCTGTGTGGGTAGACGGTGAGTGTTACTGTCTGTGTGTCCACCAGCTGTAATGGTTACAGTCTGCTGAACCATATGACTGGGTGTGTGACTGTGTCCTCAGGCTGTCTGTGGCCTAGCTAGCATGAGTCAGCTAGTTGACATTCAGAAGTGGGAACTAGGCCCAATGGATATATCATCAATATGTTGTTTGTTTCTAGTACTTGTTGTTGTGGAATAGGCCTATATCAGACATTTTCCTTCTCAGCCTCTTCCTGGTAGTCTATGTGAACTAGGCCTAATGGGGCGTGGAGTTGATGGCATGAAATGTTGTCATCAATAACAAAAAAAAAACATGTTGTTTGTATGCTTCACTTTGTTGTTGTGGAAAATCCGATTTCAAATGTTAATTTTTAATTTTACCCCCTTTTTCTCCCAAATTTCGATATTTTCTCATCGCTGCAACTCCCCAACGGGCTCGGGAGGCGAAGGTCGAGTCATGCGTCCTCCGAAACATGTCCCGCCAAACCGCGCTTCTTAACACCCGCCCTCTTAACCTGGAAGCCAGCTGCACTCTAGCACTGCGCTGCAGTGCCTTAGACCGCTGCGCCACTCGGGAGGCCCCGATCTCAAATATTTTATCGTAGATCAAAACTAAAGAGTCAGTTGTCATTGTTTCTTGTCTGTGATTTAAATGACATATTTCCTCACAGAGAATCTCAAAGATCACAAGAAATCAAGCCGAGTTGAGGCTGTGGACTTGGCCTAACACCGGCTGTGTCTAGGACTAACACCGGCTGTGTCTAGAACTTGACACACTCTCAGTGCCATCAAAGCATTTGTCTGTTTCTCACACAACTTAGGCAACAGCACTCACAAAGTCCTCTGTCCTAAGCTATGTCCTCTCTCTCCACCCCCACCCACACCCCCCCAGCTCTCTGGCAGCCCCCTCCTGAGCAAGATGAGTGCAGACGGGGGAGGCAAGCCTGCCAAAGTGGGCTCGGTGGTGGAGGTGATCGGTAAGGGCCAGCGTGGCACTGTGGCATATGTGGGCGCTACGCTCTTCGCCACGGGCAAGTGGGTGGGTGTGATCCTGGACGAGCCCAAGGGCAAGAATGATGGCACGGTCCAGGGGAAGAGATACTTCCAGTGTGATGAAAACTGCGGCATCTTTGTGCGCCAGTCCCAGGTAACTAAGCTAACACAACACACACCCACTCACACAGACTCTCTCTCTCTAACACGACACACACACACACCCACTCACACATACTCTCTCTCTCTAACTGTGACACACACCCACTCACACAGACTCTCTCTCTCTAACTGTGACACACACACATACATTGTGGAAGAGTAGTAGACTGGTGTATTGAACCCGTCTCCCTCTCTCTCCTGATCAGATCCAGCTAGTGGAAGATGGATCCAGTGCCACCTCTCCAGACACCCCAGAGTCTGCCACTGCCAAGTTCCTGCCCAAGCAGAAAGGTAAGCAGAATAACTAAGCTGTAGCCTTCATTTACATGGCCTCAGTGGGCATCAGGGTTGGGGTTAATTTCAGTTTGACAAATAATAATAATCTGGCTCTTTTGTCCATGATAATCTCATCATGTAGGCTATACCTGCACTGTGTCTGTGAGTTGTTGGCTAAGGCAACGTGCCGATACCAGAGTGGGCACACTCGCTATATAATGCTATTTCTTTTGTGAGAAAACAGTCAGTAGAGTTGAAAATGTGATGGAAACCCATTTAACTTGTATTTTTTATTGGGTACATGAGAATGAAACCTCAAAAGTAATTTTTATGTGCACTACGTCATCACGCACAGCCTTTTATCCACAACAAGACAATTAGATTTTAGAATATTCGCAGGAAACCTAGCTACTGTAACACTTCATATTACGGTCCACTTAAAAGTATTTCTAAAGGGTTTATAAGTCGTTTATTAACTGTTAATTATGAGTTTGTGTGTTTTATAATAACATGTGATCTGTTCTTTCTGTTTTTATCTTCAGACATTCCTGAGATTCCAAAATCAGTCAAACAGGTACAGTAAAAATACACTTTGTTTCGGAGCGATTTCCATCCCTCCTCCTCCTCTCCTTTTCTCTCCCTCCAAGTGACCAACCTCTTCACTCTTCTCTACTTCTCTCTCTCCCTCTCTCCTCTCCTTTCCCCTAAATACCATTACAGATGCCCATTGCCAAGAAGGTATAGATATTTAAAACTATGCTCACATACTTTGCCATGGTGGTTGCTTGCTTGTCACGTTTTCTTTTGAATTAGGCTGTTCAGGGTTATATTTTTGGTCTGTCGTAGCTTTTCTGTTGTTCGTCTTTTGGACTGTAAACTGCTAATGCTTCACATGGGTGTTTCACATCACCGTACATTTTTGTTGCATTTTCACTTTGGTTCTATGACACATTTAGGAGCATGGTGTCCCATTTTCGGGCTGTTGAGGTGAATTATTTAGATTTTTGTTTCAGACGCAAGTGTATTCTTGCTTGCATTGTGATGCGCCGTGTTTTTGCCTCGACTTCACTTGGGATTTTTATTTTTGGATTTATTTTAAGTCATGTTATAAACTTTCTAACATCATCTTCACCCACTTATCTATTAACTACAGTACGTCACCTCAGTTTTTGAAAGTAGTGGTTATCAGCGCAAACTTCATACTTGCATAAAGACTTAAAGAAAAATTCTACCCAAAAACAATTTTTTGGTATTTGTTTCATTAGTCAATTGTTGATATAGTCCCAAAATGTTTTGCAGGTCAGCAATCAAGTTTTCAAGATGTATAACTTTCAAAATAGAGAAATACAGCCGGTATTATGCCTGTCGCATCAAACCGACTGTATTTCTGTATGTCAACAATGAACTAATGAATCAAATACCAAAAGAGAGTTTTTGGGTGGAGTTTTCCTTTAAGTGGTTATGGTGCATGTAGTAACAGCCTGATGCGGTGTGTTTAGACTAATATTAACCCTGTGTGTTTCTGCTCCCTGCCCTGCTAACTACTGCCCTTCGCCATCTCTGCTGGGCCTGTGTGTGTGTGTGTGTTCTCTCTCCTCTCCTCCCCTCCTCCTCCTCCAGTTCGTCACCCGTCGTAGCACCAAGGTGAGCTGGTTATGAACAGCAGACGCTGAGGTAACAGGGTACCGTTAAAGAAGAGCTCACCTGTCCATTCCTACTGTAGATCATGTCCTCATTGTCATGTTACAGCAGACGCTGAGGTATCAGGGGACCGTTAAAGAAGAGCTCACCTGTCCATTCCTACTGTAGATCACGTCATCATTGTCATGTTACAGCAGTACGTTTTGCGCTAGATTAGAGTAATGGAATGTTGATCATCTCAGGAATATGGAAGATGTAGGTATGTGACAGAGTAGGAAAGTAGCAAACCACAGTCTGGAAAGGAATGATGTTTTAGAGTTTGAGATCTACTGCTACAGTTTAACATCATCGACTGAGATAGAAGTCAATAGTCAGTATGTGACAGGAGAGTATGTCACACGCCAGTACATGGGGTGTGTGTGTATCTGTGTAGGTCTAACTATAGTATGTGAGTGTAGTAGAGTGTATAAAGTTGTTCTAGAGGATGTCCTCAGGAACAGAGAACAGCAGTAGACCGTTCTTCAACCCCTAACACAGTCTACTCTCACACAACAGTGGAACACTCCAGGTCGCCTCTCCTCCTCCAGCTCCCTTCCCTCCCTCCTCATGGTACGTTCCAGGCCTCAAACCACCTGACTCCCCTGGGAGAGACCAACTCTAGTCCTGGAGGGGTGAACTCTGGTCATTCGGGTCATTGGTCAAAGGTCAAAATCACCACAATAACTGGAAAAACGACAGCGTAGTTTAGTTTTAGTATTTGAAACCAAGTCCCCACAGAAAGTGAAGCTGTAACTTACTACTGTAGTAGTTTACCTTCCCTCTAAAACCAGAGTTCACCCTTTTACACACAGTTCAGTTCACCTGGCCAGTTCCTTGTGCACTGTTGCTACTTTTAGTGTAGGCCAGATCAGCACAGTAAAGGGTGACTTCTATGGCTCTGGGTGTGGTATTTGCTCACCACTGCAGGTGCACTTAGGTATGGCTTTACCGGAGTTCACCTGGGTTCCGGGTGGAATGTGTCTGTGTTCAGTTCCGGGTGCAGTCTGTTTTAATGGTCACTGGGATTAGCAGGTAATGGTACGGTCTCACAGATGTACTTCTCTTTTTACATGTGTTTGACTTTTATTTCTCTTTCTCCCTCTTCCTGTTCTCCTCTCTCGCTCCCTTTTCTCTTTGTCTTTTCTTCGCCTCTCTCTCGCTCCCTCCCCCCTCTCCCCCTCCCACCTCCCCCAACTCTCTCCCTCCCCCCTCTCCAGGCTCCCCGGGCCACCGGCCTGTCCAGCTCTCGGTCCAGGGAGGATGTCAGCGAGGGCAGCCTGTCTTCCAAGGGTGCGCTGGGGGCTCCCGTTGTCCCCATGCCCAGCGGCATCCCCGCCACGCCCGGCGCTCCACCCCCCGCCACCCCTAGCAAGGTCAGTCCACAACCCCCCCCCGTGGCCAATCAGATCATTACCTTAGGTTCTGGAGAGCTTTTGATCTAGCACAGAAAGAAAACACCCATTATCATTGATAAGTTGTTGGATGTTTTTAGTGCTGGGCTGGAACAAAAGCCTACAGTTCTCCAGATCCACTGATGTTATGTCATTTATATAGAGCTGAGACGACGAACTGAAAATGATCGACACAGACCACTTATTGAGGACGTTTTGATGACATCGTTCATTACGATAACTAGTCTATACTACAGAAAAGGGAAGTTTGAAATTAAGTTAGCTAATATGGGGTGATTGTTGGCATAATGGCGACGGTGCATAAAGATGGAAGCCCCCATGTACTTACCACAAATTCCTTGTTTTGCTAAGTTTGCTGTATTGTACATTGCTCTCCGTTATCTATATATTTGTATGGTCATTAGCACTGTATACATGATTCCAAAGCTTCAAGACGCCGGCAATTTGGAAAAACAAAAAGGTAGATTGTGCTGATTTACTGGCACATTGAACCATGTCATGCCCCGTAGTTTAAGAACTCTGGGGTAGTGCTAAAAACAATGACGTCATATCTGAATTCCTCCATCTTTATGGACCGTCGACCATTGATAGCTACAACATTCAAACTAGCAGTAGTAGTTTGAGGGGTAACCAACAACAAAAAAATGGTGCACATTATTATAAACGTATCATTCTATTTTATTGTTATTGTATTGATTCAGTCAGTTTATCGTGATTATGGCTTTTTGTCCACATCACCCAGCTCTACCATAATATCACCTCAATCCATTGTGTTTCCTCATTACGTCTTCTGTTGACTGTTGTGTTCCATCCATGTTGTCGTTGTAAACAGGCTGAGCCTCCTGCATCAAAGCAGGTAGGGTAACAGTACCTGGACGCATGCTTAGATCTGGTCTGAGCATGTTGTTTGACTAACAAACCAAGGCTGAGTCCCAAATGGCACCCTATTCCCTATGTAGTGCACTACTTAATAGGGAATACGGTACCATTTGGGATGTATCCAGAGTTAGGGTTTTTCAGAAGGGTGCTACTCCTCAACCTCACTAACACGGCACTTCCCCTGCATGCCAACAGAGGGCAGTGTCTTCTGTTTAATATTACTGAAGGAGTTACTCCAGACATGGTTCTTGGTGGTGGGAGCATGTCTTTGAGCTTTGAAGTGTTTTTGGAATGTGGGTTCTTAAGTCTCTGGTTGTTTTGAGGTGTCCACTATCCCCTCTCTCAATGACCCATTTCCCCTCCCCATTTCCCCTCCCCATTTCCCTTTCCCTCCCACTTCGTTCTTCCCTCTTTCTCTCTCACACCTTAACCTGTCTTTCTTCCCAGGAGGAGGAGTCTCTGCGTGGCCAGGTGAAGGACCTAGAGGAGAAGCTGGAGACCCTGAAAATGAAGCGGGCGGAGGACAAGGTCTTTTTAATCATTTATTTATTCTATTTTTATTGTTATTTTTACAGTATACAGTGGGGGAAAAAAGTTTTTAGTCAGCCACCAATTGTGCAAGTTCTCCCACTTAAGAAGATGAGAGAGGCCTGTAATTTTCATCATAGGTACACGTCAACTATGACAGACAAATTGAGGAAAAAAATCCAGAAAATCACATTGTAGGATTTTTAATGAATTTATTTGCAAATTATGGTGGAAAATAAGTATTTGGTCACCTACAAACAAGCAAGATTTCTGGCTCAAGTATTTGGTCACCTACAAGCAAGCAAGATTTCTGGCTCTCACAGACCTGTAACTTCTTCTTTAAGAGGCTCCTCTGTCCTCCACTCGTTACCTGTATTAATGGCACCTGTTTGAACTTGTTATCAGTACAAAAGACACCTGTCCACAACCTCAAACAGTCACACTCCAAACTCCACTATGGCCAAGACCAAAGAGCTGTCAAAGGACACCAGAAACAAAATTGTAGACCTGCACCAGGCTGGGAAGACTGAATCTGCAATAGGTAAGCAGCTTGGTTTGAAGAAATCAAATGTGGGAGCAATTATTAGGAAATGGAAGACATACAAGACCACTGATAATCTCCCTCGATCTGGGGCTCCACGCAAGATCTCACCCCGTGGGGTCAAAATGATCACAAGAACGGTGAGCAAAAATCCCAGAACCACACGGGGGGACCTAGTGAATGACCTGCAGAGAGCTGGGACCAAAGTAACAAAGCCTACCATCAGTAACACACTACGCCGCCAGTCACTCAAATCCTGCAGTGCCAAGACGTGTCCCCCTGCTTAAGCCAGTACATGTCCAGGCCCGTCTGAAGTTTGCTAGAGTGCATTTGGATGATCCAGAAGAGGATTGGGAGAATGTCATATGGTCAGATGAAACCAAAATAGAACTTTTTGGTAAAAACTCAACTCGTCGTGTTTGGAGGACAAAGAATGCTGAGTTGCATCCAAAGAACACCATACCTACTGTGAAGCATGGGGGTGGAAACATCATGCTTTGGGGCTGTTTTTCTGGAAAGGGACCAGGACGACTGATCTGTGTAAAGGAAAGAATGAATGGGGCCATGTATCGTGAGATTTTGAGTGAAAACCTCCTTCCATCAGCAAGGGCATTGAAGATGAAACGTGGCTGTGTCTTTCAGCATGACAATGATCCCAAACACACCGCCCGGGCAACGAAGGAGTGGCTTCGTAAGAAGCATTTCAAGGTCCTGGAGTGGCCTAGCCAGTCTCCAGATCTCAACCCCATAGAAAATCTTTGGAGGGAGTTGAAAGTCTGTGTTGCCCAGCGACAGCCCCAAAAACATCACTGCTCTAGAGGAGATCTGCATGGAGGAATGGGCCAAAATACCAGCAACAGTGTGTGAAAACCTTGTGAAGACTTACAGAAAACGTTTGACCTGTATCATTGCCAACAAAGGGTATATAACAAAGTATTGAGAAACTTTTGTTATTGACCAAATACTTATTTTCCACCATAATTTGCAAATAAATTCATAAAAATCCTACAATGTGATTTTCTGGAGAAAAAAAATCTCAATTTGTCTGTCATAGTTGACGTGTACCTATGATGAAAATTACAGGCCTCTCTCATCTTTTTAAGTGGGAGAACTTGCACAATTGGTGGCTGACCTAAATACTTTTTTCCCCCCACTGTATCTACAAAAGTATGTGGACACCCCTTCAAATGAGTGGATTCGGCTATTTCAGCCACACCCGTTGCTGACAGGTGTATAGAATCGAGTACACATCCTTGCAATCTCCTTAGAGAAACATTGGCAGTAGAATGGCCTTACTGAAGAGCTCAGTGACTTTCAACGTGGCATCGTCCAACAAGTCAGTTCGTCAAATTTCTGCCCTGCTAGAGCTGCCCCGGTCAACTGAATGTGCTGTAATTGTGAAGTGAAAACGTCTAGGAGCAACAACGACTCAGCTGTGAAGTGATAGGCCACACAAGCTCACAGAACGGGACCGCCGAGTGTTGAAGCGCGTAGAAATCGTCTGTCCTCGGTTGCAACACTCATTACCAAGTTCCAAACTGCCTCTGGAAGCAACGTCAGCACAATAACTGTTCGTTGGGAGCTTCATGAAATGGGTTTCCGTGGCCGAGCAGCCGCACACAAGCCTAAGATCACCATGCGCAATGCCAAGCGTCGGCTGGAGTGGTGTAAAGCTCGCCGCCATTGGACTCTGGAGCAGTGGAAAGGTGTTCTCTGGAGTGATGAGTCACACTGGCAGTCTGGCAGTCTCACACCATCTGGCAGTCTTGACTGACGAATCTGGGTTTGGCGGATGCCAGGAGAACGCTATCTTCATATTCAGTGGCTGTCTCTGTATGAATTGTGCTATACAAATAAAGTGTATTATTTCTAAAAAAATATATATTATTATTATTTATTCATATTTATAATGATTATTCAGGTCAAGCTGAAGGAGCTGGAGAAACACAAGATCCAGCTGGAGCAGCTGCAGGAGTGGGAAGGACCAAGATGCAGGAGCAGCGGCCGACCTGCAGAACACAACTCAGAAGAGGCCAAAGCAAGAGACAGACACACCAGGAAACGATGAAATGAATAAACCTCTATAATAATAAATAATAATATGGCCATTTAGCAGACGCTTGTATCCAAAGCGACTTACAGGCATGCGTGCAGACATTTCTTTTTTGTATGGGTGGTCCCTGGGGATCGAACCTTGGCGTACAAGCGCCGTGCTCTACCAGCTGACCTACAGAGGACCACTATGGTAGTCATCATTGAAATTAATACAGAACCTTGACGGTTCTTTTTGGGTTCCTGTCCACTTCTCTTATTAGATTAGATCCGAGTACTTGGCAAGACTTCAAATCACATACCGGTAGTCATTAACCTAGGATAATTAAAAGGCAATCCCTTATAAATACCAGGTATGGATGTCTAGGTTTTCAGGTACCCAATTTTAGCTTTGGTCAGATTGACATTGCTAATGATGTCCACTCTTGTTATTCGGGGATTTTGCACATATTTTATCTGGCTTTGTTCACACACAAATGGGAGATTTACACTAATGTTCCTCTGTCAGGATGCCCGGGAGGCTTTGGAGGCGAAAGACCGCTACATGGAGGAGATGTCAGACACGGCGGACGCCATCGAGATGGCCACCCTGGACAAGGAGATGGCCGAGGAGCGGTCCGAAAGCCTGCAGGTGGAGGTGGAGTCGCTGAAGGAGAAGGTGGAGGAACTCACCATGGACCTGGAGATCATTAAACACGAGGTTGAGGAGAAAGGTTAGAGGTCACTAGTAGTGTGTTGATATAAAAGGCTGCTCAATTTATGGTATCTCATCCCATACAGAGGGTCAAAGGTCATACCCCCAAAACATACTAACCTCCCCTGTTATTGTAATGGTGAGAGGTTAGCATGTCTTGGGGGTATGATCTTTGACCCTCTGTAACTTTGTCACTCATCATTATTCACGATTCATTCAGGATTATCTGTAATCATGGTAGCATCCACATTATTGTAGAAGTGTTCAGAAACATTCTTATGATTTAAAGTGACTCCAATGACAATACATTATTTACCATTAATTTCAATTGGACACAAAATACATTAAAATGCAACCAAAGCGAACTGCAAATGCATCCAACAAGTTTGTAGACTCACAAGTTTGATATAGTCATTCCGTGCTAGGAATATGGGAGCAAATACTAAACTTTTGACTGCTTTATTTATAATCTTTAGGGGTGTCAATCATTTTGGCCCCTACCTTTTGTATTGAGAAAAAAAATATTGTTAAACAAAATATTTCTCTGAGCAATTGTATTAGTATAAAATAATATAATTTCTCAAAGATAATGAGCACACAATATAGCTCAGTATTTGAATGATTTATACTGTCATTATTGTTAATCTTTATCAAGGGTGTCAATAATTTCAGACCCCACTATGTGTTTATTTTTAAACAATTCTTAACAATAAACAAACAAAGTAGCTATCATATTTGACAAGGACTTATCCAGTATTGCTTGGCAAACCTAACCTAACTCTATTGCTTCTCCAGGGTCTGACGGAGCTGCCTCTAGTTACCACGTCAAGCAGCTGGAGGAGCAGAACAGCAGGCTGAAAGATGCTCTGGTCAGGTGCGTGTACCTCAAACTCAAAAACAACCACAAATGCGTTATGGTTTTATTTCTTGAAAAGTTTGACCAAACTGTCTCATGTTACATGATGTTTCATTGAGATCTAGTGCCCCATCTGGGTACACTTCGGTGTCTCTTCCCTTCTGGATTTGCTCAAAATGATATGTCTGTCACTTCTTGTATCCTAAGGGGCAGTTTCCTGGACATGGACACAGATTGAGCCTAGTCCTGGACTAAAAGGCATGCTCATTGGAGAATCTCCATTAGAAGTGTTTTTTAGTGCAGTACTGCAGTTCATCTGGGTCTGGGAAAGCAGCCTTAAACGTTTCCCTTTTGGTTTGATCTTTAACATAAATATTTCTTCCCCTCCCTCAGGATGCGTGACCTGTCGTCGTCTGAGAAGCAGGAGCACGTGAAGCTGCAGAAGCAGATGGAGAAGAAGAATGGAGAGCTGGAGACTCTGAGGACCCAGAAGGAGAAACTACAGGAGGAGATGAAGCAGGCTGAGGCCACCATCGATGAGCTGAAGGAGCAGGTCAGTTAACCAGTCAGCCAGGCCACCATCAGTGAGCTGAAGGAGCAGGTCAGTTAGCCAGTCAGTCAGCCAGTCAGTGAACAGGTCAGTCAACCAGTCTGTCGTCCAGTCAGCCAGTCAGCCAGGCCACCATCGATGAGCTGAAGGAGAAGGTCAGTCAACCGGTCAGTCAGCCATTCAGTTAGCCAGCCAGACCATTATCAACAAGCTCAAAGATCAGGTCAGTCAACCAATCAGTCAGCCAGCTATTTTACTATCAACGAGCTCAAATCACAGGTCATTCGGTCAGTGAGACAGCCAGCCAGGCCTTTATCAACAAGCTCAAAGAAAATGTCAGTCAACCAGTCCGTCCGTCAGTTAGTTAGCCAGCCAGCCATTCAGCCATTAACGAGCTCAAAGAACAGGTCAGTCAACCAGTCAGTCGGTTTGTCAGTCAGCCAGTCATTTTACTATCAACGAGCTCAAAGAAAAGGTCGTTCAGTTAGCCAGTCAGACAGCCAGCCAGGCCATTATCAACAAGCTCAAAGAACAGGTCAGTCAGCCAGTCAGTCAGTCAGGCCACCATCAATGAGATCAGTGAACAGGTTAGCCAGTTGCTCATATAGAGCAGGGGTTGTCAACCTTTTTATGCTCAGGGACGCCCTCCCTGGCAAACCGGCGACCCAGGGACCCCCTCCAAGACAAACCTGCGACCTAGGGAACCTCTTCATACATTAGTAAAAAAATTACTTTTCACGTCTTGTCATATTATCAGGTGCATGTCCAAGCCAAGAAAGCTTTCCAGCGGCCGCACTGGTAGCCTATTCGCAGGTGCTTTTTCAAAGCCTATGACAGATCGTCCAACGAGTGTAATTTGCTCAATATTTGGATTTGAGAAATGAAGTTCACATCATTAGAAATAAGATATTCTCCTTTTTTTCGATTAGTTGTTCTACTTGTTGCTAGCAATATTCATAAATACATTGAAATAATAAAAAATAAATATACAGTACCAGTCAAAAGTTTGGACACCTACTCGTTCCAGGGTTTTTCTTTATTTTTACTATTTTCTACATTGTAGAATAATAGTGAAGACATCAGAACTATGAAATAACACATGGAATCATGTAGTAACCCAAAAAGTGTTAAACAAATGAAAAGGATTCTTCAAATAGCCACCCTTTGCCTTGATGACAGCTTTGCACACTCTTGGCATTCTCTCAACCAGCTTCATGAGGTAGTCACCTGGAATGCATTTCAATTAACAGGTGTGCCTTGTTAAAAGTTAATTTGTAGAATTTCTTTCCTTCTTAATGCGTTTGAGCCAATCAGTTGGGTTGTGACAAGGTAGGGGGGGGTATACAGAAGATGGCCCTATTTGGTAAAAGACCAAGTCCATATTATGGCAAGAACAGCTCAAATAAGTAAAGAGAAACGACAGTCCATCATTACTTTAAGACATGAAGGTCAGTCAATCCGGAAAATGTCTAAAACTTTTAAAGTTTATTCAAATGCAGTTGCAAAAACCATGAAGCGCTATGATGAAACTGGCTCTCATGAGGATCACCATAGGAAAGGAAGACCCAGAGTTACCTCTGCTGCAGAGGATAAGTTACCGTAATTTTCGGACTATAAGCCGCGCCTTTTTTCCAATTTTTCGACCCTGCGGCTTATATAACGGTGCGGCTAATCTATGGATTTTTACAGCTAACGGCCACTAGAAGACCTCCTAAATCTATGGATTTTACAGGTTACAGTCCACCAACTTTAACTCTATGGGCTCTATGACCGGTCCGCGCCCCCCACCTTTAAGAGGCGGGCTCCAGCAGGAAAAGCTGGAGGCCGGAAAAGAGTGAGACAGGTAGCGCGCAAAAGTAAAAGTGGAACCGAGAGTGGTACGAGAGACAGAACGAGAGACAGAACGAGAGCAAGACAGACAGACATTACGAGAGCGAGATGATTGAAATGTTGAAATGTTAATAAATGGGAGCTTCCTCAAGCAGCCATCTCTTTCCCGACAATCCCCTCTGTGCACGAACCCTTACATATGGTAATTAAACATTAAAACACCTGCGGCTTATATATGTACACATCATTCAATTTAGCTGCTGCGGCTTATACTCCGGTGCGCCTTATAGTGCGGAAAATAAGGTAATTAAAAGTTACCAGCCTCAGAAATTGCAGCCCAAATAAATGCTTCACAGAGTTCAAGTAACGGACACATCTCAACATCAACTGTTCAGAGGATACCGTGAATCAGGCCTTCATGGTCGAATTGCTGCAAATAAACCACTACTAAAGGACACCAATAAGAAGAAGAGACTTGCTTGGGCCAAGAAACACGAGCAATGGACATTAGACCGGTGGAAATCTGTCCTTTCAGATTTTTGGTTCCAACCGCCGTGTCTTTGTGAGACGCAGAGTAGGTGAACGGATGATCTCTGCATGTGTGGTTCCCACTGTGAAGCATGAAGGAGGAGGTGTGATGGTGTAGGGGTTCTTTGCTGGTGACACTGGCTGTGATTTATTTAGAATTCAAGGCACACTTAACCAGCATGGCTACCACAGCATTCTGCAACGATACGCCATCCCATCTGGTTTGCGCTTAGTGGGTCTATCATTTGTTTTTCAACAGGACAGTGACCCAAAACACACCTCCAGGCTGTGTAAGGGCTATTTGACCAAGGAGAGTGATAGAGTGCTGCATCAGATGACCTGTTCTCCACAATCACCCGACCTCAACCCAATTGAGATGGTTTGGCATGCGTTGGACCGCAGAGTGAAGGAAAAGCAGCCAACAAGTGCTCAGCATAGGTGGGAACTCCTTCAAGACTATTGGAAAAGCATTCCTTATGAAGCTGGTTGAGAGAATGCCAAGAGTGTGAAAAACTGTCAACAAGGCAAAGGGGTGGCTACTTTGAAGAATCTAAAATATACTTTGATTTAACACTTTTTTTTGCTTACTACATGATTCCATGTGTTATTTCATAGTTTTGATGTCATCACTATTATTCTACAATGTAGAAAATAGTAAAAATTTAGAAAATCCCTTGAATGAGTAGGAGTGTCCAAACTTTTTATTGTACTGTGTATATATACAAGTTTACATACACCTTCGCCAAATACATTTAAACTCAGTTTTTCACAATTCCTGACATTTAATCATAGTAAATATTCCCTGTCTTAGGTCAGTTAGGATCACCACTTTATTTTAAGAATGTGAAATAATATTAGAGAGAATGATTTATTTCAGCTTTTATTTCTTTCATCAAATTCCCAGTGGGTCAGAAGTTTACATACACTCAATTAGTATTTGGTAGCATTGCCTTTAAATTGTTTAACTTGGGTCAAACGTTTCGGGTAGCCTTCCACAAGCTTTCCACAATAAGTTGGGTGAATTTTGGCCCATTCCTCCTGACAGAGCTGGTGTAACTGAGTCAGGTTTGTAGGCCTCCTTGCTCGCACACGCGTTTTCAGTTCTGCCCACAAATGTTCTATAGGATTGAGATCAGGTCTTTGGGATGGCCACTCCAATACCTTGACTTTGTTGTCCTTAAGCCATTTTGCCACAACTTTGGAAGTATGCTTGGGGTCATTGTCCATTTGGAAGACCCATTTGTGACCAAGCTTTAACTTCCTGACTGATGTCTTGAGATGTTGCTTCAATATATCCACATAATTTTCCTTCTTCATGATGCCATCTATTTTGTGAAGTGCACCAGACCCTCCTGCAGCAAAGCACCCCCACAGCATGATGCTGCCACCCCCGTGCTTCACGGTTGGGATGGTGTTTTTCGGCTTGCAAGCGCCCCCCTTTTCCTCCAAACATAACGATGGTCATTATGACCAAACAGTTCTATTTTTGTTTCATCAGACCAGAGGACATTTCTCCAAAAAGCACGATCTTTGTCCCCATGTGCAGTTGGAAACTGTAGTCTGGCTTTTTTATGGCGGTTTTGGAGCAGTGGCTTCTTCCTTGCAGAGCGGCCTTTCAGGTTATGTCGATATAGGACCCGTTTTTTCTGTGGATATAGATACTTTTGTACCTGTTTCCTCCAGCATCTTCACAAGGTCCTTTGCTGTTGTTCTGGGATTGATTTGCACTTTTCGCACCAAAGTACGTTCATCTCTAGGAGACAGAACGCGTCTCCTTCCTGAGCGGTATGATGGTTGTGTGGTCCCTTGGTGTTTATACTTGCGTACTATTGTTTGTACAGATGAACGTGGTACCTTCAGGCATTTGGAAATTGCTCCCAAGGATGAACCAGACTTGTGGAGGTCTACAAATTTTTTTGCTGAGGTCTTGGCTGATTTCTTTTGATTTTCCCATGATGTCAAGCGAAGATGCACTGAGTTTTTGAAGGTAGGCCTTGAAATACATCCACAGGTACACCTCCAATTGACTCAAATGATGTCAATTAGCCTATCAGAAGCTTTTAAAGTGTTTTCCAAGCTGTTTAAAGGCACAGTCAACTTAGTGTATGTAAACTTCTGACCCACTAGAATTGTGATACAGTGAATTATAAGTGACATAATCTGTCTGTAAACAATTGTTGGAAAAGTTACTTGTGTCATGCACAAAGTAGATGTCCTAACCGACTTGCCAAAACTATAGTTTGTTAACAAGAAATGTGTGGACTGGTTGAAAAAACGAGTTTTAATGACTCCAACCTAAGTGTACTTTATGTAAACCTCCGACTTCAACTGTATAACATATTTTTTTATATATGTATTTTCACAGAGCCCTGGTTGAATACCCCTGATATAGCGGATTCTTCCAACCATGCTTGTGTCACTGCTTACTCTTGTCTTATGTCTAGGAGGCACCCTCTCCACAGGTGACATGGCTGTATGTGTATTTATGTAATTCTATAAATCAAACTCTCAGGGTGTATAGGTCTGGGTTGCTTTTAAGAACTTTGCGACATATGTGTTTGTCAAAAGTAAAATACAATGTTAATTGATTGATTGGTGTGTTCTAGTGTTAAACTATGTGTGATATGTGCCCTAGGTGGATGGTGCCCTCGGTGTTAGGGTTAAACTATGTGCCCTAGGTGGATGGTGCCCTCGGTGTAAGGGTTAAACTATGTGCCCTAGGTGGATGGTGCCCTCGGTGTTAGGGTTAAACTATGTGTCCTAGGTGGATGGTGCCCTCGGTGTTAGGGTTAAACTATGTGTGTGTGATATGTGTCCTAGGTGGATGCTGCTCTCGGGGCAGAGGAGATGGTAGAGACTCTAACTGAGAGGAATCTGGACCTAGAGGAGAAAGTCAGAGAGCTGAGAGAGACAGTCACTGACCTGGTGAGTTCAATCAACAATACACCTGTCAACGCTGTTACCTTAATGTCAACGCTGTTACCTTAATGTCAACCCTGTTACTTTGATATCAATGTCAGCTCCGTTACTTTGTATGCTTTGTTGAGTCAACTCTGCTGGTAAGTTTTGAATAACCAACTCTGTGTCAACTCTATGCCCTTCATGTGGGTCCACGACATTGGCAAGGAGACTGTTTTAGAGACAGAGAGACACCCTTTGTGTTTGAACCCTGTGTGTGCATGACTTTATATCTAAACCCCTGTCCACTCATAACTACACAACTATAGCTGCTCTGACCCTTAACCCGTCAACCCTGACCTCTCCCCTCCCCCCTCCAGGAAGCGATCAATGAGATGAATGACGAGCTTCAGGAGAACAGCCGAGAGACAGAGATGGAGCTGAGAGAGCAGTTGGACCTGAACGGAGCCAGGGTGAGAGAGGCACAGAAGAGAGTGGAGGCTGCTCAGGAGACTGTAGCAGACTACCAGCAGACCATCAACAAGTACCGCGAGCTCACCGCCAGCCTGCAGGTATAGTTTGAAACCATAACGTCAGTGTAGTATCAAATAACATGCAATCAGAAGAATGACACTTAAAAACACTAACAAGCATGTTTAGTAGTTAAAACAAGGAATAGTTTAACTTGTTTGTCACAGTTTTGGGTTTTAATAACATCCTGAATACATTCCTTTAAGCAAAATGGGGAAGGTGTTAGGTGACTGTGGTTTCTTTTGGTTGTTTGTATCTAAAGTGTGTGTGTGTGTGTGTGTGTGTGTATAGGATGCCAACAGGGAGCTGACCAGTGTTCAGAATGCCAACGCAGAGCAGGTCCAGCAGCCTCCTGCTGAGCTGTTTGACTTCAAGATCAAGTTCGCTGAGACTAAGGCCTACGCCAAGGTAAGAAACACAGATCAACAGGTTCTGGGGAAGACCCAGTTTGGGAACGAACCGTCCTGTTTAACACTTTGGGAGCATCGTACCAGTCTGCGGATGTACTTTTTGTTCCCAGAGAAACATGCATTGCATTTAGTGTTGAATGTACAGGTGTGTACTGTTATTGCAGATAAATAATCAGTGTGTGTGTGTCTCCAGGCCATAGAGATGGAGCTGAGGAAGATGGAAGTGGGCCAGGCCAACAGACAGGTGTCTCTCCTCACCTCCTTCATGCCCGACTCCTTCCTGCGTCACGGAGGAGACCATGACTGTATCCTGGTGCTGCTGCTCATACCAAGACTCATCTGCAAGGTAGAGAGAGAGTTCAACATTTAACGAGGAGTGTGTCTGTATGCTTGTTTGTCTGTTTTCAAAACGGACATGTTCAAGATGCCTAATGTATGTTCAAGATGCCTAATGTATGTTTTTAAGGATGCGATTTGTGTGTGTGGCTAATGCATGTTCCCCCCTTCTTCTAGGCTGAGTTGATCAGTAAGCAGGCCCAGGAGAAGTTTGATTTGAACAGTAACCCTGTGGAGAGGACTGGGACGAAAATGAGAGGACCACCTGGAGAACAACTCAGCTTCGCCTCAGGACTGGTCTACTCTCTGACCCTGCTGCAGGCCACGCTGCACAAATACGAACAGTAAGGCGACGTGTGTCTGTCTCTCAATGCCACTGTACTAAATAGTTGTCATTTACTTCAAACATCAAATATTCCCCCCCCCCCCTCCCAGAGCTCTGAACTGCTGCAGTGTGGAGGTGTATAAGCGAATGGGGACTCTCTACTCCGAGATGAGTGTCCATGAGCGTTCCCTAGACTTCTTCATTGACCTGCTGCACAAAGACCAGCTGGACGAGACTGTACACGTGGAGCCTCTCACCAAGGCCATCAAGTACTACCAGGTTAGTACCACGCACAGAAACACGCACGGATTCACGCTCACACTCTTCATATGCGCTCGATGGCACACCTGACAGAGAGCAGAAACACTTGACCACACGCTGTACTCTCCACAGTGCCGACTCCGTCAACTCTACACTGATAACACACATTGTCAAGCCTCTCATCAATGCTGTTAATAATGAATACAGCTCCAGATTGTGTGAGGCCATGATTGATGTACCAGTTTGTTTTATGTTGCAGCAACTGTACAGCATCCACCTGGCTGAGCAGACTGAAGACTGCACCGTGCAGCTGGCTGACCACATCAAGGTACAACTGTCTTTTACTGAAGAAAGTAAACCTCTCTAGGCCCTGTTAAAATCTTTCCTTTCCTACCTTCCTTGAGGTGATCAAGATTTCTAACAGGCCCCTAGTCTTTTCTAAGTTCAGTAACAAACATTGTCTAACTAAACTAAATTTGACCTTTTGACCTCTGACCTCCAGGTCATTCAGAGTGTGCTGGACTGTATGGGGGCTGAGGGCCTTCTTACGTTACTGATTGACTGTCGCCTCTCTGTCCTCTCTCTCTCTGTCTCTCGCTCTCTCTGTCTCTCGCTCTCCTGTCTCTCGTCTCTCGCCTCTCCTCCTCTGTCTCTCGCTCTCTCTGTCTCTCGCTCTCTCTGTCTCTCGCTCTCTCTGTCTCTTCTCGCTCCTCGCTCTCTCTGTCTCTCGCTCTCCTGTCTCTCGCTCTCTCTGTCTCTCCGCTCTCTCTTGTCTCTCGATCTCTCTCTTTGATCTCTCGCTCTCTCTTTGTCGCTCGCTCTCTCTGTCTTCTCGCTCTCTTGTCTCTCGCTCTCTATCTGGTCGCTCTCTCCTGTCTCTCTCCTTCTGTCTCTCTCTCCCTCTCTGTCTCTCTCTCTCTTTGTGTCTCTCTCTTTGTGTCTCTCTCTGTGTCTCTCTCTGTCTCTCTCTCTCTTTGTGTCTCTCTCTCTCTCTCTTTGTGTCTCTCTCCTGTGTCTCTCTCTCTCTCTCCTCCTCTCTCCTTTGTGTCTCTCTCTCTCTCTCTCGTCTCTATTCCTTTCTCTCTCTCCTCTTCTCTCTTTGTGTCTCTATCTCTCTCTCTCTCTTTGTGTGTCTCTCTCTCTCTCTCTCTCTCTTTGTGTCTCTCTCTCTGTCTCTGTAGTTCATCCAGAGTGCGTTGGACTGTATGAGTGCTGAGCTGGTGCGTCTCAGGGCTTTCCTGCAGCCGGGACAGGAGGGGGTGGCTCTGAACATCCTTCTGAAGGACCTGGACACCACCTGCAGGTCTAATATAACAATATTTCATAATATCATTTCTATGTAGGTATATTTATTTATATTTATCTCTGTTATTTACCTCCTGCAGTGACATCAAACAATTCTGTAAGAAGATCAGACGCAGGATGCCAGGGACCGATGTGCCAGGGGTGCCAGCTGCTCTGGCCTTTGGAGCTCCGGTAATGTGACTAGCGTTATACTTAGGCATTACATTTAGGTTGGAGAGTTTTAGCCTTGGTCATTGGCCAAGTGTTTCACAGTATCTTTGGCGATCCAGTATGGACAACATTTCTTAGGTCTTGCACCTAACCCAAACCCAGGGTGGTCCATACTTGCGAACGTTAGACAAAGTTTTGAAACGTCAACTTTTTTCTCTGTCTCAAAATCCCCATCAGCCAATTAAAATTGTTGACGTAGTTGCACGTGATAGAACGCTACATGTTAGCTGTTCCCATCAGATAACCTGGCACACTTAGCCCTATGCTAACAACACCAGCTGGCCATGACTATTGGCTGGCGTTTGGAGCACAGGGCCTAGTGTTTACCGTTATCTCATAAAGTACGGTAATGCAACTGTCAACTTTGTGGAGGTCGGAACTACTCTGTGAGAATGTGTGACTGACAGCTCTGTGGACCAATGGCAGGTGTCGGAGACGCTGACGGACTGCAGGCGGCAGCTGACGCGGGTGGTTGCAGTCCTACAGGAGGTGGCGGCGGCGGGGGCTCAGATGGTCGCCCCTCTCGGGGAGCAGGAGGGGCTCAACGCTCTAAAACTGGATGACGTGGCCTTCAAGGCTGTTGAACAGGTACTATAAACGGCACATTCAAACTTGTTAGCTCCCGGAGCTAATTCTTCTTGATTAATGTGGACGACCTGTCTGTCACACAATACGCTAACCATAGGCTAAATGTACACTACATGCCCAAAAGTATGTGGACACCTGCTTGTCGAACATCTCATTGCTGTGGCGACTTGCTTCCATTCAGCCACAAGAGCATTAGTGAGGTCGGGGACTGATGTTGGGCGATTAGTCATGGCTCGCAGTCGGCGTTCCAATTCATCCCAAAGGTGTTCGATTGTGTTGTCAGGGCTGTGTGCAGGCCAGTCAAGTTCTTCCACGCCGATCTCGACAAACCATTTCTGTATGGACCTTGCTTTGTGCACGAGGGCATTGTCATGCTGAAACAGGAAAGGGCCTTCCCCAAACTGTTGCCACAAAGTTAGAAGCACAGAATTGTCTGCTGTAGCGTTAAGATTTCCCTTCACTGTAACTAAGGGGCCTAGCCCGAACCATGAAAAACAGCCCCAGATCATTATTCCTCCTCCACCAAACTTTACAGTTGGCACTAGGGTTGAATATTTTCCCGGTATTTTACTAATGTTCCATCCTGATAATAAATCACTTTTCTCCCGGGTAATCCGGTATTTCCCGCCAAAACCGGAAGTGTCACTCAAAAGCATTATAACGCATATAAATATGCCTGGATTTGATTAGAGCTTTGTGACCTTGTGTGGCCTACCACTTCACGGCTGAGCCGCTGTTGCTCCTAGACGTTTCCACTTCACATTAACAGCACTTACAGTTGACCGGGGAAGCTCTAGCATGGCAGACATTTGATTAACTGACTTGTTGGAAATGTGGCATCCTATGACGGTGCCACGTTGAAAGTCACTGAGCTCTTCAGTAAGGCCATTCTACTGCCAATGTTTGTCTATGGAGATTGCATGGCTGTGTGCTCGAGTTTATACACCTGTCAGCAACGTGTGTGGCTCAAACAGCCAAATCCAATAATTTGAAGGGGTGTCCACATACTTTTGTATATACAGTGGGGGAAAAAAGTATTTAGTCAGCCACCAATTGTGCAAGTTCTCCCACTTAAAAAGACGAGAGGCCTGTAATTTTCATCATAGGTACACGTCAACTATGACAGACAAATTGATTTTTTTTTCAGAAAATCACATTGTAGGATTTTTAATGAATTTATTTGCAAATTATGGTGGAAAATAAGTATTTGGTCACCTACAAACAAGCAAGATTTCTGGCTCTCACAGACCTGTAACTTCTTCTTTAAGAGGCTCCTCTGTCCTCCACTCGTTACCTGTATTAATGGCACCTGTTTGAACTTGTTATCAGTATAAAAGACACCTGTCCACAACCTCAAACAGTCACACTCCAAACTCCACTATGGCCAAGACCAAAGAGCTGTCAAAGGACACCAGAAACAAAATTGTAGACCTGCACCAGGCTGGGAAGACTGAATCTGCAATAGGTAAGCAGCTTGGTTTGAAGAAATCAACTGTGGGAGCAATTATTAGGAAATGGAAGACATACAAGACCACTGATAATCTCCCTCGATCTGGGGCTCCACGCAAGATCTCACCCCGTGGGGTCAAAATGATCACAAGAACGGTGAGCAAAAATCCCAGAACCACACGGGGGGACCTAGTGAATGACCTGCAGAGAGCTGGGACCAAAGTAACAAAGCCTACCATCAGTAACACACTACGCCGCAAGGGACTCAAATCCTGCAGTGCCAGACGTGTCCCCCTGCTTAAGCCAGTACATGTCCAGGCCCGTCTGAAGTTTGCTAGAGTGCATTTGGATGATCCAGAAGAGGATTGGGAGAATGTCATATGGTCAGATGAAACCAAAATAGGCTGTTTTTCTGCAAAGGGACCAGGACGACTGATCCGTGTAAAGGAAATAATGAATGGGGCCATGTATCGTGAGATTTTGAGTGAAAACCTCCTTCCATCAGCAAGGGCATTGAAGATGAAACGTGGCTGGGTCTTTCAGCATGACAATGATCCCAAACACACCGCCCGGGCAACGAAGGAGTGGCTTCGTAAGAAGCATTTCAAGGTCCTGGAGTGGCCTAGCCAGTCTCCAGATCTCAACCCCATAGAAAATCTTTGGAGGGAGTTGAAAGTCCGTGTTGCCCAGCGACAGCCCCAAAACATCACTGCTCTAGAGGAGATCTGCATGGAGGAATGGGCCAAAATACCAGCAACAGTGTGTGAAAACCTTGTGAAGACTTACAGAAAACGTTTGACCTGTGTCATTGCCAACAAATGGTATATAACAAAGTATTGAGAAACTTTTGTTATTGACCAAATACTTATTTTCCACCATAATTTGCAAATAAATTCATTAAAAATCCTACAATGTGATTTTCTGGATTTTTTTTTCTCATTTTGTCTGTCATAGTTGACGTGTACCTATGATGAAAATTACAGGCCTCTCTCATCTTTTTAAGTGGGAGAACTTGCACAATTGGTGGCTGACTAAATACTGTTTTTCCTCACTGTATATAGTGGATTATTGACAAATGTCCTTACATATGTTAGGTATATTGATGAGGAGTTGGTCCTCTCTGATAACTCTCCCCCCCCCCCCCCCCCCATCTCTCTCCCTCCCTCCATCTCTCTCTCCCCTCCATCTCTCTCTCTGTCTCTCTCTCTCTCTCCCCTCCATCGCTCTCTCCCCTCCATCTCTTCTCTCTCTCTCTCCCCTCCATCTCTCTCTCTCTCCCCTCCATCTCTCTCTCTCTCTCTCCCCTCCATCTCTCTGTCTCTCTCTCCCCTCCTCTCTCTCTGTCTCTCTCCCCTCCATCCTCTCTCCTCCCTCCCATCTCTCTGTCTCTCTCTCTCCCCTCCATCTCTCTGTCTCTCTCCTCCCCTCCATCGCTCTCTCTCCCCTCCATCTCTGTCTCTCTCTCTCCCCTCCATCTCTCTCTGTCTCTCTCTCCCCTCCATCTCTCTCTGTCTCTCTCTCCCCTCCATCGCTCTCTCATCCCCTTCCATCTCTCTCTCTGTCTCTTTCTCCCCTCCATCGCTCTCTCCCCTCCGATCGCCTGTCTCTGCTCCTCTCTCCCCTCCATCGCTCTCTCCCCTCCATCTCTCTGTCTCTCTCTCCCCTCCATCGCTCTCTCCCCTCCATCTCTCTGTCTCTCTCTCCCCTCCATCGCTCTCTCCCCTCCATCTCTGTGGTAACTCTCTCTCCCCTCCCTCCTCTCCAGGTGTATGGGTCCCAAGGTCTAAACCCCCATGAGTGTCTGCGTCAGTCCTGCAGCTCTGTCATCTCCACCATGAACAAGATGGCCACTGCCATGCAGGAGGGAGAGTATGATGCTGAGAGACCACAGGGAAAGGTACAGAACGACATCTCCATATAGCAGCTCTATTAAAAGAGGCCCTCAAAAGCATCTTATCAGTTTAGAGTTAGATACTACAAATGGACCTTCTCCCTGATTTTAAAAAAGTTATACGGGACTAAGGCTGGAGGGGTATGAGACAAGGGGGGAGCTACGGCTGGAGACTGATTTCTTCCTCCTTTACTAGCCTTTCAAAACTAAGAGTACTATATATTACATCTGTAACATGTCATGAAATAAAGTCTAGTTGTGTTGTTAAGGCACTGCCCCTCAATGAATTTACATTCTCTCTCTCTCTCTCCCCCCCTCTTCTTGTTTCTCCCATCACCCTCCCTCTACCGCTCTCCTCCCTCCCTCCCTCTACCGCCCTCCCTCCCTCTACCGCTCTCCTCCCTCCCTCTACCCCCTCCTCCTCCCTCCCTCCCTCCCTCTCACGCTCTCCTCCCTCTACCTCCCTCCCTCCTCACCGCCTCTCCCTCCCTCCCCGCTCTCCTCCCTCTACCCCCTCTCCTCCCTCCCTCCCTCTACCCCTACCTCCTCCCTACCGCCCTCCCTCCCTCCCTCCCTACCCTCCCTCCCTCCCTCTCCCCTCTACCGCTCTCCTCCCTCCACCGCTCTCCTCCCTCCACCGCTCTCCTCCCTCCCTCCCTCTACCGCTCTCCTCCCTCCATACCGCCCTCCCTCCCTCCCTCTACCGCTCTCCTCCCTCCCTCCCTCCCTCTACCGCTCTCCCCTCCTCCCTCTACCTCCTCTCCGCCTCCCGCCCTCCCTCCCTCCCTCCCTCCCTCCCTCTACCCGCTCTCCCTCCCTCCCTCCCCACCTTCTCTCCTCCAGGCTCCCCCAGTAGAGGCTCGTGCAGCAGCCCTCAGGGCAGAGATCACTGATGCAGAGGGCCTGGGTGTCAAACTGGAAGACAGAGACACCGTCATCAAGGAGCTCAAGAAGTCACTAAAGATCAAGGTAGTCTCTCTTTCTCTCTTACACACACACTCCACACCGCTCGACTCCACACCGCTCGACTCCACACCGCTCGACTCCACACCGCTCGACTCTACTCCACTCCACAGTCATTCTCATCCTTCCTTTTATTCTTATACACATTCACTCTAATTTTTCCCCACATGCACAGACACCCATCATCTCTAACATTAGCACTCTCACCTCGCCTCCCTCCCTCCTGTCTCTCTATCCCAGGGAGAGGAGTTGAGTGAGGCCCACGTCCGTCTCAGTCTCCTGGAGAAGAAGCTGGACACGTCAACTAAAGACGCAGACGAACGTGTGGAGAAGATCCAGACCAAACTGGATGAGACCCTGGCCCTGCTCAAGAAGAAGGAGAAGTAAGACTGTTTGGAAAGTAGGAGGTTATTGTTATAGAATGTGCAGTAAATATGTGTATATGTCCAACACTGTCTCCTAGGTATTCACTACAGAGTCTATAGTGTTCTGGACTGTCTGTAAAGAGTAGACTATTTTGAAAGGAAGAGGATTGGACAGGTGTAAGCAATATGGTAAAGATTTCCTCTAGCCTATCAGAGGGCTCGGTGGCGCTATCACCATATTCTTAAACCTATCAAACCCTCAGATCTCCAGTGAGGCTAGGGGTTGTTTTTGTTTAAACCCTGTTCCCCCCCCCCCCCCCCACACACACACACACACACACACAGGGAGTTTGAGGAGACCATGGATGCCCTGCAGGCAGACATTGACCAGCTGGAGGCAGAGAAGGCGGAACTGAAGCAGCGTCTCTCCAGCCAATCAAAGATGACCATCGAGGGCCTCAGGGCCCCGCCTGCCTCGGGCATCGCCTCCATCGTCACGGGATCTGCCGGAGGTGAGGCTCCTGAGTCTTCTGATACCTCACCTCACACACCTTAGTACACGCCACCTCTTATACCTCACACGTCATTCATATGATACGTATTCCTAATATTTTCATAGTGTTAGGTTGTTGTTATTTATATCTCACACGGTTTTGTTTTATTTCTCAATTCCTTCTTTCTCCCCCTTTATCCCCCTCCCCACCCCTCTCTCCAGCCGGTGTTGTCCCAGGAGCAGGGGGTCTGTCTGGGCCGATGCAGGTGGTGGACTCCCCTCTCCTCCGTCAGCAGGTGGCGGCTCAGAGACTGGGCATCAAACACCTGAAGAACGAGAACAACAGACTCAAGGTCAGAACACTGCAGGGATCTGACTCGTCTCTCTCTGTTCACTGCTAATCAAAATATGGATCAATGCCTTCTTTCTTGTGTCCAGATCACTGGCCGTCTGTGTTGTATGTGGTTCATTGAATAGTCTAGTTGTCATGGATACATTATCATTAGTAGTTCATATTTATGTATGTTTCTCTTGATGTGGTTCATTGAATAGTCTAGTTGTCATGGGTACATTATCATTAGTAGTTGATATTTGTATGTTTGGTGCTGTAGTTAACTGTCTGTTAATGACTGTGTACCTGTCTCTATTGATAACTCTCTGTATATCTTCTCTCTTCTCCAGGCAGAGAAGATGAGAGCCCAGCTAGCCTCTCTCCCTCCCCTCCACGTCCCCAAGCTACACCTGAGAGAGGCCACCTCTTCCTCCTCTCCCCCTACTGAGGGGCCTCTCCACGGGGCTCTCTACAGGAAGACTGACCAGCTCTTGGGGACCCTGCTCAAGATGACCGCCACTGTTAAAGTGGTCGACATCACCGGGAAGACACCAGGTGAGTGGGGAGAGATGTGTGTTTGTTTTTGTGTGACAGGAAGTCACCAGGGCCCGGTTTCCCAAAAGCAGGCTAAGTTCATTGTTAGAACCTCCGTAGGAGCATCGTTAAATCTCAGAGCTTTTTCCCAAAACCATTGTTACTAAGGTTGCACTTGAAAACGCTTGTTATTTACCAACTGCCTCAGACCAGTTGTAAAACAGCTAAGTACGTTGTTAGATGCTTTTTTTGCCCTTCTGAGGCAGAAGATCTCCGCTAAACATTGAATCAAGATGTTTATCTCTCTGTCTGTGACTGTTGATAACTTCAGAAGTTGGCTACAAATACAAAGTTGCCAATATCTTTGCAATTGTTACAAACAAGCTAAATAGAAATATGCTTCAAATGAAAATCGAAATGAATGCATATATCAATATAATACAGACTACACAGGCCTATATATTTTGATCGTATTAAAATCAATTTAATGTTAATTCAGTTGAGTACTATTTTGGTAATTGTAGGCTGTCTGTAATTTTTGCCTCATATATTTCATGATGTGTAACAACATGCCAAATCTTGATTTAGTGCATTATTATAGGGTAAACATTAGAATAAGCTGCCTCAATATTTGCAGCCATGGGTGATAATATCTTTCTAGGAGCTGATTCGTCATCAGTATTGTGAAATAATTATAATGTTAAGGTAAGATTTGAATTGAGAAAGCTGATTTGACAGCAGCGCTGCATTTCTTTCGATCCTATCAGTATCGACACTATGCCTCAATGATGCACTTAGCGAACGTTCTCTCTGCGTGGGTGTTTTGGGAAACACGTTACATCTTCGGCCGTTGTAGGAAAGATGCATCGTTAAAACACTCGTAAGCCTAAGTTCTATCGGGAAATCGGGCCCTGGTCTGTGTGTGTGAAGGGTTTCGTTTCAGTACAGGTACAGTGCCTTCAGAAAGTATTCACATCCCTTGACTTTTTCCACATTGTTGTTACAATTAAATCCATTTTAATCATACTTTGTATTTTTTTTGTCAACGATCAACACAAAACACTCTGTCAAAGTGGAAGAAGAATTCTAACATGTATGAAAAATAAAACACTATCTTAATCAGATACGTTTAACCCCCAGAGTCAATACATGTTAGAATCACCTTTGGCAGCGATTACAGCTGTGAGTAAGTCTCTTAAGAGCTTTGCACACCTGGATTGTACAATATTTGCACATTATTCTTAAAAAAATTAGTTGAGCTCTGTGAAGTTGGTTGTTGATCATTGCAAGACAGCCATTTTCAAGTCTTGCCATATATTTTAAATTAGATTTAAGGCAAAACTGTAATTAGGCCACTCAGGAACATTGTATCCAGTGTATATTTGTCCGTGTGTTTTAGATTATTGTCCTGCTGAAAGGTGAATTTGTCTTCCATTGTCTGTTGGAAAGCAGACTGAACCAAGTTTCCCTGTACGATTTTGCCTGTGCTTCGCGCTATTCCGTTTATTTTTATCCCTCCAAAAAACTCCTTAGTCCTTGCCGATGACAAGCATACCCATAACATGATGCAGCCACCACCATGCTTGAAAATGGGAAGTGGTACTCAGTGACGTGTTGTATTTGACCTAAACATAACGTTTTCTATTCAGGACATAAAGATATTTCTTTGCAGTATTACTTTAGTGCCTTATTGCAAACAGGATGCATGTTTTGGAATATTTGTATTCTGTACAGGCTTCCTTCTTTTCCCTCTGTCATTTAGGTTAATATTGTGGAGTGAACTACAATGTTGTTGATCCATCCTCAGTTTTCTCCTATCACAGCCATTAAACTCTGTAACTGTTATAAAGTCACCATTGGCCTCATGGTGAAATCCCTGAGCAGTTTCCTTCCTCCGGCAACTGAGTTAGGAATGACGCCTGTATCGTTTGTAGTGACTGGGTTGTATTGATACACCATCCAAAGTGTAATTACTAACTTCACCATGCTCAAAGGGATATTCAATGTCTGCTTTTTATTTTGTTTTACCCATCTACCAATAGGTGACCACCTTTGAGAGGCATTGGAAACCTCCCTGGTCTTTGTGGTTGAATCTGTGTTTGAAAGTCACTGCTCAACTGAGGCACCTTACATATCATTTTATGTTTGGGGTACAGAGATGAAAAATCATTTTAAACACTATTACTGCACGCAGAGTGAGTCCATGCAACTTTTTATGTGACTTGTTAAGCACATTTGTACTCCTGAATTTATTTAGGCTTGCCTTAACAAAGGGGTTGAATACTTACTGACTCAAGACATTTCAGCTTTTCATATTTTTTATGAATTTGTAAAGAATGTCAAACATAATTCCACTTTGACATTAATGGGGGATTGTGTGTAGGCTAGTGACACAAATTCTGAAATGTAATCCATTTTAAATTCAGGCTGTAAAAACAAAAAGTGTGAATACTTTCTGAAGGCACTGTATATGTCTATTTGAGTTGGTATATATCAGTTCTTATCGAACTCTTTCTCTCCTACAGTGAGTGCTAGTGCTCAGCTCTTGGACCAGACAGCTCGGCTGCAGAGCCTGAGTGACGCCCTGGACAAACTGAAGGTGACTTCACTATTACTAGGGGTTGATAATATAAATTCATTGTATTTATCTTCACCTCAGATTTTGTCCACTAATCTCTCTGTTTTTCATGGAAATGGTCATAACATCAAGTCTCTCTACCCCCCCCCCCCCCCCCCCCCCCCTCTCTCTCTCTCTCTCTACCCCCCCCCCCTCTCTCTCTCTACCCCCCCCCCTCTCTCTCTCTCCACCCCCCCCTCTCTCTCTCTCCACCCCCCCCTCTCTCTCTCTCCAACCCCCCCCTCTCTCTCTCTCCACCCCCCCTCTCTCTCTCCCCCCCCCCCCTCTCTTCCACCCCCCCCTCTCTCTCCACCCCCCCCCTCTCTCTCTCCACCCCCCCTCTCTCTCTCCACCCCCCCTCTCTCTCTCCACCCCCCCCTCTCTCAACCCCCTCTCTCTCTCTCTAATCCCCCCCCTCTCTCTCTTCTCTACCCCTCCCTCTCTCCCTCTCTCTCTCTCTCCCTCTCTCTCTACCCCTCCCTCCCTCTCTACCCCTCTCTCTCTCTCTACCCCCTCCCTCTCTCTCTCTCAGGGTGAAGTGTCAGAGCATGTGGTTTCTCAGCAGCCTGGGGCAAAGGTCTCCTCTGACTTTGCCACCTTTCCCATCTCGTCTTTCGTCAAGGTAACATGCACAAGGACACACGGACATCACAGACTGTCTTAGTTGGCACTCAAACAAATGCTTGGAACACATCTCAATGCAACAGATATCTGGTGGAGGCATCAACCTGTATTTGTTATCCTTTGATGTCCTCTTTCTCATCCACCTGTCTTCTCAGGCGAAGGAGGAGAAGCAGGGAGGCACGGTGTTCGTAGGGCGCGTTGCCATCCCGTGTGCCAAGGGCCAGGAGCAGGTGCACCGTCTTGTCCTCTCACAGCAACACCTGCAGCAAGTGCACCGCCTCCTCTTAACCTAAGACAGCAACCCATTGGCCTGGGTCCACAAGTGACAGCGGGCTTCACCAATCGGAGCACAGCAGACACAATAATAGTTTTTTTTTTCTTCTTCAGTCTCTCACCTAAAGTTCCAGTCCATTTCCTGTTATTCCACAGAATCTCTCAGGATACGCTTTGTTACACTACACCACCTAGAAATAGAATTTAAATTGCCATCGGAGGCTTTATGGCCCTTCTAGCATTTCTATTTCTATTGGTTTTTCTATGCCAAAGAGACACACACACACGTGTTCTCATCAAGTACCTAATAATACTGTACAATTTCTATTACACTTCTTCAAGTCCTAAATTATTTTTCCGTCTCTTTTTGTTCTACTGTGGTGATTATTATTAGCCTACCTGTGTATACCAGCAGTCGGCAGCAGCTGAATGTGTGGTGACCCTGTTTGGGATATTGTTCTATTGACTATTGGATTCAGTCATGACAGGCTATTTCAAACCTAGGGTGTGTCCGGAATTGCACCCTATTCCCTATATAGTCAATAAGAAGACGGTGAAATGAAGTTCCATAGCTAGTTCACACACATTTAACTTTTCTCACTGTTAACTTATGTTCATCTGGAATTAATATCTATTTGCATGTCATTTGGTTGAGATAGGAAGCTCATTTTAATGTTTTTTTTTGAAAGTGTCAGTCCACTACTAGGACCTTTATAGATATGAGATAGATAGCAGTACGTTAACTTGTTACTCCTTTTGAGTATTTGAATTGTTTGACATTCCTACGGTAACCAGCTTACAGAGTGTTTTAGTGTTCTCGCTCACAAGTTCAGTTAGTCATTACACTATGAAGGTCTATCCATCATATGTACCTCTGCCAAGACCTTTCACATTAGTCACTATTCATGGTAACTGATGAAGAACGCATGCAAGTATATCTGGGTGGAAATAAATATATAATTTAAAGGTTTTTGGCTAGTGGTTAAGGTTAAATGCAGACAATCTCCAAAGCCGTTATACATTAACTACGAGTTTCGGTCAGACTGAGTGTTCAATGCAGATTGCAGAACATTTACCAATGCAAATGTCGAACCCATACCGAAATAGTTCAGACCACACAGCAGACTGGAACCTGTCCATGAATGCAAAATACTATACTGTACCTACCTTGACTAATGTGTCCTGTGTCCAAAACATCAGAATAATAAAGTTCTTACAAAGTCATCCATTTTGTCAGATGAAATTATATTTACATTTTAGTCATTTAGCAGACGCTCTTATCCAGAGCGACTTAGTGAGTGCATACATTTTTTCATACTGGCCACCCGTGGGAATCGAACCCACAACCATGGTATTGCAAGCGCCATGCTCTACCAACTGAGCTACACGGGGCCCAATATAGCCTATTCATGTATGAATATAGAATATAATGCAGTGTGACTCTATTTAAACATTAAGCATTTTATTTGCATACACTCAAATGATCCATTTCCCAGACACAGATTAAGCCTAGTCCTGGACTAAGATTTACTTTCAATGGAGATTCTCAATGGAGCAGGTTTTTCAGTCCAGGACTAGGCTTAATCTGTGTCTAGGAAACTGGTCCTTAGAATTTAAGAATGCATTTGATTTGTATAGCACCACTCATCACAGTCTGATCAGGAGAAGGAAATGGATGGGACACTAAGGAAATGGATGGGACACTTTCAGCAAAGACAAAACCCGCACTGGCGTAGAAAGGAAAGGGAAAGCAGGGAAGGCCTAAAACTAACATGAACCCAGTAAAGTCTCAGAGCAAGAGGAAAAAGCCCTCACACAGAAGAGAGTGACGTGGAGAGCCATGGTGGCCTCCTATGATCCCAAGAGGATTAAGTCAAGTTTGTCACTCAGTCACAAACCCAGTATAACCATCCAGGATGAGAAGTCTGAATAAGAACACTAAACACGACATTAAATCAGTGTAATTTTTTATTGTATAAATGTACAAATGTTCCAGTATGCCACTGCAATCCTCCAGTGTTCCTAACCATATACAACCAACCCCTCACAGTGGTGAGAAAATGCTAAGAAATAGACTGACACTTTCAGATAGATCATAGAAAACACAGAACAGCCCTTCAACTTAAAAATTATTAAATAGTTTATTTTTTATAAACATATGTTTTCAAGAGCAAAAGACAGAATATGAAAGACAACTCATGAAATTAGATTTTTTTTAAGGCACTGCTGCCCCATACACAATCAGCTTATGAGTTAAGAGATCAGTACAGCAAGTAGCATTAGTTTGAACACTATATATGGGGCCCACAGTTGTTCCTGCTCACATCACATGGTCCAGGAAAAACCCCTGATCCAATGTGCCACTGCCTCCTCCCTCCTTAGGGCCAGGAGTTTCCCACCATCCCTTGACCCCATCATGACCTGACCAGGAGAAAAACTGGGCCCTAGTTTTGAACAGTTTATAACGTCCACAGCAAAGAGCTATAAGGCCAGTATAAAGGATATCCAGAACTACAGTAGAAGATGTATAAATGTAGCTGGGCAGGTGGTTGAAATCAAACCTGTCTTGACCAGGACGCTCCTCCCTGGTCTGAATAATCTATTGTCCAAATTATCCAATTATTAGCTGGCTGCTAGCTATCGTTAGCTAGAAAACCTGTTATTTCAGTTTCTGTAGCAATTTTTTTTTTAAATGTCGACAAATTGATTTTCCAGAGCGGTTTGGATAGATAGCTATGCAATTTTGGACGTGATTATTCTGCCACAACAATCCTTGACTTTGATGTTATGGAAAATATGACTAGTCATTCGCATGCTAATTAATTGCAACATCATTTTGTACCTGTATTGCTAGCCAGTAACGTTAGCATAGTTAGGCTAGTTAGCGAGCTAGACAGGGAATAAGAAAAACTCGAATCCCATCTGCATTGACTGCATTGAGAGAAACCTATCAACATAAAAGTATTTTCAACTGGCATTAGAGTCTAACGTTAGAAAAAGGGGTTCTCTATTGTGGGAAATTATTCTCTTATTTTAGATGTGCTGTTAGCTTAATAAGAAAGCATTAATGATTAAACATAAAAGGTTTGCGCTGTACTGATATAGACTGTTTAATATAACAAGCTGTGATTAATGTGGGGAATGTTAGGGGGTAGGGTGAGACAGACTTGTGATTCTCACATACACAAACACAGCCTCTTTGTTAAACCGCGCTCAAGGACGTGTACTGCAAAAGTGCTGACTTTCTGGACAAGTTGCAAAACAACTAGACACCTGGCAACAGTGAAGCGCCAAGGGGCTGGGACCAGCCTGTGCGCCAACGATAGGCTGAGTAAGTCTAAACCACGCTCAGTCTCTACTCTGATAGGCCAGCAGGGAGCCGGAACTATCTCTGTCAGAGTATTTAGGGAAGAATTTAGAACAATGGCTTAGTTCTCTGAGTGCCCTGCGTGGTATTTCAGTGGACCCGTATATACGAACATCATATTTACCATTGAAGTGTTTTGCATTAATTAAAATACTAGTAAATCTTAGAAGACGTGTGTTCACCTCTTTTGTTCCCAATACCAGATTTGAATTGACACAACTTAACACTATAGTTTCATGAAATACTGAGAATTTTTAGGTCGAAAAGGCACCGACATGTGGCTAATGTTTGAGTCCAATGATTTCCATCCGCAAACCATTCACCGCATGAGATTGGGTTTGCTATGTGATTGTGAATTTGGCGGAGAGCGGGTCTATTTATTATGACAGGTTGTAAAGAGCGCTCATCGTCGTAATGACTCAATTTGTCCAGCAGATGGTAGTAAATGAAAGTCACTTTGATCATAAGGCAATGTTACATTGCCATTCTCATTGATGAAACAGGCAGCTTTTTTGATGAAGTTTGATCTAAATTTCTAGAAACATGACTTAGTATTTACTATAGTATTTAGTTTACACACAAAAGAAGACAAAATGTTCAGACAGTGACATGTTTTTAATATGAGCTTCAGCCTTTTATTGTTATTTAATAATCACACGGGCCACCAGTTTGCCCATCAATGCTCTATCCCGCTCTTCCTCCTGACACAAACCTTTCTTTCTTTCTCCCTCCTCCAGCCTCCCTCTCTTTCTCCTCCAGCCTCCCTCTCTCCTCCTCTAGCCTCCCTCTCTCCTCCTCCAGCCTCCCTCTCTCCTCCTCCAGCCTCCCTCTCTCCTCCTCCAGCCTCCCTCTCTTCTCCTCCAGCCTCCCTCTCTTCTCCTCCAGCCTCCCTCTCTTCTCCTCCAGCCTCCCTCTCTCCTCCTCCAGCCTCCCTCTCTTCTCCTCCAGCCTCCCTCTCTCCTCCTCTAGCCTCTCTCTCTCCTCCTCCAGCCTCCCTCTCTCCTCCTCCAGCCTCCCTCTCTCCTCCTCCAGCCTCCCTCTCTCCTTACTCTGCACTCGCGGCATCCCCTCCATCCTCCAGATCTCCTCTTTCTCTCCCTCTCATTCTCCAGCTCCCTCGCTCGGTCCACCTTCTCAAATCAAATCAAATTCTTTCCTTGGTGTACAGCCTCCAGCTTGTCTCAGTTTTTCTATGTCAAACAGTTTTGTTATATTTCAGTCTTCTGTGATGTATATAAAGTGTAATATTGGGATGCGAACACAAAATGGAATATATTTCAACTCTATATCTGACATGATACAGATGTCTTCTTTTTTTAAGTCCATAACCATGTGTATGAGGTATATACTTTTGTTTCAAAGTAGATTTGTTTAAGACTACCAAGAATCACTTTGTGTGATCCTGATTTAGCCCACTACAGTAAAAGGTTAATTCGTTGATGTCGCACAATGGATTTTAGAACTCTAATGTGAGGACGACAGATGACAACGGCCTTTAATTGACAGTTTGTTTATTGCTGTCTCCACTATTGAATTCAATTTAAAGGGCTTTATTGGCATGGAAAACTAATGTTTACATTGCCAAAGCAAATGAAATAGATATAAACAAAAGTGAAATAAACAATAAAAAGTGAACAGTAAACACTACACTCA